AGCCCGCCCGCGCGCAGGTCCGCGAGCTTCCCGAGGCCGCTCAGCGCTGGCGCGGCCGCGGCGGAGAGCAGCGGGGCGGGCACGCGCGAGTCGATGCGCCGCAGGAGCTGCACGCTGCGGTGCGGCTCCTGGTCGACCATCTGCGTGTCCAGGCGGTACACGCCCGCGAGGTCGTGCACGAACTTGCGCTTCTGCTCCGGCATGTGCGGCAGGATCTGGCTCTTCTTGTCCGACGCGAGGAAGCTACGGGCGGATAGTGCTATTTGAGTGTATGCGCAGGCGCGAGGGAGGGAGGGATACGTACTCGGCGAAGCTCTTCTCGACGATGGCGCAGAACTTGGCGTTCGCGCGCGCGAACGTGGTGAGGTCGTCGTTGTACGACACCTGGTTCAGCCGGCTGTCCGCGCGCTCGGGGTTGATGCCGAGCGCTTCCGCGAGCCGTGCGTTACGCTTCGCGATCCCGCATTCGTTCGTGCACTTCAGCTGCTGGCCGCCCTCGCGCGCGGGGTTCGTCATCGACCGCCCACAGGGCACGGACTGCCGGATGCGCCCGCACGGGCAGCTGATGGTGACGATCGAGCGGCATGGTTCGGACTCGTCGCATGACGCGGGCGCGTGGCACGAGAGCGTGCACGGGTGGATGGCGGGCATGCATAGTTTGCGGGGCTTTCCGCACGGCGCGTGGCAGGGACCGCAGGAGTCGCCGTGGCAGAGCCGCTCGCAGTGGTGGAAACCGCAGCCAAGAAGCCTGACGTAGATGAAGCGTCAGTGTCACAGCTACGTATAAATATGTTGGCACGCACTTTCCGCAAGCCGTACCGCAGGACACCTTCTCCTGCGAGCAACGGACGTTGTCGACCGTCTTCTTGCCGCATGCGCACTTCTTTGTAGTCAAGAATGGACATGGCGGGCACGGTGCCGGGTCTTCGTGACATGCATGGTGAGTCTGCGGGTGGCCACAAGGGCGATCCCGATGACAGGGATAAGTGCAGGCGATCCTGGTTCCACATGGGATTGGCGGTTCTAGCACAGTGCGGCCACAGTTGCAGATCATCTAAGAGGCTATCAACACCGCATACAGTCGGACGTATAGCAAGACCGACGTACCTCCTCAAAAGAGCTCCTTAAGCAGGGCGGGCACGGGCCCTTATGATCCTGCTCCTCGCAATGGTGGTTTCCGCAGCTGAGCAGCTTGCCACAGACGAGGTCGCACTCATGCCAACCCTCTTGGTCAACGAAGGCTAGCGCGTCTCCCCCAGCCCCAGCTCGCTTCTTCCCCTTCCCCTTCGTCAAGCCTGCGAGTGACGCGAGCGGACAACACAGACGGTTGCACTGGTGCCGTCCGCACGCCCTGAGCGCACCGCAGGGACGTTCGCAGGTGATCTCCACGTTGGGACCTGTCTCTCCGCGGGCTCGGGCCCGAGCACGCGCTGCATCCTCAAAGCAGCGCACCTCGCGGGTCGTAGAGCCACAGCGGCACGGGCGAACGATCATGATGGAACAAGGCGGGCAAGGTCCGGTGTGACAGCGTACAGAGCAGACGTGGTCGCAGCCGTCCAGGGGCTTCATGCACGTCGACGCGCACGTCGGCACCGGGTCGGTGCAGGCGGTACGCGTTAGGAGCGTGTTTGGTGGGAAGAAGGGTTTGGAGTCGGGAGTCAGGGCGTGCTTGCCGCAAGGGCAGTGTGTGACGATCGAAGGCGAGCGAGGACAGGGAACCGGAGTGGGAGATGGGGGGTGGCAAGGCTTCGAGCAATGATGAATGCCGCAATCGAAAGGTCTACGTAATTCGTTAGCAAAAGCTGGGCACTCAGAAATAGGTGGAACATTCTTACCTATCGCAAGTGTTCTCGCAAGCAAATCGCCCGACCCATGAATCCTCGTTCCCATTCTGGACGACTCTACACTCCTTCTCTTCGCCCTCCCCGCAACTTAACTCCTTCTCGTCCTTCCCACAGTAGCAGCGTGCTGAAACCTTTACAGGACAAGGTTTGCAGCTTCCAGGATGGCAAGGGTCGGCACATGTATGGTTGCCGCAACTGAGTATACGTCCACACGTCTGGCCGCACGATAGCTCAGCAAGTGCTGGAACGCCGCTCCTTCCTAGTGCAAGGTGTGAGCACCGGAAGGAGAGCACCTGTTTACTGCAGTAACATGGCATCTGGGTCGTGACTTGACAGGGAGGGCACGGCCCAGGATGACAGGTGAGAGAACACGGATGACCGCATGCGCGCGGCCGTGAGCATGGATTGGCACAGGAGTGTGGAGTAGCCAGGCGCGGCGGTTTGGGATCCGGCGCAGATCCACAGAAACACCTACAAGATGCGAGATCAGAATTTATCACCTAGATCATATATACGAATAGCATACCAGTAACTGCTCGGCACGGCCTTGCGTTTCGACTGACAGCCGGGGCATCTCCAATCGCCCTCCTTCACCTCCCCTCTCGCTCGCCATGCTTCCACAACATCTTTGACGCTTTTAGCGGCCCACGCGTGGAGACACTTCAGATGGAATGTCATCCAACAACACTGCGCGCTGCTATCGGCTCGCGGTGCGCCCCCCGGCGCACCATGTTCGTCGTCTGACCCAACCATGGTCGGGTGCGAGGGAGAGCACGACCAGGTTGCTTGCGCGGGCGTTATCGGCGCGAAACAGATCAGACAGTCAGGGTAAGGCGGCGTGCTCAAGTCGTACGTGAGACGTGAGGTTAGATCGTCCTTCACCGGTGCGTTGCTGCGATACTTCTCCGACGAGCGTGCGTCTTGGCGGGTGCCCTCGCCAGCGCCCTCTGTGAGCTCGCCCTGGAAGTTACGGCCGTGGTTTCGGCGCGGCCTCTTGTTTCGTGTGGATTGACCGTCTGCCGCAGATGGGGGGCGACCCGCCTCGATGCCCGCCTCCGCATTATTAGTTGGACGGCCGCCGCCGCCTCGTCTAGGTCCTCGAGGTGGACGAGAATGGGTAGAACCACCGTCTAGAGAGGGACCGTTCTCTACTGGACCACCTCTGTTTCCTCCTCGTCCTCTGTTTCCACCCGGCGGTCCTCGCGGGGGACCGCGGCCTTCTGGGTGGGTGATGGACGGCTCACCTGAGTGTCCGTCTGTTGCTCCTGCTGGGGCGCGAGGCCTGCGTGGCCTACGAGCGCCCTTGGCATTGCTGCCGGAGTCGGGGCCTCCTGCGGTAGATGGGTTTTCTCCGTGGTCTGGCTGGGGATTGCTTGCACCTCCTCTGCGCCTGTTTCGCGGGCGCGGAGCACCGTCGGTACCGGTCTGAGGTGGCTGGGGATTGATAGCGGCGGTAGTGGAGGTCTCAGGCATGCAATGGAGGGGTGTTGGTGGTGGTGTTGGTGGTGGTGTATGTGCAAGTTGAAGTTAAAGAAGGTTATGTACTGGCGAGACGAAACTTTGACGAATCGGCCGTCTAGAGTGAGTCAGCGTCGGGGAGAAGATGTACCGCTCAAGAACAGCTCTAGTGTCTCCGACAAGTTTCTAGCCAATGTCCGAGTTCCGTTCCGTGCAGCAGAGTCAACGATGGTCAAGGGTGTTCATGAGGGTGCGTGCGGTGCCGAGCGAGGCGATGATTAAGTGGAGATTAACGAGCTAAGCGCGCAGGATCAGTTGCTCCTACTTACGGATACCAATCCTTCTATAAGCTCAATATAAGCCTTCTTTCAAAGACTCGCTGCACATCTACAAAGCAATTAGAACGCATTGACATGTCTTACAATATAGGCTACTTGGTTAGATCTTCGAACTATTAGATGCTTCTATACCCCCAAGTAAGTACTTGCCACCAGCGTTTCTTCAAAGTCCCTAGAGTCCATTAAGCAGAAGTAGCAAAAAAAACCAGTGGCCCCTTCCGCACCAATAGGCCCTTGTGCGGGCGACTTTACTCGTCCTTCCCACTCATCTCGACACCAGAGTCGCTCGGGGTGTGGTCCGCGAACACCGGCCGGGCAGAGGCGAGCCCATACGCATTTTTGTAGAACACGATGTTCCCCTCGTCCTCGACGAACTTGCACTCCCGCATCACACGGTACATCTCCACCCACCCGCCCGGCCTGCCCTGCAGCTCGATGCCCTCCTGCGCGAGGCGCGCCCGGAGCGCGGCCGCCGCCTCCCACGCGTGGTAGTGCGGGATCTTGCTCGAGACGTGGTGCAGGACGTGCACTTCGGACACGCCGTGCGTCGCGAACGCGCCGAACCGCGCAGCGAGGGGCCCGAAGTCGCCGAGAAGGTTGCGGTCGAGGGTGGACAGCGCGCCGCGTTGGAAGGTGAACTCCGCCTCTCGGTAGTGGGGCAGAAGGGGGTCGGTGTGTTGAAGGAATGTAATCATGATTAACCAGTGGTTCACCCTGTTGAAGGAGGCAGGTTGGTTTCGCTATCATGGTCTATAAGAACAGATTGATAGCATACCACAGGTAGGGCACCAGATAGGTGCGGAACACTTCGAAGAATCCCCAGCGAGATATGGAGGCACCGATAGCTGCGAGCCAGAGCAAAAGTCCCACATTGGACACGAGGATCATCGTTCGCTGCCCGGGTTTGAACATGACCGACGAGGGGTCAATGTCTGCCCAGACACCTCCAGATCAGCCGCCAAACATACGAGCAAGTAGCAGCAGACGTACGGTTCGTGCCCTTTGGATAACTCGGCTGTCCGCCGGTATTCGCGAGAATATATGCAGGCCAGCCGATGGTCTGAGAGGTTACGAAGGTTATGATCGGGCAGTGTACAGACATAACGGCTTTGCTTACCAGGTAAGCAAACGAAGTGAACATCGCTCCAATGGGGGAGTCCCCAATGGCATCCCACAACTCCCGCTGGACCTCGGAGGATACCCGCGACCCAATGCGGTCCTCTTTGGCTGGGTTGAACGGAGGTAGGCCCAGCTCGGAGCGCGTCCGCGGGACATACGCCTGCTCGCGGGTCATATGCGATGTGCCGGCGTGGTGCTTTGCATGGCTGTACCGCCACGTGAAGAACGGTACACCCACCCTGCGCGAGTACACACATGAGCACGGTCGCATAGTTTGTGCATAGCCTGAGAGGGACCTACGCGGAGTGGAGGACGAAGCCGACCACATCGTTGACCCACTTGTGCTGCGAGAACGCGTAGTGCCCGCACTCGTGGCCGATGCCCCAAAGTCCGAAACCAAACAGGCCCGATATGAAGGTGCATACGGTCCAGGATACAAAGCGCGCCAATGGATATAGCGGTGAGAATGGCAAGGTGATGTGCTCCGGGGTCAGAAGTGCGTCCATGGCGTACGCAAGCTTGCAAAGGGAGACTATGATGGTCATGTCCATGACGCTGACCATGGATAGGATCGGGTGAGCGGGCGCAATGCTGAGTGCGCGTATGTACTCACACATAAGACAAGGACCTGATAGTTGAACGCTCAAAACAATGGGCTCTGGTAGGTTGAAATCTGGATCAATAGTATGCTCCTCATGACCAATGATATTACTCACGGAATGACTGAAAGTAGTTCTTTGACAGATAAGTCCGGTATCACAACCGTCTTCTGCTGAACAGAAGCATCCTTCCAAGACTTGCGGGACGGCATTACGATGTGTGTCTTTGAGGAGAGTAAGGCGGAGAAAATAAGCAGTCTGAGGAAAGTAGCCAGCGAGTTCCGGCAACAACTCAGGAAGAGCTGGAAGATACACCGGGGGGATAGGGACGGCACACAATGAGGCCAGCTTTTATCCACATTGCGCACTGTTCCTGAAGGGTGTTCCGTTCTGCGACGCGAGGTCACCCTTCCCTGGCGGAGTACGATGCGCGCTCGGCCTCGCTCGCTGCACACGACTTACCGGTCGCAGAAGGACGTTTGCAACTAACCGACGCCACTTGTCGCACGGAGGGCTCCAATCCAAACGTCCCCTACGGCGCTCTCATTTGCGCGGTTCCTATAGGGCCATGCAGTAAATGTCATGCCAAAGGAAGACCGTCCATGCATCATACATACCTATTCGCACCTCCCGAGACTCATGTCGCCGGCAACCACTCCGTATATGCACCAGGTCCCTGTAGCTCCGCACTGAGTCCTCCGTCCCGCTACGGCTAGTGTGCTTCAGTCTCGGCGGTCCCAGAACTTGGCGTAATAGCGGTGCTGACCTTGGTTAAACACTGTAACAGATGTAGCGCGTATTGCTTCTCTGGCATCGAAACATGCTCTCACCGTGTGCGGATCCGACGTTGGAGGAGATGGGGCGGCTGTTGCTCGAAATAGGCATGGGCGCTGTCCAGAGCCTTCTCGCCTCCGCACAACGACCGCCGATCTTGCTGTCAGGTCGTGCGAGCGCACCCGCGGCCTTCCGGCGCAACGCTATGTGCGTACCTTGCCGCTAGCCTAGAAGCCGAGAAGACACATCCATTCCTACAATGTTGATACATACTCGTGTATAATCGCCGAATCCCAGATCAGGCATTGAGCTTCAAGAAACCGGCGACAACCTGCATGTACCGCTCGCGCTCCTCGAAGAACGGCGTATGGCTCGAGTTCTCGAACGTGACCCACTTCACCTTCGGGATCCGCTCGAAGAACGGCGCAACGACGAAGTCCTGCGAGATGTCCTTGCGCCCGTTCAGCACGAGCGTCGGCACGCGCACGAGGTGCAGCCGGTCGATGATGCTCCAGCCGACCATGAGCCTGCTTGGACATCAGCCTCATGGATGCTTTCAGTTAAGACGGGAAACTCACGGCGCGTGCGCTACAGTCGGGTCTCCGCCCTCCCCGATGCTCGCGTCGAGCGAGTAGAAGTACTCCTCCGGCGGGGGCTTCACCGTGCACCCGTGCACCGCGTGCAGCGCCAGAATCGCCTCCCTATACTTCTTCGTGTCGCTCATCCCTCCCCCGATCCCCGCCTGCACCTCTGGGGGGAACGACTGCAGCAGCCCGCCGACGCTCTGGATCCACAGCTCGAACGACGCGAGCGAGTTTGAGAGCACGAGGTGTTTCAGGCCTGCGGATTGCGTGCGCACCGCGAACTCCGCCCCAAGAACGCCGCCCCAGGAGTGGCCGAGCAGGTCGAAGGAGTCCTGCGCGCCGAGATGGGTGAGGAGGTTCTGCAATTCCGCGACGAAGAGGTCGACCGTCCAGAACGTAGGAGGTTTGTCGCGCACGTGCGATGAGCGTCCGTTTCCGAGCTGATCGTAGAGCACGACGGGCGTGGCGGAGGCCACGGTCAGGTCGGCGAGCGGGACAAGGTAATTGTGCACGAGTCCAGGACCACCGTGGAGACCGATGAGGGGCGTGCGGGAGCGGTCGGAGAGGTCGCCGAGGACTTTGTAGTACGTCTCGTACGTCTCGCCATTGTAGGTGAAGGGGACGGTGCCTTCCGTGGTGAGTGTATGCGTGGTCGACATTGTAGGATATTGCGAGGCTACAGCACGTGAATTAATTAGGTATCGATCTCCGTTGACGACGCAAAGGGTACCATCGTACCAATGAGTTCGGTGTCGGTCTGTGAAGCGGGCACTTTGACTTTACTTACCGTGATAACGGTGTCACTTTATACGCCTTCGGTGGGCTGTGTGGTTCATGTGAGACAAGGTCGATCCAGGAGCTCGTGGAGTCCGCCATAAGTTCACGCTGATCGACGATGACTTCTCCGGGGTTCAGCCGGCGTTTGTGTCTCGCAGGAATTGCAAACCGGAAGCCACCCAATCAAACCAAGAGTTTATGCTAGCTGATAGGTGGAGTTGGCGGTGCCAATCCCTGACTTTCACCTAGGGTATTCGCGGGTGCGGCCACAAGCTCTGCCTTGAGGCGAAGATGTGGGGTCTCGGACATGAGCGCTGAGCGCGAGCGCGCACCTCCGCCTCACCGTCTTCGTTTCCGGCGTGGCTAATTCGGCAAATGTCGCGGTTCCTACTGACGAAAAAAATTGTGGACATACTCATGCAGACTACGCGTTACTACTGAAGATGTGTATCAGCAGTCGATCATCATAATGGCACCGTACCGTTACAAAAGATATCAGTCTCATGTCCCCAAGAAATCGTTGCGCACCAAGAGGCTGTGGCAGGGTCCTTGACTTCTTGTATGCTCGCATGGAGAGCGCGAAAGACGATGTTGACGCCTTCACTGACAGACTCCGCGTCGTCAGCTCCCCTCCGTGAGAGTATCGCGGACATCTTGTCTGGGTGCCAACATAGAACACCAAGGACCACGTACATCAAAGCAGCCAATCATTATAAGGAGATCATACTGTTACAAAGGATATCAGCTTCAACGCTGTAAGGATACGCTACGCACTACGGGGTGGCGCAGTGTCCTTGACGTGATGTATGCGTGCATGGAGGGCACGAAAGACCACGTTGACGCCTTCACTGACCGACCCCGCGTCGGCAACCACAGTACGCGCGAGTACCGTGGACATCTTGTCTGGGTGCCAGCGTAGAAGCGCACTCCGCAATCTGTCGGATTCGGTCGTCGCGGTTCCGGTCGCCTGAAGAGATTCAGTGAAGAACTGGACGATGGCCTCAGGCTGGAGATCATGAGTGGAAGACGGTTGTTGAGGGACAGGCCATGGGATGTCCGCAAAACCAAGGGGCGTGTCGGAAGCCAGGAGAGCCGTCCAACGCGTTTTGTATGTCTCCCATTGCTTGATGACCCTGGCCAGCGCGTCGCGTCTCCGAGCCTCCGCGCGAAGGTACTCCGTGCGTGCCTTGTCGACGCGTCCGTGTCGGTCGCGCACGCTCAAGCCCATGCGGACGTATTCAAGTTCGCCCTGCAGAGCCATCTCCGCCTGCGCCTCAATACGTCGCTGCCGCTGCATTTCCTGGCGTCTCCGTTGTTCCGCCGAGGCTTGCGCACGCTCCTCTGCATCGCGGGAGGTCTCGGTGGCTGCACTGGGAAGATGATTGACGTCATTTTGTGGCTGCTGGGTGGCAAGTCCTTCTCTCGCAGAGCTCCCCGATGGCACGCTGCTGGGCGGGGGAAAAGCGAAGTATCCAAGGCCGGACATATAGGGAGCACTTGGGGATGTGGACGGCTGGGGAGATGAGGGAGTGGAAGGGGTTGAGTGGAGGATTTGGAAGACCGCTTTGCGAGCGAGCTCGGTGGTCTTACCAGACCCCGCCTCGGACCCCAGACTCCCGCGCACCTAACTCGAGCGGGACCCCGGTACACTGTCCCATCCTCGCGCATCGATTGGCACTGCTCAGAGGACATTTCCTGTCGTAAAAAAAGTGTCCGCATCGATTCCTCACTTCCCTAAGGACACTCGTCTGCTATAGAGAATAAGGACAAAAGAATTTGGGGAAACAAATGAGAGCGAGAGTAAACGCCTCCACGTGGGGAGTGGGGCGATGCCGTACGGGGTGACGCTGTCCCAGACCTCCCACCGCCTGCGCTCGACCGCGTCCCAGCTGTCTGCCTGCTTCCCAGTCCCTGCCGCCTGGCGCCGGTTCCCAATGAGCTCCTACTATCGCGAGCATGTCTCCTTCCCCAATGTCACTTCCGGTCCCGCTCCGCCCTATCCCCCGCCCCTCACCGCCGTCGACGGCGCGCACACTTTTGCCCATAATGACTCCAATGGCGGACCCCAAGAAGAAGGATCCAACACCAGACACTGTTCCGTGAAAGGATGCGCGGCCGTCCTCGCGCCGGCGTACCCGCACAAGATGTGCGAAGAGTGTCGCAGTCGTCACCGCACGTACGCGAATACGAAACGCGCGAAGCGCAAGATGGAGAAGGCCCTCCTCAATTCTGGCCAGCCCGTGGCATGGATGCCCGACGACGGAGCTTCCCAGCAGGACGAGCATGCACACCCCGGAGAGCCTGTGGCGGGTCCATCGCGGTCTTTCGAGGTAAGTTTCTGTTTGTCGCGAAGGCATGGTGCCATTCTTCGGGAAGAGTCGGTGAACGCGTTCGTACACGTCGCCATGCGCACGCGACGGAAGCGATACGGCTTTCTTTCGTCAATATTCCATCCTTATGAACATACCAAGCGTATGCTCGTTTTTACAACACGCGCGTTGCATCCTTAGGCTCATTGTGGCCACTGGCAGAGTTCGTAAGAACGTATACAAGTGACTTCGCGAAGAAAGTTGTATCGCGGAAGTGATCCTCCAAAAGAGGCCGCGCTTCGCTCAAGTTCTATGTGCGGAAGTACAGGAACGAAAGCTAATCGAGATCACAACCCTCTCCGCAGATCCCGCAAACAAATGACGAAAGCTCGCAAGCCTTCGACTACTCTCAGCCGTGGGACCCCCGCGCGCTCGACCCCAGCCTCTTCTCGCAAGCCTCTGAGCTCGCGGGCGCACTGACTCTGCCGCACGGACACGCGCACTCCAGCGACCATGACCTCTTCGACCAGACCAGCTACCAGCTGCACCAACTCCAGCAGCAGGTGCACCACCAGCAGGCGTTACATCATGCCCAGCAAATGCAACATCATCAACACCCCCACCAACACACTGGACCGCCGCCTCCACCGCCAGCCCCAGAAATCCATCCAGCCCTCGCGGAGGTCCTCAAATCGGTCCCGAACCTCACTCTCTCCACGCGCATCACCTCTGGACCCACCGTCCCCGTCGGCGCGAGTGCACCACCCGTCGACGGCCAGCTCCCCCCACGCTTCTGCTCGATCAAGGGCTGCAAGACGCTCATCGCGGGCAACTCCTTTTTCAAGATGTGCGAGCCATGTCGGAACCGATACCGCAACTACGGCACGACGAAGCGGGCGAAATGGCGCAAGGAGAAAGAGATCGCGGTGCATGAACTAAAGCAACTACGCGAAGAGGAGGACAAACGGCGCGCGGAGCAAGGCCTACCACCGCTCCCGCCCGACGACGACGAGATCTGGCACGAGTACGCCGCCTCTCCCCCGGACGGCTCTGGGTCGGGAGACGCAGGACCGTCGGGGCAGGGCTCGGTCGACGGACAGCCAACCCCGCGTCCGCCTCGGATGTGCACCGTCTCGCATTGTCGTGAGATTCTTCCCGGGGACTACCAGTACCTCCGCTGCGAGCGGCACCGGATACAGAACAGACACCACAGCAAGCTCAAGCGTGTACGTGACAAAGAGGTGAAAGCGCAGGTCTACGACGGATGGGCAGCCGCGGCGGGGCTGCGCGACCCGAGCTCTGGAGACGCCGACGGGGTGGACGACGACGAGAGCAGCATGAGCGGCGGCGAGCAGGAAATGGATGCCCAGCTCGAGCTCGAGGACATCGAGCGCCACCTGCGCGAGCCGAGCCTGGACCCGGAGTACGCGCTCCCGCGGGTCGTCGCGGAGTCCGGGGTTATGCTCGCGGGCGACAACGGCACGGGGCCCGACGGGGAGCAGCTGGACGAGACGCCGCTCGGGGAGCCGACGCACGGGGTACCGCCCGCAGCGCGCGGGTCGAGGCGCACGAACCATGTATGTTCTATTCGTGCGTGTGCGAACTTGCTGTCGCCGAGCAACCCGTGGAAGATGTGCGACCTGTGTCGGTCGCGCGATCGTGCTGGGCGACGGCTGAAAGCGTTACGGGATAGTGGGCTCATCCCGCCCGAGGTGGTCGATCCGAAGCTGGAACGGATGCGGCTGGAGGTGGAAGGCAAGGGCAGCAGGAGCATGTCGGGCGCGCCACCAGGCGAGAAGAAAAGTAAGAAGGGGAAGAAGAAAAAGGGCGAGACAGCAGACGTGAAGAACGCGGGGGCTAGCGATGCTCAAGGAGACGGAGAGGCGGTTGGCGGCACAACGGGTGGGGAGATGAACGGGGGCCCTTCGATGAACACAGGTGCAGAGGGGATGTCGAACGGCTCTATCGCGCCGTCTGTGTTGCAGCGCGTTCCATTACCAACCCAGGGATTGCAAGCCGCGGACGCCAGCTCGTCAACATCCATGTTCAGCAGCGCCCCTGCGTCGGATCAGAGCGCCTTCGTCTTCATGAATCCGCTTTCTCCTGAACAGGCTGCTCAGATCAATGCGCGGCATGAGAAGGTTTGTCCCTGTTCTCTATGAATGCGACGCAGTGCTGACCCGCTTGCATATTCAGATAACAGGAGCCCCCTCTACGGCAGGTCTGGCAGGCATTGAGTCCTCCAGTGCTTCCGTAGGCAATGCCAACACGGAGGAGAGCGGTAAGGGCGTTGATACTACGATCGCTTCGACGGCTAGCGCACCGAAGAAGAAGGGCAAGGGTAAGGGCAAGTCGAAGGTCAAGCAGCAGAACACCAGTGAGGCCACGCCAGCCTCACAAGCCGTCGATACCCACGGCGGCCAAGAGCCTATCCAGGCTGCTGACGGCGCGCCCCCCTCGAATACCGATGCGTCACAGGGAGCCCCTCCCCCGCAATACCCGCAGGGCTACCCGTACTTCATGCAGCCACCGTACATGCCCTACCCACCCCCACCGAACTACGGCTACCCCTACTCGCCGCCGAAGGGATCGTATCCGCCTCCACCCCCGATGTATGCGCCCCCGTACGGCGCATACCCCTACCCCTACCCCGGCCAGCCGTACGGATACCCAGGACCTTACGCGCCGCCCCCTGGACACCCATACCCCCCACCTCCGGCGCCAGGGCAGGGCTATCCTGTACAGTCGAGTCCTCAGCCGGGACAGGCGTACCTTCCTCCTCAGCCTTACTATGCGTACCCTCCGCCACCGCCTTATCAGTCGTCTCCGACGCTTCCGCAGCCTGCTCCGGCGGAGCAGCCGGAGGAACAGCCGGAGCAGCCACAGGAGCAGCAGCCAGAGCAGCAGCCGGAACACCAACAGCAACTTCAACAGCAGCAGCAGCAGCAGCAGCGCCCGCAAACGCCACCACCTATCCAGCCTCTCGTGTACAACAACACCTTCCCGCCCACGCCCCCCAAGGCACAGCAGGAGAGCACCCATCAGCCCGAGGCAGGCGCGTCGTCGTCCTCCTCAGAGCCCGGGCGGCCACACCCGCAGCGGTTCTCGACCTTCATCGTTCGCACGGAGGAGACGTACCAGAACGGGCAGCACGGGGGCTCCTCCGCGAACGGCGCCCCGGGGGCTAAGCGCAAGCGGTCGGACGAGGGCGAGCTCGAGTACGGGGGCGCGTACTCGAAGTTCAGGCTGCAGCCGCCGGTGCCGACGGCTGCGAGCATGGGCGTGCACGTGGCGCACCATGTTGACCGCGTTGCTGTCGCAGTTGTGGACGCCCAGGGCCCGCAGCTCGTGGAGGTCACGCAGCCTGCGGAGGTTACGCAGTCTATCGCCAGTCCGCCTTCCGACAAGGTACGTGAAGGTTGATGTACGACGCGTCGATTGGGCACTCACTACCACAATGCAGATCTCTTCGTGCAGCAACAAGAACTGCAAACGGCTGCTGTCCGCGGGATGCTCGGGTTCGCTGTGCGACCGCTGCAAGGAGCGGCTGAAGAAGAAGCAGGCGAAGGCGAAGCACCGCTTCAAGCTTGAGCCCAAGTCTCTGCTCGGACGGTCTGCGAGTGCGCAGCCGAGCGGCTCGGGGAGCGCGACGCCAGTGGTTGCAGCTGTGGTCGCGTGAACACTGGCAAGGACGATGGGGATGGGGAGGGGTAGTTTATGATGCTTAATCGACGGTAACTTATTGAACGCATCGATTGTTGCACAGTAGATCGTTATACCAATACTGCGCCACGGCGATTATGACATGCCACCACTAGCCTACGGGCATCTGTCCCATTTATTAATTATAGGAGCCTTGTCGAAACTATGTCTCGACGTCCGGGTTCTTCATTTCGGGCCCATATCATGAGATGCGTCTGAAATAGCGATCTTGCGCCTTGAGCGCTTGAGCTCGTACTGCTAGAACTACACTTTATTGCTACACATGCAACTGCGGTAGCGGCTGTATCTCGGTGTCCCTCGCGAAACGAACCTCGGGGAGCGGTATCCTCTCGAATGTCGACGGCTCGCTTTCTGAATCCGGGTCTTGCCAGCTACTGCGAGGCTCTACTGCTAACTGTCGTAGGTTGAGCAGGATATGAGAACCCTGCGCGTGTCCGAGGGTAAGGTCAGCATTTACAAATCGCGCGGAACACTCTATCACGTTGACTCACCGCGAACGCCATGACCGATATCTCCCAGCTGGGGTATTGGTGGCGCAGATCAGCGACGTATCGACCTCGAAAGGGGGATACGGTACTGACAAATAGCATACGCCTGCCAAAGCGTTGTGTTGTGTCTGGTACATCACAGTGTTAAGGAGCATGACCACTGCACAGTAAAGTCAGTGTAAAGTCAGTCTACATCCAGTGCGCATGAAGACAGGTTGTTACTTGCCGAAGATAATCGCGTATGCCCATGTACCGTCGCGCACCAGGACAAATAGAATCGAATGTCGATGTACTGGGGCCGCAGCGACCGTACTCGCGAAGCGAAGCAGGGTCAGCGCGAAGAGTGTGGTTTCGAACGCCAGTGAGAGCGTCCTAGAGCCATGAGAAGTCAACGCCGTGCTTAAAATTCTTGTCCAGCCACTACCTACCAGTAAGCGGGGAACAGCTTCGGGGTGGTAGTTACCAAGCATTGCGAAGTGAATGTGATCTGCGGAATGGAAATAGCGAGGATGCTCCACATGGCTGCGACCTCCGCCACGAACAGTAATATGATGAGAGCGAGAACGGCGCGATCTCGGTTGTACATAGCGTACACTGTTGCCAGACGGTGTCAGTAAGGCTATGCCTAGTATCGCGCCGATATAAATAAAACGTACCGCGGACCATCAACACAACCTCTACGATGATCGTGAGGGCCTCTATTCCCACTAGCTGGAATGCGATCCAAGCTTTACATTCCCAATTTTCCCAGATGTGTCCTGCGGTTGCGACCAGGGTCAACACAGCTCTAGTATTGAAGGTTAGCCAAAGCTTAGGGAGTTAATGGTACGACATTACCCTTGGATTAAATATGGTACGTGTCGCATGAGGAGGAACGTCCACTTCACCCAGCCGTTTCGTCCGCTATAATATCGAGTGGGTATATCTTTGTCACTAGATATGGTCCAGCCACAAACCTCCATATATACTCAATCTGAACGAAGACCGTTTCATCAGCAAAAGAGAGTTCAGATGAACGCGTAGGAGCCTGCTATATTCACCTCCCGGTCAAGGTTGATCAACACGTCCCACACAAGCAAGGCCGTAGCTGAACAGGCTACCTCGGAGGTCACTATGGAGGCTTATTCAGAGGGAAGCGTCCACCTAAGACCAGGGAGAAACGCACCGATGCCATACCTGGCCGCCGTTGCAGCAGGACCCATTCGCAAGGCAGGAAAAGCCAGAGACTCGATGCCTCCCGCTATCACACCCCTCTGCGGGTACTAATAGCACACTTAGACGCACCGAACGGAGCCATGGCTGGGAAGACCGGTCCATGCCTGCCACCCGCCGATAACACCGGGTGTACTTGAGCTTCTCGCGTGAAACGTGCCCGGCGCGATACGGGGTTTGTAAACCTGTCGCGTGCGGGGTGTGGCCAGGAGGGGGGGCGTTCCCCGACCTGCCCCAAGCGTACTCAAAGCCACTCACATGCCAGTGGTCTTCTCTGTCTTTCGGGTTGACCACCGGTCCATGCCAGTGGATGGACGCCACAGCTCCGAGACCACCGATGGGCCTGAGTGGACCCATCTATCGAACGAGAATGCACTGCGTGACGCGGGCACATAAGGGTCAATGAGGCCCCGAAGGATAACGGAGCTGTTTGAAAACTCACGAACATGTTGCACAAACTGAGATGAGCGGTTCGTGGATAGTGCCGAGCCGGATCAGCGGACGAGGGGCTCAGCGCGCGTAACGCAGGCTGTATTCATGACTATACGAATTAGACCAGTTCCATGCAACATAAGAATACACAGTACGACGAAGCGACTACCTAGTTTACGAACATATGGGGCGGAGTAGGGGAGAGAGAGATCAGATCATAGTCCATAGCGCGGTCATCAGTACCCCGCGGCGCCCGACCCCCCGACCACCTGTCGCGTCTGCAACGACGGCGACGGCGTCGGGATCGCGGGCTGCGGCGCGCGCGTGGGCGAGGAGTGCACGTTCGCCTGCGCGGCGGCCATGTTCGGGCTGAGGACGTGCGGCGATGGCGAGTGCGGGGTTAGGCGCGCGATGCCCGCCGGTGACGCCCTGCCCTGGCTCCCACCCAACGCGTGGTTCGCGCCCGCCATAGCTACACTGCGCGCGATCTGAGGGGTTCGAACGCCGTTGGCAGAAGGCGCACGCCCAGGAGACCCGGCGCCCATCTGCGCACCCGTACCATCAACACCGCCGACTCCCTCCACACCAACGTTGTGCGGTGACCGCTGCCCGGCCACGGGCCACTGCATTGGCCGCGCGCCGGCCATTTGCATAGGATAGGCGCCGTTGGGCATCATGAATGGCCCTGGTTGACGGAGGGAGATGTTCACGTTGTTGTCGGGGAGCAGCGACTGCATTTGCTGAAGAATCTGTCCGTTATGCCGCGGGCCCTGGTGCATGTAGCCGACCTTGGGCATGACCTGATAAGCGTTCGCCGCGGGCAGGGAATAGCCGTTAGGCATATTGGGTATGTTGACGGCAGCGGTTGAAACGAGAGGTTTGGCGGGAGCAGGGGTCGGGGATGTCAGCGACGTGGCCGCAACATCAGAATGGGTCGGGACGCCGTTGGGGCTCGATTGGCTTGGTGGCTTTGGCTTCTGCTCGACGCCATCGCCAACAAGTCCCTGAGTGTCTGCAAAACCGTTGACCGATGCACTGGATGGAGGCGTGCCGTGTGGAGACGCCGAGTGCTGTGCGCCATTGGGCGTGCCCCCGGGGACAACACGAATGCCACCTCCGGATGAGATGCGCAAGTGCGCAAGAGAACTTGCTCGTGTGGGGACCGATATTGGCGTACCGCTAACGCTGTTGGCCGAGACAGGCGTGTTGGTAATGGAAGGAATGGGAAGGGCAGATGGTGTTCGTTGGGCGGTGGGGATTGGGGCGCGCAGAAGAGGAATGTGGCATGGTTGGCCGGGCTGGAAAGGCCAGACGATGGATTGGCGACCTTCCGCCGTCGTCACATGAAGCGAAGGGTCCGTCGCGAGCAGCTTGTGGTCAGCTTCGCTGAACAACGACATGGCGATGGCCATGTGACTGAGGGTACGGTGAGCGAATTCCACATCGTATGCAGGGGATCATCGTACCTTGCTTGGCATGCATCAATCAACTTGCGGTCCTGCTCGTCAGGACCGCCTGCGCCAACAGCCGGAATATCGTCGTCATCGTACCGATACCGTTCTTCCAGCCTCTTGAGACGATCCATGGCCTCCTCGTCGTCCCCAAAGCTCGCTGGACGTAGCTTGACGTTTACGTGACGATCGATCAAGAAACGACCGCCGCGACCGCGTCGTAGCCGCACTGCACGGTGCTGCTCAGGCTCCTCGTCGCTCAAGGTCGACGCTGCGGAAGATGTTGTCGACGGTGGCCTGCCGAAATACTTGAACTGACGGGCGCCGAAAGGTGCTGGAGAGGCTTGGTAGGGGAACTGCAAGAAGATAATCCAGTTAGTTCAGGTCGCGGCCCATTGGTGAGCATTACGCACATCGCTGGCATCTTCCCACTGCTTGTCCGCCTCCTTGCGCTTCGACAGGTCGTGGTCGATTGCGCTTCGGATAGCAGCCTCGCGCTCCCTGGGGCGGATCTGTGGCTCCATGTGTGTGATAGGCGAACCCATGTCTCCAGTCTCTCTCGGGCGTGGCTTGGAGGGGCGACTGTGTATCGTTCCGTGTCAACGGGGCATCTACGGATATTGACTAGAGTTCGCATACCTTTGCTCCACCTTCGGCTTCTTTGGTGGACGCTCTCGGTCGAGGTAGAGTTCTTCGTCTTCTTTTGAACCAAGCGAAGGACGAGCGCGCTTGAGATCCGCCAGAACATGCCGCTTGTCCCATAGATAATGGTTTTGGGACTGGGACTCGCGCTTGAGTTGTTCACGTTGGTGTACAAGCCGCACTAGGTCAAGGGTAGTTCCGAGTTCGCCTTGCAAACGGAGCATGCGATCTGAGTACGACGCCTGCGACGCTCGGGTCTTGCGTACGGCTTTGATCTCTCTCCGCCTGAAGCAGATGTAGGATTCGTTCTTGGTATCGGTTTCATCAAGCTGTAGAAATAGAGTCAGCTCGCGCGCGAAAGAGTTCAGTCGAAAGACTTACGAGGACGGAGGGTATAATGCGATGACCGCCTCGCTCTAAGCGGCGTTCTCGCCAGTACGGGTAGATGACACGAGCAAACCGCAGGAGATGTTGCGGATGAGGGACCCAGTCAGGTACGTGATACACCGCCAACAGCTCGGGTTTCAAGGGTGAGGCGAACGTATCCTGATAGTCCGAGAAAGGCGGGAAGGGAGCGCCCTGTTCAACACCCTGGAGAAGTGTTCAGTTCAAGTATGGCATACGATCATGGTGCTGCTCACATGGTGGAGGAACTCTGTTTTCTCGTGCGTCACCTTCTCAAAGATGCACATGACGAGCTCGAACTCATCCTCGCTCATGACGACAGGCTGAACAACGTCCGGCTCCTTACCCTTGGACTTCGCGCTACGGCCGGAGCGCGTACTGGTACCGGAGAGCGCGCCTTGGGCGCTGGTACCTTCGCCGCGAGCTTCTTCGTTGTTCTTGTCCAACCAGTCCTTGTCGCGCTCATCCATGTAATAGATGAAGCCATTGGCAAGGGCATAGGACGTCGCTTCCTCGATGGTGTCGGAGGACTTCACATATGTGACTGGGTCTTTCCACCTCCCGGAGGGGTACAGCTGGTCGTAATTTTGAACTACGCCGGTACTATCGGGCGTTGGGATGAAAGCGGCGGGAGCACTCTCCTTCTCGGCGGCGCGCGTCGTGCGCGCCGCCTGATGGCGGGAGGCGGCAGCGTTGAGGACCGCTTGCAAATGATGTTCCTAGATAGGCAATCGATAGTGCTTAGTCAGCATTCCGCGGAACGAGATTCCCACGGTTCCAGCCAATCAGAGCCTGCCACACCCCAGGCCTCCAACAACAGCGCAGACGGCGAGCAAAAGGGGGGAATCGACACTCACGTTGGCATCCTCAGCGTCCACACCTGCTGTAGAGACAACCCGGGCCTTCTCCTCATCTTCATCGAGGACGATGGGGTCGGCGTCGATGGAGTCTTTGATGACCTTGAGGCGAGTCTTATTGGTGACACGGTTGCGATTTCTGAGGGCAGATTGGCCGGGATGTGTGGCACGGGGCATATCATGAGGCGAGGGAGGAAGTCCAGCAGAGGAGGATGTTGAAGAGTCGACTCAGTTGAGGAGGCTGTGGGCGGCGACGACGACTGGCGCGCTGAGCAACGTGAGGCCGGTCGAATATCGTGTGGCGGGCCGAGACCTTGCGATTGGAGGAAGATAGCCTGCAATGCTTACATAATCACACTTCCTGATCGGGACAGCTCTCCATAAACGCCTGTGAACGCCGTACTCAGTGGCGGCACGGACGTTCTGCTCGTGGGGAGAAAGGGCTGCATGCATTGCTGGTGATTGGGTCTCGTACAGTGGTCTACCTAGGGAGGAGCAAGCATGTTAGCTATCGATAGCGTGTGCCCAGTGGACACTGGGGAAGCATCGAAAGGACGTTTGACGACTAGGACACTCACATAAAATACTACAGTTGGCCACACAACGGGATGTGTTCTGCACCAGAGGTGATAGCGTGGCACGAGGTAAGAGCGATTCACCATAAAGCTTCCGCTGAACAACAACGTCGCCATCATCCAGCGCGTAAGCCTTACTCTCGCCGCAAAGCAGGCGATCACATATCGAACGACAAATGGTGTGAGCAACTAAATGAACGAAGATGCTGAGCAAGAGAGGAAAAGGAGATGAGAAGATAGGAATGTGCGCACCCTTTGTTGGAGGAAAATTGGCCTGCTCTAGCCTCCTACCGCACGAGGCGTGTCCTTCCTCGGTTTAGTGAGCGCAAAACGACTTACTAGATGTCTTGTTATCGTAGTGAGCGTATGTAAGAGCAGTGAAGCGGGGACACTGCTTTGAGTGACCACGCATACAAGCTGTTTGCAGAGGTGGTGGGAGTCGGAGGGGCGGCGCATGCGCGCAGTGGCCCACACTCTACATCAAGAACACCCTGAATCAAGCAACGCAGGATACAAGTATGCGTGCAGGGTATTGGGGATACCAGAGGCTGTTGAGAGAGGAGATAGAGGAGCGTCGCCGCTGTGGGCGACGACGGCGGCGGGAACAAGGATGGAGGCAGGACGGAGTTGTCTCGCACGGCAGGCCGGGCTTCACAGCGCCCACGTGCAGTCGGATCGGTATCTCGCGTGCGTAGCCACATCGAGTTAGACGCCGTGAACTGTACAGTCGATGCCCCGCGGGCCTTTCCGACGCCGTATCCGTCAATCCAGATGGGTACATTCGCTCATGACAATGTGTAGGCAATTTGGAGGAGGCCTCAGGCCTCAGATCTCAGACCTCAGGCTCTATTAACGCCATGGATTGGCTTCTTGAGTCATACATAAAATATGCTAACAGGTCTGAAGTAAGTCACGATCTTACGAATCTTGTTCAGGAATCAGAATCCCACATTGCGGTCCCTTCAGGTGCTTGCTTGAGTTCTGCTTAGTATTTAAGTGAGCTGAACTAAACATCGTAATTTTGACGGAGTGGTAGGACCAAGTAGAGTGCTCGCTGCCAAAAAGGAGACCTGAGCTGGTTCGATTCTCGTAGTCCAGGCCCAAAGCGTGTCGCGCGCTCGCCGGGGCAGCGCTTGCGGCAGGCGCCGAAATGACAAGGAATGGCGAGGGCGGAGTGACTTGTGGCATGTCCGCCGAGACGATGGTCTGATCTGCCCGCTGCTTTATACCGCTACGACGCTCTCTGGTCGACCTCTTACGAACCTAGATATTCTGTCTATTCTGTCTGTCTTGCTTGAACCTCATCTGTACTAGAGTTACTTGACTTGCAGCAAGAGAAATGGCTACGACCGCGACCCTACCCGCGCAGGCTTCATCCTCCTCTCCCCCCTCTGACAAGTACAGGGGCGCAGTCGTCGAGGTTCGCTAGCGTACTCCATGCGCGCACGGCTTTGGACTAACGTGCCGGCACGCGGTTTCGTAGGACCTGCAACTGGCTCCGGCGTTCGCCCTACCGGCCAGTGAGGCCATCTCACGCGCGATAGAGATGGCGTACGAGCGCGACTTCTCGCACATCCCGTGAGTACACGCTTCCCGTGCGCGCCCGCCTCGTCTCGGAAATGAGGCTAACAACGCCGCCGCTAGCGTGCTGGACCGCAACCGGAAGCTGCTCGGGTACATCGACGTCGCCGCGCTGAAGGCGAAGTGGGAAGCCGGGAATTCGAACCCGGTGAGTGAGCCTTCGCTCGCAAATGAAATGGCATTGTGCTGAATGTAGACCCGCGTTCACAAGGACGATAAGGTGTCGCAGTACATGACGAAGTTCAAGCGCACGGTCGGCACCCCGTACACCATTATTACGCCGTCGACGCCCCTGGCCGAGCTGGAAGACTTCTTGAAGCTCAATCTTTTTGCTATTGTGACGGATTGGGACCGTAAATTCGTGCTCGGTGTAGCGACGCCGCAGGATCTGGAGGTGTGCATCCACCATGATTCCTACCATACGTCCTCCAGTCTGACATGCGCAACAGAAATTCGTCTCTCGCCGTGGGTTCTGAGTGGGGATAATAGTGTATCATATCATCGCCTGTATCATCTTCTTTTTGCTTTTAACACGCACGACGCATGGCTTCAACATGCCAATCTATCATGTCACGAGCGCACGCTATACTTCTCTAGCTCTCGGATCTCGTTCGTGGGCGCGTGTATACACCTCAGGAACTTCATCCTATCGGGTTGTTAGGCCATATAACGACAAGCGAACGAGGAAGGTTTAAATGCCATTGACAATCTTACGCTGCAAATCCCGTCATGTAGATCGTAGTGGAACTTTCAGACAACCGCAAATACGGCGCCGATTATAAGGAAAGGAAAGGTATAAGATTTCTGAACTGTAAGTATACATCTATGGTACAAGGCGCCAACTGACCAAGGAAAGGATTGTGGGAGGGAGTTGTGATTACGCAGAACACGTGTGTGGTGTAGAAGCACATTACTGTTACATAGGGTATTAGTCAGGAGACTGGGACAGCGAGGGAGTGTTACAACGTAGTAGAGGGAAGCCAGAGAACGGAGAAAGGAAGCAAGGAAAGGGGGTTATCGACTGTTTAAAAGACTAAAACTTGGGTGTCCGAAGGGTTTGCGGTACTAGAAGGGTTTGCGCCGCCAGGGAATGATACCAAACGCGATCGGAGGAGCCCACGCGGCTAAAAGCAGCGCAATATGCTGCGTCCCGAACGCCGCGGGAGGATTGTGCTGCGCGAACATGTCCACGAGCGAGGTGACGGTGGCGAGGATCTGGGTCACGGACGAGAACAGCTGGAAGAACAGGATGCGCCAGACTGTGAAGGTGAGATGAAGGGGTATTGGGGGGTCGGAGAGCCCGGCGTCATAGGTCGAAGCTGTTAAATTAAGCGTGTGAGTCCCCGCGGACGTAAACGGACATAGGCGGGCATAGCAACGGGGGCACTCACGATCTGCGGGCGACGGCCTCCGCGTCGTCTCGTCGAAGTCCTCGCGCTGCGGCGTCCGCGCGAACTCGAGTTCGGACTTCGCGATGGAGGAAGAGTCGTCTGAGGGCCTCGTCCACTGCAGCTCGCCGCTAGTAGCGTCGTGAATGTCGTCATCGTCGTAGTGGAGCTCGTTCTTCCAGGCTCGCACTCGCTCTAGTTGTCGTATGTACGCCTTCTCGTCCTTCAGCCAGGGGGCCGCGTCGTACAAACCGTGGCCCATTTCCGAGGTCACGGACACGGTCATCTTGTGAGGCTGCTGGGCGTCGTCTGAGATATTCGCAAACACCAGGGGAGACGGCGTGTGTCGGCTGTTGTTATCCGGAGATTCGTGGGACCGCTCGGTGAGAGGAATGCTTGGAGGTCTCCACTGGAAGGGCAGATGATACCGCGTGCTGGACCTAGCAAGCCCGGGGCTGGTAGGGACACGGCCAGCGACAAGATGAGCTCCGGCTGAAGAAAGCGAAGACGGCGGAGAGGGTATAGCCTCGATGACGAGAGTCCCCGATGGTGTTGTGCTCCGCTGATCAAAACGCTGCATCGGTGGCGACGCAGCCGTGGGGGTAGAGACGTATTCTTCCGTGACCTCGTGCCAGGTTTTATAAGACCTGAATTTGGATTGTCGACGGAGGGGGACTGGGGTGAAATTATCGTTCGGGTTGGAGTGCGGACGTATAAACGAGCGGTTGTTTCGGGGGGAGTGAGTGTAGAAACGAAACGCTGCCGCGCACGTCAGGAGGAATGAGGGTAGAGCGAGGAGTAGCGGAACTCCTGCATAGCTTAACAGGCGGATCCTTGATCACCAACGATACGTCAGAATTGGCGTACGAGTGAATTCATTGTAAGTCCTACCAGACGGGGAGCGTCACGTCGCAAGATAGCCCATCTTCCGGTTTGATGGCGTCGAACCTGAGAGCGAGGACCAGGTACACGGCAAGAGCGACCATCGGGATGAAGATGAGAAGGAAAAGGCTTGCTGGATGCCATCGCAGGTTGCTGAGGCTGGTGATGAGTTAGCGGAGGTTGTTCAAAGCTAATATCGAGAGCTCTCAGACGTACATGTAGGTTGGGCTTGCGGGCGTCCCGCCTGCAGGCCGCAGGATAGCCAAGGACGTCGCAATGGTCATACAAGTCGTTATTGCGGTCAAGATAGACCATGATACGCCCATGAGCGCGGCTTGCACTGATAAAATACATGAGTATTAGCCAAGTACTTCCAACGTTCTCCGTGCGGGGGCGGCACGGTTGACATAGGGTACTTCAGGTATCATCTACCTCGACCTCCCCCTATGAAGCAGTATGAAGAGCGCACCTATACAATAACCCCGAGGCATCGCAAACGGGTCCATCTTCCATATCATTCCTGTGTTTGGCGCTAGACTTGAGTTCCCGCAGCATCTCCCGTAATGCGAAGAGACTCACCGAGGCAGAAGAGCCCCTGCACCATACAATTCGTCGCGCCATACAATACTGGGATGAGAAAGCCATTAAGCGAACGTGCGAACGCAGGAATCGCAGCGATGCTGCTCAGAAGGCCTATTCATGCATAAGAACGCGACAAAGGTGTGGGGATCGAACGACATACCGGTGAGGGAGAGCGTAAACCATACGATCTTGAGCCCAAAGGCCAGCATGCCCTCGTTCACATGCAGGGACGCCGGGGGGAACGGCTGGGTCTTGACGCTATCGCCTGGAGGTGGGGGTATAGAGGAAAGGGGAGAAAGGGATTGTGCCTCCGCCGGCGGGGGGACTTGTGAGAAAGATGGCGTCCCGAAAGCTGCTGTGTTGCTTCCTTCGAAGCTCGGGCACGCACATCAATGGATCAAGGCGTGCCTGCTTTAGGGAAAACCGAGCCACGAGGAGATGACCCCGGTCTGCTGGACTGCGTCTAAAGCCGCCATCAAGATAACCCCTTTGCTCGACATGATGCCATTGCAGGGTCAGGCTCCTGCTGTGGCGTCGCCGTCGGCATGTCAATGCGACGGCTCTCGCAGCATGTTCGCGCGCTCATCGTGAGACGTTGTCCGCTGCTCGAGGCAGGGAAATGTGTCGCTGGGTCCCGCTAGCTGCAGAGGGGATGGTCCGGCTCGAGGACGAGGTGGAAAGATGCCGACAGGATTTTCCGGAGCCGGTCAGGCGGCCCGTAGAGCAGGCTCAAAGTGGCTGAGACCCCGGAAGTATCTGTGACAGTTCCTGCAGCCCCAGGCGCGCAACAACCTCAAACGGGACGATCGGCGTCCCCAAAGTCCCCCAAGCAGCCAATCAACTCGGCTCAAAGGTGCTTCCCGATGATGCCGTGGGGACTTTTAGCGCGTTGCCTGGATCAGGGGTTGTCAGGGGTCCGGCGAGCGGGCGCGTTCTGGTTACCGACCGATCGAGCTGTGGCAGAAGTACTCCCGCTCGGCGTCTTTGCATTCTACAACCACTGCCGCCCATTATCCAACGTTCGAGCTCATAAACTACTGCGACGGCTCATATTCAAGCATTTATTTCAGAATATATGACACCGCGTGTGACATCACCAGCAAAGTCGGCACTGGGGTATATTTCTCCGTTGTCTTACGCGTAGCGCGATTCCATCGGTATGTCTGTGGAAAACCTCCGCTCTCCAGTTCCGCCGACAAGCGCGCCAGCCCTGATATGTCGTTTTTAGCCCAAGCCCTTACACTTGACCCCGAAGGAACGAAGACACCATTGACCTCTCAGTGTCTCTTGGCCCCATATTCGCATGCATCTCAAGCTCCGAAGGTCTTCAAATCAAACTTCAAACTACTACTTAGTTCTCTCATTCAAAAGCGCGCGCCGCGGGCAGCTTTCACTTATCGGCGAGGCTCGGCGGGCCCGCTCGTCGCGCTCCGGGTCCGCTATAACCATCCTCGGTTCGGCGTGCTACTCTCCGGAGGCTTTTACCGCGCATCTTCTGGTAAGCGTCAGAAGCCCGGGCATGATCATGGCTAGAAGATATCATCCGCTCTGATGGCGGTCGTGGGGCGAGTGACGCCAGCTGCGCTCAAGTGCTGGGCCAGGGCTGACAAAGGTACGTGCGTAGTTCCACCTCAGGGTAACTCTGGATAGCTAACCCATCTGCGCATTCTACGAAATAAGAGCTAACGGGACTACGGTCCTGTGAGAAACTCCCGGCAAAGTGTTTATACGTGAATAACGCCTTAATCATAACGTGAGTGAAGGTCCCGGTGTTTCTAACATGAAGGGTGAAGGCGTCCGTCGTCGTCCCCGATTCTCGAGGTCAGAGCGGTGTGCGCTATATATGTGCACGCCGCTCTGTACTCGATAATCTTCTCTGCCTGGCGGGTTCGAGCTTATGACACAGTTGACGTCAGAAAATGTCCTCCGAGGGTCTGCCAATCCACCGATGGTGCTCACAATAATCACGCTTTTACACACGCCAAAATCCCCCCTTCTCTAACCCCATGTTAATGGCATGTTATTAAGACTGTTGTTAACACGACTTTCTCACAATGTAACTTAGTTGGGCTTTACTCACAGAACTCTTAACAGGACCATTCAAGTCCTTTAGCTTCCGATTAGCCCCGGGTAGGCCGCTCGATAACACTGCTTGAGCTTCCGGGACATACCCAGTTGAATACACGGAAGACGCATCCGTAAATCCACCTCAGCCTATCCTACGTTCGCTCTGGGCCAGGAGACGTGCACGAGTATCGCACGCAACACCCCGTATATGCACACGCACGGCGTAGGGCCCCGTCGGAGTCTTTCAATCTAACCGGCATACTCACTACTGATAATTAGGTGAGTATACGCTGAGTATGTTCTCCTACCAATAAATCCTGGTCACAGTGTCTCCACGAAATACTGCGGTCAAACACGCGCTCAATTCAGGTGATTTTGCACGACTGGGAAGACAGCCGTCACACATATGACTTTTATCAAGCAGCCCTCCACATATGAGCAATGCCGAGCCAATTGCCAGCCGCAATACGTGATTTACCAAACTGCCACACATCCGTGGTACGTTCTCTGCATACTCACATCTCTTCCGATAATAAATGCTCGCGATACATGAAGCGCACATTAATTACAGCATCGTTGAAGGACGAATAGGTTACTCGTCCGCCGCTTGTTTGAGCTCTGTCACGCCCGCGACTTCCCCGCCAGCCACCGCCTGCAATGTGGCCGCAATCCCCGTAGGCTCTCCCTCTCCCGCCGCGGATTCCATGCTGCCCTGTCTCTCCGGCGGGCTTATAATGTCGGCCGCTTCGGAACACCACTCCATTGATACCGACACGTCCATGATGCTCGCCCCGATCCCGACGGGGAAATCAATCTCTTTGCGCGTCAGCACGAGCGTAGCGCCCTGCTCGCCCGCCCCCCTGGGATGGGGCATGTGGAACGTGGGAATGAACCAGAACCAGCCCATGAAGACCTACAGATCGCAGCAGCGTCGATGCGCCGACGGTCAGTGTGTCGCCCGATTGCGTATGTCTGTATCACCGAGCGCAGACGCACCTGACCGAGATACAGTTTGACCCGCAGCTCACGGTTCGCGTCGAGGACGACGCCACCATCACCCCCGAGCGCGCGCGTTGCGTCGTAGATGGACGCGTCTTCGGATTCGACAGTCGACGTCCTCGCGGCGGTCGCCTTCTCGCCGGCCTCGATCTTCTCGCGGATGCTCAGCCACTTGTCGCCCGTCAGCGGCCGTAGCAACAGGGTCTCGAACTTTCCGTCCTAAGTAAAGGCTCAACCGTGCACACTTCAGAAGCACGAGCGCGTACGGCCACCACGCACCTCGTCCGCGTCCTTGCGGATGTCTTCGTCGCTGAATGTTCCCATCCTAGCGAAGCTGCGGACCATCTTGTTGCTGTCGAACCTGCCTTCGTTGAAGAGATCGGCGAACGTCTCGCCCTCCATCTTGTCGGCACCCTTGCGCCGGACGCCCATCGCACCGCCCTCATCTCTCGTGAACCGCTCCCAGCTCTCTAGCGTCTCCACGAAGTCGTCGTCGTAGCGTGCTAGAGAGGCCCATACCTGGCTAGTGCTGTTTGTCGACGCAACCCTCTTCGAAAGGCCCGCGGTGTCGACCAGCGTGTTCACGGCGCGCACGAGGCTCGACTTGACTCCCGACAGCTCTCGCATGCGCAGCTTGATCTCCGTGAGCTTCACCTTCGGTGACGGACGGGCCAACACCGCGGGGTCAACGGACCAGAAATCGGGCGGCGCCTGGTGTGCTAGAACAAGCGACCAGTAGTACAGCCAGCGCCGCTGACTGGGGATGCTGACGCCCTGCTTGAGCTTCTTCGAAGGCGACGACGGACGCTTCATCCGCCCAGAGGTGTGTAGATCGAGGACGTGATTGAGGCTATTCGCCGTGCCTTTCCGCGCCGATGCCGCCGCCGCTTCTTGCGCCGCCGCCGTAGGCTTCTCTGTCGCCCTCTCACCGCCGTCTGTTATTTCGTGTTTAATTGGGTCGTCGCCTGGTTGTTCGCTCGCGCTGGCCACGTCCGCTGCTTCGTCGGCCGGCATGGCGTTCATCACCTCCTCTGCTCGAGTCTTCGCGAGCTCCTTCTCTGCCTTGCTCCGATCTACTATAGGCGCGCTCGGGGCTACGTCCAAGGTAAGAAGGTAGGAGCACGCCATCGTCCCTGATCGGCCTTTGCCCGCTGCACGAAGGTGACATTAGTACAGTGTAAACAGATCACACACGGCAGTTTCAGACTAACCTTTGCAGTGCATGACTGCGACGCGTCCTGGGGCACCATCAAGCCACAGGCGTATTTCCCGGGCCACCAACGCCAGAACTACAAGTGGAGGGGAGCTGTAACGTTACTGCTATCAGTTTGGCTGTTTGGTACATGCATATGATATAGGAAGAAGCGAAATGATCGGTCGAGTTGCGTTGGCTGCCGTGCAACCATGTCAGAGCTCAGACACGAGACATGCTGCTCATCTGCTCGTAACATTCGGTGGCGCGTAAATTTTTGTGGAGAATGCCCCACGCAAACGTCGGGGCTGTAGATCAAACACACTCACTGATGGTCGGGGAAAGGGTATCTGCTAACTCTGCCCTCAAATACGCTACTGGGGTACGAATTTTCTTTGACAGGGCAGAAGTTGAACACCCAGTAATTGTTGCCGTGGTGGTGGTCCAGGAACTTCTTCGCGTCTTCTCTGCGATTGCGGTAGAAGCCCTCTAGGCCGGTGGCGGGGTATCCCATGACTATGACATTGTCGGTGATGTATGCCAGATCTTGGAGAACAGCGGCGAGTTAGGCTCTCTTCGAAGTTCACTGGCGTAGAGTGTACGTACCTAACTCGAGGTCAAGTTCTTCATCTCTGTAGCGGGCCTTGTTTCCGGAGACGAGGCGGCGTACAAAGTCTGTCATGATGGTAGTTCAGTAAGAGGTGCTCGAATACCAAATGCTCCAACCGAAACTGGGCCCCGCCCGGCGGTTAAGGTACAGATGAGAGCTTTATGGCCATGACGTCATATACACACTTGTACTAAGATGGTATATAACGTGGTAGGCGAGCACCGCCGCAGTTTCAGCTGAATTCATTCCGCCTGCACCACCTACTATTTCGACCCCGTATGCGATTGCTTATTCTATAACGTCAGCGATTACAGAGCGTAAATTTGAACTGTTGACACTACTATCAGTGGGAGTGGCCTCCACACAACCTACTTAGTCTTATGGGACCTGTGAATTACTGGCCTGATCAGCATCTAGCGCCTTCTTTATTCAATTTGATAGTAAAATTCTAGCATATATCAGATTTAATATCAACGAGAACCTCGAGAGGGGCCCAGTGAGCCCATAAAGCGCGTTGAAGCGCAGATGTCGGTATGAGTAAACTCGTTAGACGCTCGGATGAATGGGCGTCTAATACATGCCTGTCATTGCCACGTTTGCTTAGGTAACCTCCTGCACCGGACTGGCGAGCTCGCTGTGGCTGCCCGGAGTCTGCAGCACTTCTACGCCCGTCACGTCCATCTCGTCCGCGAACTCGTCGTCTGTCTGCTTGTCAACCCACACGTTATCCACTCCTTTACTGAAAGACACTCTTGACAATGGCTACTGCGTACTACGAGTTCTACCGCGGCTCTTCGTAAGCCCCCGCTCGTTCCCCGGGCGTGGTACGCGAATTTGACGGGGAAACTGTATTAGAATCGGCATGGCCCTCACGGACTCGCTTGATGAGCTCATTACGAGCGGTGCGATCACGCCGCAGCTTGCTATGAAGGTTCTCCAGCAGGTGCGTCTGGGCTGGGGAGCAAGAGGGTACCCAAATATGCGCGGACAGGCGCTGACTAACCTCGCGTCGGGGGCGTGCAGTTTGACAAGTCCCTTGCGGACACTATGGTCAAGCAGGTAAAGACGAAGACTACATTGAAGGTATGTCATTTGCGTCATGCGTAGCTTGTCGGCTCACAGACCTTCCCTCTTCACCCCGTCTCCGTCCATTGTCCGTGGCGTTCGGCGGAAATAGGGCCACTTGCACACGTACCGCCTGTGCGACGACGTGTGGACGTTCATCGTGAAGAACCCACAGTTCAAGATGGAGTCGAACGAGGTCGTCTCCGCGCCGAAGATCAAGATCGTGGCTTGCAAGAACGGCGACGCCATCGAGGCCGGCAAGAAGTAACGCCCCTCACCCCAAGCCTCTCCCCGTGTACCATACCGGTGGTGCACTCGTTGCATCACCCCACATCCCTGGTCCTTCACTCGCATCCGCACGACCGCTGGCGCCGGATATCCGCTCACCCGTGTAATTGTACCCTGCACCCTAGAACCAGCCCTCGAAGGACCCGTAATCGTCGCGCTCTCCATTGTATTTGCTGTTCTTCAGAAAATTTGACACCGCATTCGTCTGTGTATCCGCGTACTAATTGTACCACCCGACAGTGCTTGAGGCAGACATATGTGTGGTATGCCTCGTCCTATTCTACGTACACAGTTCGTTCTGACGCTTCCTTCGGTATAAATAGAGAACGGGTAAAGCAAAATGCTATGCTTGACATAAGAACAAACATTTCTGTCTATCTCGCTTGCTACCGAGGGACGCCGGCCGCTGCATTCTCCATCAGGGGCACCAGGGAAGGGCGGCGCGGACCTGTGAGGTGCGTCCGGCATCTGTTCAAGCAGCGCGTCTCGGGAAGCCTTCGAGATAGCACCGTGCAATCACGTACGCGAACGTGCGCTTGCGCGAGCACACCACCGCGCATCCTTGCCCGCGCCCGGTATGGCGAACGTTGGGCGCAGGACGCACAGCGTATTTGGTCTCGTACGTCACCAGTGTCCCAGTGGTCGTCTGCCGGTTGTTTTGGAAGCATGCGTACGGAATTCCGCGCCCTTCGTACACCTTCCGTACGTTCGATCGCCCGTTACTTTCCGGTGGCTCGATAACCTTACCGTGCCCTCTTAGCGTTCTGTCAGGCCGCGTGAACGCGGGGAGCCTGTGATGGCAACGCGTGTGCCACGGCAGGCTTTCTACCGTCGCCGATCTCTCCACGGGCGGCTGAGAAGTCAAAACACGATAAGTCGACCGGGTGCTTTAACTTTCGCCGTCTTCGGGCTGCAGGCTGCTCGTCGTGTGCCTCGGGTGTCGCTCGCTAACGTCGCGCCCTGCTGCGTTCTCGAGCCCCTGTCTAGGTCGAGCCTCCAGCCTTAGGTTCGGGAGATAGGCAGGCGAGATGTACGTTTCGCGCGTCGACGGAGCCGCTCGGGGACCTTCGGAGGTCGTAAGCATTGTATTGCACGGAGGCCCGCTGACCTTCGGACGTCAACCATGCGATTGCGGCGCAATTCCGAGGGTACCGAGTTACCGACAGCCCACAGGTGCGCCGGCGTCGTTCTGGCAGTTCTGCGAGGGCCCTCGACAATCATGGACTTGTTGTCTGTTCAGCGTAAGGCGTAGGGCTTCAGGCAGCCTTAATCTGGTCCGGGCCTGTGTCGGTAAGTCATCTGGTCCTGCCGTTCTGCGCTAACGAACAGGTCCAATACAGGTCAGGGGCTGACGTCTCCGTCCAGGCTGCAACGGCGTTGGGCTGGAGCCACGTATATGAATAGCTCACTGGCAGCGCGGGGCGAGAATGTGGGGTCCGGGGCGGGCATCTGATGCTCGCAGTCTCGGGCATCGGCGCCGAACAGCCTAGCGTCAGCTGCAGCAGTTCGCAGTCGAGACGGTGCTTACAGTACCGGGATGGACGCGTCGTCTGAGCCGGGCGGAGCGGACGCATGTGGCTGCGGGCGGATGTGTCGCACACTCGCCATCGCTGCGTGTCGGGTACCCGCATTAAGGCCGTCGCAGTGCGGGAGGAGGCGGGCTTGGCTGCCAGTAACGCGCGCGATGTGGGGAAGTTCCCGTTGAGTTGACGCCTGGGTGGGAGAGGTCGATGAAGGAACGAGGACGAGTCCGGTCCATTGTCGAGGAGTCTGCAGCCGGATCACCGGGGAACGTTAATGACGGGATCTCGACCTTCCTGTGAACGCCAAGGGCGTATCTGGTCTCTCTGAGTGTTGTATTTTGGTCAGTACGAGTCGCAAGTTGTATAAGCAAACAGAGTGCCCTCGCATCCTCGAGAACGTGGAATGTGGTACAAACGTTGTCAGCGATGATGTGACGAGCGGAATCAGGCGGCGTTGGCGATTGGAGTTCCGGGTGGAGAACCATCTCGGTGATCTGATCTCGATCGCGCAACCAGATAAGGGAAGAGGACAAGCTGACTGCGCGGATGGAAATGACGAAAGGAAGGCGGGCCAGTCACCTGCGGCGGTAGCGCGGCTCAGTTCTCTGGCCCAGCCCGCCCCCGCCTCCCTCGCGAGCTCGTATATATTCAGAGGGGCGACCACAGAATAATACATCTACTCTCTACAAAACGACCTCATAATGCCCGGACGGCTCGTCGAATCACATGGCACGTTTACCGAGATCAAGAACGAACCCCGCGTCTGTGGCAGGGTCCCCGCCGCCAGTGCTCGTAAGCGGGGCAATAAACTCGAGTGCGTTTCTGTGCGATAAGTTCCGCCCCGCCTCTCTCTTCCTGACCACCACCTCCAGCCTCTACCAGCTCCTCTGCGCGACCGACCGTCACGTCCACCCTGACTCACAGCTCTCGCATTTCCGACATTCCGATCGGCCCGCCTCTTCCTGCGCCCCCGCCAGACCCCGCGACGCTCTAGCTTCTTCGCGCTCTCGCTCAGAGAACAATCTCCCCGCCGCCGCGCGTCCCAGATCTTCTCCAAAGTCTATGCAGCCCCCGCCAGCTCCTGCTCAGAAACCGCATCTCGTCTGGGATTGGGACATAGAGCATGCCGATAGGCAGGCCGAGCGAAAGGCCGACGCCGCCGTCCACGGCGCGATCCCGTTCGAGGTCGACAGGAAGCTCCTCAAAGACATCGTCAAGGAGCGTATGGGCGCGGATGTCGCGCGTATCAAGTATCTCGGTGCAGGTGCGTTCGGATATTCTTGCTCGCCGCGCGCTAGTACTGACATATCCCCGCTGCGTTACAGGCACATTCCACAAGGTAGGCATCCAGTTAGCCACATACATCCTCCCGCTCTCGCACCCCCGCTCGCGCTCCGCTGTCTCCAAGCCTCGTGCCGCAGTTGTGACACCATGAGTGGCACACCGCCTGAGCCTTGGATACCGCAGGCGTATCGTCAACCAAACTCGTCGCGCGCATTGCCGGTGGCTTCCATCGAGTTTCGCGATACTTGGCAGAAACCTACCATACTTGGCGCGGGGCGGCGCGCATCTTGGCACGAATGGACGTCGCTTGCTCGGCTCGCTTGTGGATGCGGTGCGGCGGGCAATCCGTTTGGGATGCGGGTCCTGCACCGCATGGCTGGGCAGCGACGCATACATTCTTCTTTCTCGCCGGTTAGACGCGCGATTGAACCAATGCTAACATAATATTTGTGCAGGGATACTTGGTTACATTGGTCGATGCGCGCGAAGTCGTCGCACGAGTTGCACGCCGCTTCATGCCACGGTTAAAGACCGAGTCTGAAGTGGCCACAATGCGCTATCTCCGCGAACATACAGATGTACCAGTACCAGAGGTCTACCAGTACGACGCTAACCCCTACAACCGATTAGGGGGCGAGTACATTCTCATGTCGAAGGTAAGATTGCGCCGTCTGTCGTGATATGCCCTACGCTGAACGTCCTCTCCTCAGGCACCGGGCATACCGTTGTCGAAAGTGTTCCACTCCATGCCGCATTCTACGATGGTTGCGCTGTTAGAGAACGTCTCGATGATGATTCTTCCGCTCTTCGCACACCGGTTTCCTATGATCGGTTCATTATACGACGGACCAGACCCACACGTTGCTTCGAACATCACGTCTTCGCTACCCACGCCCACGCCATCCTCCTATACCCGTCTTACCAATATCTCCGACGCCGTGTCGAAGCTCGAATCGCAACAAGATTCGTCGAAGGAGTTCCATGTTGGTCCGATCGTCTCTTGGCCGTTCTTCGGCTCGAACAGGGGCGACCTCTTGCACCCGGACGAACTCAACCGCGGACCCTGGCCGACGACACGCGAATATCTGCTTTCGTGCGCCGAGCGTGAAGTACGGGGTGTTATTCTAGAGAATGAAGGCAAAGCCGCGCCGCACAAACTCCATCTCGACCCCGACGAGATCCTGAGCTCGCGCCACCACAAGGTGACGGCGCTTTCCGACGATCAAAGCGACACCTCGGACGAGTGGGACTGGGAGGAGAGCGAGGCCGAATGGGATGGCCCGGGCGACACGATGTACCAGGATTATCGTCGCATGCAGCGCACTACTTTCCTTGTCGCGCACCTCAAGGAGCGCGAGCAACGCGTACAGGCCGAGATGACGCGCTTCCTGAGCATGATGGAGCGCCTGGGCGCGGTGAACCACGACGAGGGCGACGGCGGCGGAGGCGGAGGCGCACCAGAGGGGTTCACGCTCGACTGCCATGACCTGAACCTCGAGAACGTCTTCGTTGACGAGGACGATAACTCGAAGATCGTATGTGCTTCTTTACCTTGACCGCGTGCTGCTTCCTAACCCCTTGTCCACAGACGTGCATCATAGATTGGGAGTCTACTACCACCCGCCCGCTCTGGGCATGTGCACACGTCCCGGCGTTCCTTCAGTCCTCCCCCTTCACCGCGAAGCTTTTCCGCGCAACAGTCGAGCGCATCGCGCGCACTCCGCGGACGGTCACTGTTCTCGGCAAGTCCATGGATGTCGCTGCGATTGCAACCGAGTGGTTGCACCACGAGGCGTCGGGCACGCGCCTGCGGCTCGCGCACCGCTGCATCGAGTGGGACGGCTGGGAGGAGGGGCTCGTCGAGAGCATCCTCGGGCCGGAGGACCAGGAGGAAGACTGGTTCAAGACGTGGGACGAGGCTGACGCCGGCGAGGCGCCGCACTCCCCCGCGGAGGAGGGCGACCTCCCCGGCGACGCCGACGATGAGCGACCCGCACCGCCCCCGTCGGACTCCCCGCTCGTGTCTGGATCGCCGACTCTGACGGCGTCGACGAGCGAAGGCGAGGACGGGCTGAAGCAGCGCAAGGCGAGCGGGGGCGCGGCGATGCTCGCGGCGCCGAAGATCGTCGTCGCGGCCGAGAAGGCGCGCGAGAAGCTACTGAACGCCACGGGCGACTTCTGTGGCGGGCGCGGCGGCGAGCTCGGGCGGCGCCTCGAGGCGTGGCTGTACGTCAACGGCGACGAGGACGGGCGGGTCGACATCGGCCGACGGTGGGAGGGCGACGAGGGCGAGGGCGAGGCTGCCCACCAGGAGGTGTCGTAGGCTGCCCAGGCGCCCGAGTCCGCCATCCGTCCGTTAGTGGTTTTATGGTGGACGTTGTTTTGCATCTACCCGGGACTGTGTCTCTTGCATGTCTTTCCGCACCTCTTCACGCATTTCGTCTCATTCTCCCTCGCACATAGACAGTCCGCAGTCGCCTATGGTATCTAATTGCACGATAGTCGTATCCTCCATCGCACGCATGTATATCACACGCCTTCGTTCCAATCATGTACAAGATCGTCAACCCTATTTCCATGCATCCGTTCGAGTGACCGTTATTATTTGCCGGAAATTGAATACATCTGCACGAACACGTCCCTACGGCGGGCGGTACATGGGCATGAGAGAAAAAGACGACACTGGAATGCATTGACGTCAAGGGGACGCGGATGTATACATGCTAGAGCGATCCACGGCTCACAGGCTACCCGCGCCCGCTCCTGGTGCGGAAGCCAGCTAGACCTGATAACGCGAGAGGACCCGCACTGCGCGCGCCGGCCTACGCGTGCCATGCCTTCACGATCAGCTCGGTGAGGCCTGGGGTGCATGTGAGTGAGGGGGACCGGCTATATGCGGGTATGGAGGGACGTACCGACGTCGTTCGTGTTGAACTGGTAGACACCGACGAGCACGGCGACGGTGGTCGCCCGGAGCGTCCAGGTGGCGAGCGGGCCGATGCGGGGGAACTTGCGGGGGTGGAGGTAGTCTACGACGATGGAGTCGAACTGTGTGGGCCAGTTAGCCTTGCGTCGCGTTTGCATGTGATTTGGGCGTATGTTCTATGGCGGGTCGCAGGCTTTGGCAAGGGCTGCACATCATATTACACAACCTCGCCAGAGCAGCGACCCATAGACACGTTTCGAAGAGCCATGAATGTGGACGTACGCCGATGTGACTGTGCATGACCAGGCTGACGCCGAGCAGGCCATCGAGGATGGGGTAGGCCGTGCCGCTCGTGGCAAACGCAGCCACAGTGAGGGGGACAAGGCCGGCGGAGAGAAGGCGTTCGAACGCCCAGTGGTAGGAGCCGTGCGTCTTGGAGGGAGTAGGGAAAGGAGTGGGGTCGTTCACGCTGCCCCTGTAGATGGCTGCAGGTTATGTCTCAATCAACCGCACTCATGCAATAGACTGGGGTACGCACGGCCACCGGGAACATACGCGTGGTCGGCTGCGCCCCTGGCTGCGTTCAATTCCTCGTTAGTATCTTGTATACGGCACAGAGTGCACAAGACGGTGTCGCGAGCGGCGACGTTCGTCGACGCGACACGCCGCCCACGCGAGGCGTACCTTGGAGGGCCATTGGCCGCAGCGACCTGCGCGCCAGAGCGGAGGCGACGTTCCTGTTGAACGCAGAGCGGGCGACGAGGGCAGCAGACATGGCGGGCGTTGTGGGCGGAGGTGAGGAGGCTGAGGGCGGGGTCGGGGAGGTTGTGTGGAGGTGATCACGCTCGCCCAATCGTTCCGTCCCGATTGGCCTTCGGCAACTCCCTCCCGCTTTCGGCCGTACTTTCCGGTCACCGACCGCTGCCCGCAAGAGGAGGCTCGTGCCGGGCCGCTCACTGCGTACATACATGTCGTGTAGAAATGATCACGACTTATATACCAGACTTAGACTGCCATAGGAGACCATATTGTTTTGTCAGGATTTGTTAGTGGTATCAATGGAAGAGTAATGAAGTGTAACATCACCTTGGGCTCTGCACCACCCATATATGGTCGGTCTTAGAGGCCCAGAAAGCGTGTAATTCTTGGGACCCTAGACTAGGGCTTCGATGCGCCCGCTGAGTGGACGCGACGCGTCAGTGCACGCAAGCTGCTGGGCTCTGCGTACGCTCTCCCTTCATCTCCTCCCTCGTCCTCGTCCACTATGACGCCCACCAAGTTTGCGATTCCCGTTCCGTCAGAAGACCCAAAGAAGAAGAAGGAAGAAGAGAAAGCGGAGAACGGCGATGCCTCCGCTGCTAAGAAACCGAAGGAGGAGGAGAAAGATGGCGAGGACCTAGTGCGTACGCATGCACGCGTCGGAAGCATAACTCAACTTACATATTGCATTTCAGTCTGAAGAGGACCTCCAGCTGAAGAACGAGCTGGAGATGCTTATTGAACGCCTTCGGGTGCGTTCACCGTGTCTTGCGCGTACCAGACGCGTCTGACTGCCTCTCATTGTAGGAACCCAATACCGCGCTGTACCAACCCGCTCTGGAAACTCTGAGGACGCTGATCAGAACATCTACGTCCTCCATGACCTCCGTACCTAAGCCGCTAAAGTTCCTGCACCCCCATTACCCTGCACTGCAGGAGCTGTACGAAACATGGCCATCATCAGTGGACAAGGTATGTCTACCATGTCAGATCTGTACACGTCGCGTTTCGCGCGCTGTACGAACGTTTGCTCCGCGATGCTGAACCGACCGTGCCCATTAGAGCCTCTTCGCGGATATTCTCTCGGTTCTCGCTATGACATACTCCGACACACAACCTCGCGGCACCCTTCGCTACCGTCTGCTATCCGCTTCCCTCCGCCCGGCCTCCGCGCCACTTGCGGAACCTGGATCATGGGGCCACGAATACGTGCGCCATCTTGCCGCAGAACTTGGCGAGGAATACAACTCGCGCGAGTTCGACGAAGAGGGCGTGGAGAAAGCGTCCGAGGAACGCAAGGTCCCAGGTACCGCCGATGACCTTCGCAATCTCGCGTTGGAGTGTGCCACGTTCCTCCTCCACCATAACGCGGAGCCCGACGCGGTAGATCTGTTGGAGGAGCTCGAGATCGTGGACAAGATTGTAGACATAGTCGACGGCGATACGTACGAGCGTGTTTGCCAGTATATGATTCGGTAAGTACATATTGCAAAAAGTCAACTGTGGCGTACTGATATCATTCTCGTAGCTGCGTCAACCTCCTCCCGCCACCAGACGATCTATCCTTCCTCCGCACGGCCCACAGCATTTACGCGAAACACCACAAGTTCCCTCAAGCCCTTTCCCTCTCAATACGCTTAGGCGACCCCGCACTCATTCGTGCAGACTTCAACGCACCCGGCAATCCTTCTATGAAGAAACAGCTTGCTCTGATCCTCGCACGCGCGCAGGTGCCTAAGGAGTGGCTCGAGGCCCCATTGGAGGACGGTATGGACGACGACGAAGTGGAGGAGCTCCCTGAGGATCTGCTCGACTGCCTGAGCAACACTCGTCTAAGCGCGCAGTTCAAAGAATTCGGCAAAGAGCTGAACGTCCTGGAGCCGAAGAGCTTGGAGGACGTGTACAAGTCACATCTAGAGAACACGAGTAAGTCCAAAGAAGATGACACATCGTGAATTAACGTATTCACCGCATGCGTTTAGGGCAAACGACAACAGTAGATTCCGCGAAGGGTAACTTGGCCGGCACTTTCGTCAATGCCTTCGTAAACGCTGGGTTCGGTAACGACAAGCTGATGGCGAAGGCAGAGGAGGGCAACAGTTGGGTGTACAAGAACAAGGACCACGGCATGCTCAGCGCTGCCGCTAGTCTTGGCCTTAGCTTGCTCTGGGACACGGATGAGGGTCTCTCCCAGGTCGACAAGTACACCTACTCAGCAGAGGAGTACATCAAGGCGGGTGCGCTGCTCGCTACCGGTATCCTTAACTCGGGCGTGCGCACGGAGGCCGACGCCGCGCTCGCGCTGCTCGGCGAGTACGTCGAGAACAAGTCCGTCCCGCTCAAGACGAGCGCTATCACCGGTCTTGGTCTCGCATACGCCGGCTCGCATCGGGAGGACGTGATGCAGCTGCTTCTACCCTACGTCGCGGACGACGGTTTGTCGATGGAGATTGCGTCTCTCACGTCTCTGGCCCTCGGCTTCATCTTTGTCGGCAGCGGCAATGGCGAGATTGCGAGTACGATCCTCCAAACGCTCATGGAACGGGAAGACAAGCAGCTCGACGAGAAGTGGGGGCGCTTTATGGCCCTCGGGCTTGCCTTGCTGTACCTCGGTGCGTGCCGTTGATGAGCAATTCCAGTCGAACTGAATACTAACATTTGTGCCTAACGTAGGTCTCCAGGACGGTGCTGACGCGACAATAGCGACGCTGAAGGCGATCGAACACCCGGTATCCCAGCTTGCCGCTGTTCTCGTCGATATGTGTTCGTTCGCGGGGTCCGGTAACGTGCTTAAGGTCCAGGAGCTCCTGCGCTATTGCGACGAGCACATTGAGAAGACTGAGGCGAAGGAGGACAAAGATGCCGCACCAGAGGAACCTGCGAAGGATGACACTTTCCAGGCCTTCGCTGTCATCGGTATCGCTCTTGTCGCGATGGGTGAGGAGATCGGCGCGGAGATGTCGCTGCGGCAATTCAACCACCTCGTGAGTAGCGTCGTCGTCGGTGATATAGCTGGTCACTCACATCTGTTCAGATGCACTACGGCGAGCCGGTCGTCCGGAGAGCCGTTCCCCTCGCCCTTGGTCTCGTTAGCGCCTCCAACCCACAATTGCCAATTATGGACACGCTCTCGAAGTACAGCCACGACAGCGACCTGCAGGTCGCGCTCAATGCTATCTTCGCGATGGGCCTTATCGGTGCCGGCACGAACAACGCGCGGTTAGCGCAGATGCTCCGCCAGCTCGCCGGATACTACTACAAGGAGCCCGACTGCCTGTTCTTGGTCCGGATAGCGCAGGGTCTTGTGCACATGGGCAAGGGCACCCTCACGATCAACCCCTTCTTCAGTGACCGGACGATCATGAGCAGGACAGCCGTGGCTGGTCTCTTGGCGACGCTGACCGCGTTCACCGAGGCGAAAGGCTGTGAGTACCCGCACTAACTCCGTCTGTCTCTGCAACCAATACTGACCGGATTCAACCGTCAGTCATACTGGACAAGTACCACTGGATGCTCTACTTCCTGGTCCCCTCGATGGCGCCGCGTTTCTTGATCACGCTCGACGAGGAGCTGAACAACCTGCCCGTGAGCGTGCGCGTGGGCCAGGCGGTGGACGTCGTCGGGCAGGCGGGCAAGCCGCGCACGATCTCGGGCTTCCAGACGCACACGACGCCCGTGCGGCTCGGGACGACGGAGCGCGCGGAGCTCGCGACGGAGGAGTACATCCCGTTCGCGCATGTGCTCGAGGGCTTCGTCATCCTGCAGAAGAATCCCGGGTGGGAGCGCGAGGACAAAATGGACATCTGATCAGGCCCGACCGCCGACGCTCTAGCTCTAGTGTAGTACGCTTTCGACCCGCTGTAACTCTAATTTCTTCATCTCCTGGTGTGCCGGTGTGTCTGCAGTGTGAGACGGTCGACTCTTGGATACGATACAGGTGAAAATCAGAAGGTATAGGCGTCTGAACGGAGTTGCATTCGAATGCGCTGAGCAGAAACAGGAACGGACAGACGGCTTATGCGCTACATCGTACATTGAGCATATGCAAAGATTCGGAACAGGTCATGTCAAGAAGGGATACGGGACTGGAGGCCTCTTGCCTCCGCAGCGGATCTCTAGTCCGTCGGAACTGAAAGGCGGTTGTCAAGCCTGCTGCCGCTCCAGGTCAGAGCACTTCAAACTCACCTGGCGGCACGTCGAGGAACGGCGCATGGAGGTACCACGCCCCTGGAAATGTCATCAGACTCTTTCCAATTACGCGGAGCGCTGGGCGCAAGGGAAGAACGCATACGATCTCCGGTCAGCGTCTTCTCGTTGTACGTCTGCCCGTCCCCGAGCCAATGGAGCCGGTTCTCGACGGGGTCCACGCGCTCGTAGTCGTAGTCCTCCCACCGCGGGTGCATGAGCGCCTTCATTCCCTGGAGGTTGGAGCCTAGGGAGAGAAACATGAGCGATGATAGGGACGTGCGTTCCATTGGCGTCGCTGACCAGGCCACAAGCCAACGACTCTGCCCTCGATTTTCCCCATCTTGTACCAGGAGCGGCAATGTTCCGTAAACACGGTCTGCGGAAGGGGATGTAAGTGGAGCGCAAGCAAGTAGCCGAGCAGGATGTCCAGTACCTTTGGGAAATAGGCCTGGATACGGTTCAAGTTGTGATGATAGACATGTAAGCACTTGTAGATGTAGAGTACTCCTTTGGCAAGTACGAGGACGCACGTCTATGTACTGATCAAAGTCTCGGACGGCCTCGGGCTTGACCTCCATGCTCTTCAGGCGGTCGCGTTGCAGTTTTGCGGTAGCCTGCACGGCGTACATCACCTGATGCTCGATGAGCGGGGTCAGCATCCCTGAGGCCAGCCCGGAGTTGGGCCCGAGCGCCATGAACATGTTCGGGAAGCCGTCTACGGCGACGGAGAGATACGAAACGGGATGTGGCTTCCACTTCTCGTTGATGTCAACCCCGCCGCGCCCGATGATCTTGAACGGTAATTGGAAGGTCGTGTCAAACCCTGGAGAGCAACGGCTTGACTCGTAGCCGACATGAAGCTCAGGATCCAACAGTGGGGCTCACCAGTTGCGCAGATGATGACGTCTAGGTCCTGGTACTTTCCGTCAACTGTCTCTATACCTGTGTCCGTGATGCGCTTGATATTTGCGGGGATGAAATCGACCTGTAGAGAGGAGCAATGGGTCGATTAGGGATACAGCTACTTACTCCACACGCACTGTGCACATGCCAGCCACCTACGTTATCTTCACAAAGTGCCTCAAGGTATCCAGGCCCCGGCGTGATTCGTCTGCAACCCACCCGAAAATCGGGAATCACTTAGCATGACGAGAATAGGTACGCGGACAAGGTCAGCACGCGCGAAAGAAAGAGCATCATGGTGCACGACCGAGGAGCGGTACGCACGGTGTTCCGCGATCCAGGGCTTCTTTGCCAGTCTCTTCTTCATATTCTGCTTACATTCCTCCGTGATGCGCGCGCTCACGGCCGAGTCGCGTAACGTCCATGAGTACGTGCTCTGTTCAAAGGTAGATGTATGAGCTTCAGAGGTTCAATGGAGGATGCATTCCAGACGCGTACATTGAAGTCCTGTGTGATCGCATCCCTGAAGGCGTAGAAGAAGTCCGGGTCGTCCTTGAAGCGTTCAATCTCTTTCGGAGTGAAGTGATCTGAATCGCCGCAGTGAGTCCATCCTGCACGGCCAGCACTGGCACCCAGATGTTGTCCGGTCCTGCAAAGTAAACGACACTCACAGTTGTCCGTGGCGCCTCGTTCAAGGTCGAGGAAGGGTTTTACCGTGTCCTCACCAAAGGGTTGTGCGAGCCAGGTCTTTCCCCGGACGTAGTTCACTAGCTTTGACACCTTAGGTTGTAGAGCCGCCACTATTTGTATCGCGCTCGATCCCTGTAGATGCAATTAACACGATGCAGAAGCAACGAAACCACTACAGGAAAATAGCCATACCACCCCAATTACGCCGACCTTCTTGTCCGCCCACGTCTCTGCGAGCTCCTCCCACGTCTTAGGGGCCGGCTCGAACCCCGCGCTGTGGTGTAGCTCGCCCTTGAAGTTCTTCAAACCCTCGATGTCTGGCCACTTCCACCGGCTGAGGACCCCGATGGCGGTCACGAGGACGTCTCCACTGTCCTCAATTTCTTCCATCGCACCTGTTTTAGCGTTCGGGCGGCGCACCCGTACGTGCCATTTGCCCGCCGCATCGTCATATTGGGCGTGCACGACTTCATGCTGCAGGTGGATGTAGCGCACGAGCTTGTACTTGTCGACGGTCCCTTGGAGGTGTTCGCGGATCTCGGGCCCGGATGCGTAGATTGCAGACCAGTCTCTCTAGGGAAGTGGGCGGTTAGTAAAGATGGAGGCACCATTCAAGCCCAGGAATTTATCACTTTCTCTTCGAAGGAGAGCTGATACTAGAGTAATGTTAGCGTATCTGCGAAGCGACCCCTAAGTGGCTGCTTACACAGTGCGCAGGTATGTCGCATGCGAGCCCTCTGTCGACCAATACTTTAGCGATATAAAACGCGGGATACTGGGAAGAGAGCGCGACGCACGGATAGTTGTTGTTGTACCATGTACCACCGACGCCCGCACCCTTCTCGTAAATGGCGAGTTCAACGTTCGGAATCTTCTGCCTGAATCTACGCAATCCCAGATGTGAGTAACCCCCTTTGCAATGGTGGAATTGCATGTATTACGTGCCTGATACCTGCGGTGATACCGCCGAAACCTGCCCCGATGACGATGACCTTCACGGGCCTGTATTCGTCGATGGAAAAGTCTCCAATAGCGTACGGCGCTGAACGGAAAACTCTTCAACAACGGAAGCATGAGAGCATGAGAGGTGCCACCAGTACCTGCCATTGTGATGCTACAGGCGCGGGGTGACGAGTAGACTAGAGTCGGGGGGAGCCGGTAGCTGCAGCTGTCGTATATAACCACGGCTCGGTGGCCGCGTCTCCTTTAGCTCGACGGTAGCCCGATGCATCCTGGTCAAGGACCGCCAGTTCTTGGTGTGGAGGAAGACGTAAGGCCGAGCAGCCATGTCCGTTGCGTGGCATTCGTTGCCCAAGTTCGCGGAGAGTGGCGCAAGCTCGCCCGGCACTATCAGGTAAAGTTAGTAATGCATACTCCGACAGCGTATTGGGAGGACTCACCAATGGCAAATGTAGGTCGCCAAGTAATAAAGAAAGGAACTGTGTTGCTATGCATACCCTGTGTGCGACGCGATCGTGCGAGGCGTGCGGCCATACGCACGAACAAGCTTTTCTGCCGTAATACCGGACACCACGCAGCCTACAAAGTTGGAATCGAGTTACTGTGTTTGAAAACTTGACGTCGTTGTCGCGACCGGACACCGACACACCGAAGGGCGCGTGGAGGTCCGAGGTACCACTGTGCCCCTGACTCGGGAGTAATGCCGTTAGACTTTCCCCAAAAGAGCAGACCTGTGTATGGAAGGGTCCGCAGTCAGAGTCTTCTCGCTAATCGTCTGTCCGTCCCCGAACCAGTACAGTCGGTTCTCGACGAGATCCGCGCGCTCGTAGTTATAGTCAGAGTCCAACCACAGATGCAAGAGCCCTTTGATCCATGGAGGATGGAACCTGAAGAAGAAATCATGAGGTGGCAAGAAAAGAGCGTACACGCTTGCAAGCAGGATACTTACCGGGCCACAGGCCAACTACTCTGCCCTCCACTTCGCGAGCTTGTACCAGGAGCGGCATTTTTCAGCAAACACCGCCTGTAAAGGGGCGAGTTCAATTGACGTTGACCTCCGAGTCTTAGTGATCGAAGCGTGAGAACAGGCTTCAGGAAATATGCCTGGCAAGCAAATTAAGTTTCGATGAGTGTTTCTCGTGAATGTAATATTTCTGAGGGTTCCAGAGCAACAACAATTGTCATCGCGCTAGACCCCTGTATGCGCCCCTAGTGTATAATGAACGGTGATAGAAAAGAAAGTAATACGAACTTACCACGCCAATCACGCCAACTTCCTTCTTGCCGGCCCACGTAGCTGCTCCTCCCGCGTCTTGAGAGCTCAGGGCTCAAACCTCGTGCTATGGTATACCTCGCCCTTGAAGCTCTTCAGACCGTCAATGTTCGGCCATTTCCACCGGCTGAGAGCTTTGATAGTGGTCTGTACTCTACCGCTCGTGGTAACAGCAGCCTACCGCCGCCGAGGAGCCCGCAGTCGTGAACTTGAAGGTATAGGTGTCTGAGTGTCTGAACGGAGTTGCATTCGGATGCGAAGAGTAGAAACAGGAACGGACGAACGGCTTGCGCGCTACATCATACACGAGCATATGCGAAGATTCGGAACAGGTCATGTCAAGAAAGGATACGGGACTGGAGGCCCTCCTGCCTCCGCAGCGGATCTCTAGTCCGTCGGAACTGAAAGGAGGTTGTCAAGCCTGTCGCCGCTCCAGGTCAGAGCGCATCGAACTCACCTGGCGGCACGTCGAGGAACGGCGCGTGAAGGTACCACGCCCCTGAAAATAACGTCAGGCTCTTTTCGATGACGTGGAGCGTTGAGCGCAATGGAAATACGCGTACGATCTCCGGTCAGCGTCTTCTCGTTGTACGTCTGCCCGTCTCCGAGCCAGTGCAGCCGGTTATCGACAGGGTCCGCGCGCTCGTAATTGTAGTCCTCCCACCGCGGGTGCATGAGCGCCTTGATACACTGGAGGGCGGAGCCTAGGGAGGACAGCATGAGGTTTGGAAAGAGACGGCGCTGCGCGAGAGCCACTGACCGGGCCATAACCCAACGATTCTGCCCTCAGTTTTGCCCATCTTGTACCAGGAACGGCAACGTTCGGTGAACACGGTCTGTAGACGGATGTAAGTGGAGCGTCAAGATACCACTGAGCAGGATGTCCGATACCTTGGGGAAATAGGCCTGTTGGCGTGTGTCATATTCATGTGGTAGCAGAAGGATTCCTCCAGCACACTCGAGACGCACCTCCAAGTATTGGTCAAAGTCCCGGACGGCCTCTGGTTTGACTTCGATGCTCTTCAAGCGATCGCGCTGCAGCTTAGCAGTCGCCTGCACGGAGTACATGACCTGCTGCTCGATGAACGGGATTAGCCCCGCCGACGCCAGCCCCGAGTTTGGCCCGTCCACCATAAACAAGTTCGGGAACCCATCCACGGCAATGGAGAGATACGACACGGGGTGTGGCTTCCACTTCTCGTTGATGTCGATCCCGCCGCGGCCGATGATCTGAAACGGGAGCTGGAAGGACAGGTCATAACCTGGGGGACAAGGGTATCAGTGATCGGCGGAATCAAAGCTGACTCACCATTTGCAGTTGACTCACCAGTTGCGCATATGATGACGTCCAAGTCCTGAGACACTCCATCGACTGTTTCTATACCAGTCTCAGTGACGCGTGCGATGTCTACCGGAACAAAGTCGACCTGCCGAGAGAGGGACAACGGGTGAGTCGTGGAGACATTGGTGCATCATTCGGACATGAGCCACCTACGTTGTCTTCGCAAAGAGCTTCAAGGTAACCCGGCCCTGGGGTAATCCGTCTGCAGCACACTGGGAAACCCGGGATCACTAACGTGACGGGTTATAATATGCCGACAACATTAGCGCGCGGGAAAGAATGAGCATCGCGGAGTAGAACTAGTACGAACGGTGGTCCGCGATCCAGGGCTTCTTCGCGAGTTTCTTCTGCATGGTCCGTTCGCATTCCTCTTTGATGCGTGCGCCCAAGGCTGAATCGCGCAACGTCACCGCGAACATGCTCTGTTAGAAGATAGACTTATGAGCCGGGGGTAGGCGTAGAGTATACATGTCGGATGCATACGTTGATTTCCTGCGTGACCGCATCCCTCAATTTGTAGAAGAAGTCCGGCTCGTTCTTGAAGCGATCCATCTGTTCTGGGGTGAAGTGATCTAAACCGCAGTAGCAAATCAGCCCCATGCGATCAGCATACAATTGCTGGCCGGGCCTGCAGTGTATACAAAACTCACGGTTGCCCACGTCGCCTACTTCAAGATCAAGGAGAGCTTCCATCGCGTCGACCCCAAAGGACGTCGCGACCCAGGTCTTTCCCCGGACATAGTTCACTAACTTCTTCACTTTCGGCTGCAGCGCCGGTACCATTTGTATCGCGCTCGATCCCTGTAGACGCAGTAAGCATGCAGTGTATAGCAGATAGGACCGGGCCCGTAGAGGAATATTGTCATACCACACCGATCACGCCAACTACCTTGTCTTTCCAGGTTTCCGCTTGTTCTTCCCATGTCTTGGGAGCGGGGTCGAATCCTGCACCATGGAGCAGCTTGCCTTGGAAATGCTTCAAACCGTCGATGTCCGGCCACTTCCACCGGCTGAGAATCCCGATGGCGGTTATGAGGACGTCTCCGCTGTCTTCGATCTCTTCCATCACGCCCGTCTCTGCGTTTGGACGACGTACGCGCACATGCCACTGTCCCGCCGCGGCATCATACTGGGCATGTATGACCTCGTGTTGGAGGCGAATGTAGCGCATTAGCTTGTACTTGTCGACGACCCCCTGGAGATACTCGCGGATCTCCGGACCAGAAGCGTAGGACGTAGACCAGTCTCGCTAGAGCCGCAGTGCGTGGTCAGTGAGACCACAAGTTTGAGTCAAGGGCAATCTTACCTTCTCTTCGAAGGAAAGCTGGTACTACAGTGACATCGTTAGCGATCTGCGGAGCGACCCCTGAGCAAGCGCTTACTGCGTGCGCAGGTATATCGCATGCGAGCCCTCTGCGACCCGACCCTGTCTTAGCAACGCAGAAAGCAATATACTGCGGAGGATGCGGCACTCACGGATAGTTGTTGTGATACCATGTACCGCCGACGCCCGCACCCTTCTCGTATATGACGAGCTCGACATTCGGGATCTTCTGAGGAAATCTGCATCATTATAAGGGTGAGTACCCCCTTGTGCATAGTAGAATGATAGACAAGCCGACGCACCTGATACCTGCGGTAATGCCAGCGAAGCCCGCGCCGATGACGATGACCTTCAGGGGTCTGTATTCATCAATGCAGAAGTCTCCGAGAGTGTATGGCGCTAGGGGATGGTTTCGCTTCAGTAGAAGAACCATGAGAACTTGAAGCTTCTCTACCTGGCATCAAGTGGAATGGACGGGGGTGGCGATATGACCGGGGGGCTTACTGGTAGCGGTAGCTCTTGTATAAGTATGGCCACGACTCTGTGGCTACGTCTTTGTGAGCCCGAAGTATACGCCCTAGTCGGACTCATCCTCGCGTGCCGTTTCAGAAGACGTCAAGCCGGACAAGAATATCCATTTCGTGCCCTTCATTACCCTTTGCAGACAGCGACGACTAGCCTGAGAGTAGTTCGGCTCCATGTACGCTATCTGGCAGGCAAGAGTAAGTGAACCATACTCTAACAGGGTATCTGGTATACTCACCGATGACTGATGGACTTCACTGAGGTCCAAAGACAGAAGTCGACTTGCGCACTATACCCTAGCCACAACGTTCCGAGTCAACTTAGCCTAGGTCATACGCACGAACAAGCTTTGCCGCCGTAATGCCGCTCGTTGCGAAGAACTCTATGAGACAAGATTGCATAAGAGAACGACCACTTGACCTCGTGTCAAGACGTAGTAGCCCGCAGTATCAGTGCAGACAAAGCCTCCTGGCTCGTAATTATCAAGTACTGTACCGAATGAACACAACCTGAGGGCCCTCTGCCACACGCACACGCCTCTGCATTAGTCAGTAGGAACTAGGTAGAAGGGAGTAGTTAGATGGGCTGCGATCAGGTCGCACACACGAGCCAAACTTACTCGGAGGCACATCGAGGAACGGTGCGTGGAGGTACCAGGCCCCTGGCAATGACGTTCGTTAGACTTCCCGAAAGCGCACGTCGTCATGTGGAAGAAAGAGTACGTACGGTCCCCGCTCAACGTCCTCTCGTTGTGTGTCTGCCCGTCCCCGAGCCAATGGAGTCGGTTCTCAACGGGATCCGCACGCTCGTAGTCATAGTCCTCCCACCGGGGATGCAAGAGCGCCTTGATCCCATGGAGAGTGGACCCTAGCGACGGGAGTTTGAATTTACGCGCAAGGAGAGCCCACTGCGAGGGAGGCACTCACCGGGCCACAGGCCAACTACTCTGCCCTCCGCTTTGCCGAGCTTGTACCAGGAGCGACACTTCTCAGCAAACACGGTCTACACAGTGGGATTATACGGTGTGGACGTATCAGTACGTAAAGCACAAGTACCTTCGGAAAGTATGCCTGCCGAGCCATTCAGTACTTCCTACGATAAAGGCATCTCGAGTGCGACCACTTACCTCGATGTACTGGTCGAAGTCCCGCACGACCTCGGGCTTCACCTCCATGCTCTTCAGGCGGTCGCGCTGCAGCTTAGCAGTAGCTTGCACTGCATACATCACTTGCTGCTCAATGAGCGGAACCAGCATTCCCGTCGCTATAGCGGCGTTCGGCCCCAGCGCCATGAACATATTCGGGAAACTGTCCACCGCGACGGAAAGGTACGAGACCGGATATGGCTTCCACTTCTCGTTGATGTCGATCCCGTTACGACCAATTATCTGGAAAGGAAGCTGGAAGGATGTGTCGTAACCTGTAACATAGCAGCATGAGCGGTCAGTGTATCACTTATATAGATCTGCTAGAATTGGCTTACCGGTTGCGCATATGATGACATCCAGATCCTGGTACTTTCCGTCAACGGTCTCTATACCTGTTTTCGTGATGCGCTTGATGTCCGTGGGGACGAAATCTGTCTGTGAGAGAAAGAGGCGCACGTCAATTGTGGTTGCATGCTGCTGAAACCCCGCACTCCGCTTACGTTGTCTTCGCATAGGGCTTCAAGGTATCCCGGCCCCGGGGTCACCCTCCGGCATGCCAGAGGGAAGTCGGGAATTACTGTGCACCAGTCAGGATAGCGAGCACGGCGGGAAGGAATGAGGGGCGCTCTTAGAACGTACGGTATTCCGCGATCCAGGGCTTCTTGGCCAGTTTCTTCTCCATAATTTGGGTGAAGACTTCTTTGGACTGCTTGCCCAAGTCAGAGCCGCGCAGCGTCCATGAGTGGGCGCTCTATGAACGACGTCAAGTTGTGAGATACATATATCAAACGTAGTGCGGAGTAAACACGCACATTGAATTCCTGTTCGAGCGAGTACCTGAAGTTCCAAAAGAACTCCGGGTCGTTCTTGAAGCGCTCAATCTCTTCTGGGGTGAAATGGTCTACTCGCAGCAGTGAGAGCACCATCCGGGCCAAATGGTAATTCAAAACGCACAGTTTCCGAAGTCTCCTGGCTCGCGGCCGAGGAGAGTTGTGACCGTGTCACCGCAAAAGGGCAATGCAAGCCACGTCTTTCCCCGGACGTAATTCACCAACTTCTTCACCTTCGGCTGAAGAGCCGCTACGATTTGTATGGCGCTCGACCCCTGGAGGCATAATGAGTCTGTAATACACTGTATACCCAGCGGTGGAGAAGGGACGGGACCATACCACACCAATCACGCCAACCTTCTTGTCCGCCCACGTCTCGGCGAGTTCCTCCCACGTCTTGGGCACCGGGTCGAATCCTGCGCTGTGATGTAACTCGCCCCCGAAATCCTTCAAACCGTCGATGTTCGGCCACTTCCACCGGCTGAGAGCTCCAATAGCGGTCACGAGGACGTCTCCACTGTCCTCGACTTCTTCCATGTCGCCCGTTTCGGCGTTCGGACGACGCACACGCACATGCCACTTCCCCGCCGCTGCGTCGTACTGCGCGTGCACGACCTCGTGTTGGAGACGGATGTAGCGCATGAGCTTGTACTTGTCGACGACCTCCTGGAGGTGCTCGCGGATCTCCGGACCGGAAGCGTAGAACGCAGACCAGTCTTTCTGTGACGGCGCGTCATTGACAGGAGATCAGGCGGTGGCATTCCGTGGGAGACATACCTTCTCTTCGAACGACAGCTGATACTGAGGTATAGTTAGTAGGGTTGCGTAGTGACATTTTTGCATCAGGGACGTACGCAATGTGCTGCGACGTCGCATGCGAGACCTCTGGGGGCCATCAGCTTAACAATGCGCAGCGTGGATGGGCAGGCTGCCCAAAGAGCTAGACATACGGGTAATTGTTGTTATACCATGTACCGCCGATGGCAGCGTTCTTCTCGTATATCACAATGTCAACATTGGGTATCTTCTGAGGGAATCTGCAGGACGTCATGAAAATCGGTATGCACAGGAGACTTCGGTGGAACGTTAGGCACGACGCACCTGATACCCGCGGTTATGCCACTGAAGCCAGCCCCAATAACGATGACCTTCACCGGCCTGTACTCATCGATGCAGAAGTCCCCGATGGTATACTGTATCGAGGGGGGAGTTGCTTCACGAGCAGGAAGGTGAGAAATTCCTCCGCCTGGCATGTTTGGAGAATTGAACGGGGGATCAAGTGGCGGCAGCCGTATGTTATTTAAGTACCGCTCAATTCTCATGCCCACTTCTGGGCCCGGGTGCATCCTGAACCATAGCTGTCGCCGTCAAACTCTGTATCCGTGTGTGGAGTTTAGAAGGCCAGTGACCGTGGAGACGTTCCTGTTGCGTTGGATTGATTACCCTTCGTAGGTTCGAAGCGTACATCGGTGTGTGCTACCTCAGCGTCAGTGGGTGATATGTATTGCGCCTGTACGTGAAAGGTGCTTACCGACGTCTCATACACATGTGTCCAGCGGGCCAAAGGGGTAACGAATTAAGTTGGTATGTCAATTCCCCAAGCTCGACATGCCCGCGTGTGAGCAGCGTCACGCGGACGGATATAGGCCTTAGACTCATGACGCCGCACACTGCGAAGCATTCTGTGAGAAGGAAGAAGGTTACTTGTCAAAGCTCATACTCGTAAATGGGGTCTCGCGGTGCGGCCCACACCACGGAGGCAGTACACCGGCTCCCGCCTACTAAGCACATGGGGTGTGCACGTAGAACCGTATGACCGTCTGGTGCACCAAGCTATGTGTAATCATGCCCGGGAGCTATCCGTTCATTCTTTACAGACCCGGTACATCAGGGTGCTTCGAGAGCTCTTCCAGCCTGCCAAGGGTGAGTCACTGATGGAGACCGCCGCAGACACATCACACACCTCCTCTTCGTTATGTACTTCCGCGAGCGCTGCTACACGCTTTCTTCAACCTCAACTTAATCATTTGGAACTGGAAAACTGTTGTTTGTATATCTGCAACAGGTCCCGCGCATGAGCACTCACCTGGCGGCACATCTAGGAATGGCGCATGAAGGTACCATGCCCCTGAAAACGACGTCCATCAGGCTTCCTTTCGAGACGTGCGGCGCCACACAAAAGCGATTAGCCCTTACTATCCCCAGTCAGAGTCTTCTCGCTGTGCGTTTGCCCGTCGCCGAGCCAGTGCAGGCGGTTCTCGACGGCGTCCGCGCGCTCATACTCGTAATCCTCCCATCGTGGATGCATGAGTGCCTTCATGCCATGGAGAGTGGAGCCTAGAGGGAAAAATAAGCCGGGGTAGCACGTGCATTCTGTGCGGAATACTGACCAGGCCACAGGCCAACAACTCGGCCTTCGTCCTTACCGAGCTTGTACCAGGAGCGACACTTCTCTGCAAATACGGTCTGGAAAGCTGGGGGTGAGTCGACGTGGATTACAAGTTGGCTTATGAAGCAGGCGCACCTTCGGGAAATACGCCTGACGTGCCGTTCGTGTGTTTGTAAGTGCATCAGTGCTTCCGACCAGGAAGGATAACATCTAGACGCGGTAACGCACCTCAATGTATTGGTCAAAGTCCCGTACGGCCTCCGGCTTGACTTCCATGCTCTTCAGGCGATCGCGCTGCAACTTCGCCGTCGCTTGGACCGCGTACATCACCTGCTGCTCAATGAGCGGGAGCAGCATCCCCGAGGCCAACACCGAGTTCGGCCCGAGCGCCATGAACATGTTCGGGAAGCCGTCCACCGCGACGGAGAGGTACGAAACGGGATGTGGCTTCCACTTCTCGTTGATGTCGAGGCCGTCGCGGCCGATGATCTGAAACGGCAGCTGGAAAGAGGTGTCGTAGCCTGTAGCGTAGCGACATGAGCGGTTCTGGTGCACTTCGTGCATAGGAATAGAGCGGCGTTGGGCTCACCGGTGGCGCAAAGAATGACGTCCAGGTCCTGGTACTTGCCGTCTTCGGTTTCGATGCCCTTCTCGGTGATGCGCTTAATGGGCGTGGGGACGAAATCGACCTGCCGAAGGAAGCAGAAGCCGCCGCGGCGTTCACACGACGGCACAGCGTTTGTATCCCACACAAGCCACTTACGTTGTCTTCACACAGGGCTTCCAAGTATCCTGGCCCCGGCGTGAGCCGCCTGCACGAGACAGGGAAGTCAGGGATCACTGGCATCATGCGAAAAGGATGAGCAACGGAAGTCAGCACACGCGACAAAGAGATGTTCGTGCGGGGTCCGTGGTACGTACGGTGCTCCGCAATCCAAGGCTTCTTCGCAAGTCCCCGCACCATATTCTGCCGGCACTCCTCCTCCATACGTTTGCTCAGGTCCGAGCCGCGCAGAGTCCACGAGTATCCGCTCTGTCGAAGTAGAAATCTTATGAGTCATAATGACAGCTAGAGCACTCGGGGCCAGACACATACAATGAACTCCTGCTCGAGCGTGTACCTGAAGTTCCAGAAGAAACCGGGCTCGTTCTTGAAGCGTTCGATTTCTTCCGGCGTGAAAATAGCTATTGCGGGTGATGAGTGAGCGCCGCCGCACGGATGCCGACGACGGCCATCCTGACTCACGATTGGCTTCGCCGCCTGGCTCGCGCCCTAGGAGACGTGCGACGGTGGTGTTCCCGAGAGGAGGTGGGAGCCACGTCTTCCCGCGGACGTAGTTCACCAATCTCTTCACCTTCGGCTGCAAAGCAGCGACCATCTGGATCCCGCTGGATCCCTGGGTATGCCATCAGCGTGACTGTAATGCGACAGCAAGAACGACATCGAGAGATCTAACCACGCCAATCACGCCAACTGTCTTGTCGGCCCACCTCTCGGCCACCTCCTCCCACGTCTTCGGGCCCGGTTCGAAGCCCGCGCTGTGCTGCAGTTCACCCGTGAAATCTTTCAGACCTTCGATGTCCGGCCACTTCCAGCGGCTGAGAGCCCCCACGGCGGTCACGAGGACGTCTCCGCTGTCTTCGAACTCTTCCATGGCCCCTGTCTCTGCGTTCGGCCGCCGCACGCGTACACGCCATTTTCCCGTGGGAGCGTCGTATTGGGCGTGTACGGCCTCGTGTTCGAGGCGGATGTAGCGCATGAGCCTGTATTTGTCGACGATTTCCTGGAAGTGCTCGCGGATTTCGGGACCGGACGCGTAGAAAGCGGACCAATCTTTCTGTGTGACGACGCCTTAAATCAGCGAGTAGGCAAAAAGATCAGTTTGAGCGAACCGACCTTCTCTTCGAACGAGAGTTGATACTGAAGCAGCGGGTTTAGCTCGCATTCGGCGCTGTGTGCTGGAGGGACTACTTACGCAGTGTGATGGAACATCGCAAGCGAGACCACTGTCGTAGCTTGACTCAGCATACACGCAGACCGATAGTTACAGGGATATACCCACGGGTAGTTGTTGTTGTGCCATGTGCCGCCGATGCGAGCACCCTTTTCGTAGATGACGAGTTCGACATTCGGGACCTTCTGCGGAAATCTATGACGTTCCTCTAGTTAGACCGAGCAGCCTAAGGTGATTAGAGGAGATGTATATGTACCTGATACCTGCGGTGATACCGCTGAAGCCGGCACCGATGACGATGACCTTCACCGGCCTGTACTCATCAATGCAGAAGTCCCCAAGCACATATGGCGGGGGTGAAGAGGCGGAGTTTTTGGGGTGGATACGACGAGATATCTCTGCGCCGGGCATGGCAGAAGAGAGACGAGACTACGAGTTGGTATGGGGCCGCGGCGACGGTAGCCAGTATATATCCGTGCGGCGCGATTCTCATGACAAACGTCTTGGCTTGGAAGCGGTTCATGGGTATGGAACATCCCTAAGTGGTGTGGGTTCGGGAAGCTGAGAAATTGCGGGGAGGTGTACCATTGGCTCACGATGTGGATACTTCAAGTTTACGAGAGCGATCGTGAGGCCGACTGATTCATTACAAAACCTACGTGCAAGATAAGTCTTTCTAAACGAGGAATAAATGTGCGACACTTACCGTGCATTGAAATCCAACCAGGTCTGGGAATACAATGTACTTAGAGCGGTACTTGTCCATGGGGAATTCGCGGTCTTCCAAAATTGATGTATCTCACGGACAGCTCTACGCTCCTCAGTCGTAGCTGCTGCGCAAACAGAAGACCTGCATGGGAAGAAGTACATGTGGGTAGGAACAAGGCTTGTCAGAGTGGATTGGAAGCATGGCCACGCTGGTCCGCACCTGACACATCCACTGAGTCTCCCCGCTCTCGGGATTGTCACTGGTCAGCCTGAGGTTCAATCACGACAGATCTAATGAGTACCAGTTCACCTCTATGTCCATCGGAATATTTATGCAAAACATAAGATATCCGACAGATGGTTGGTACAGATGGTTGGTATATGAGATTGAGGTATCGCTGTGAGCTCCAGATGACCGTAAGCGTCAACTTTGTTTGTGAACAACGACAGGCGCCTAACGGATACTGAACGCGACGTTGTCGGCGCCTAAATGGAAAAACCATCCGCCCCGTATTAATACGCCCGATCGGTGGCACTGCCCAAAGTACCGTGTGTCGGAGACTGTCCGGAATCGATGGCTGTCGACGACCGACGCCCCTCCTCTTGCTTTAACACCAAGATATCCTTTGGGACCCAAGTTGCCCAACACACGCTGAACGATGTCCTTTGCAGATCTCTCCTTATTTCCCGCGACCCCCGAGCAGGTCCTCGAGTCGCGCACACGGAGCGCGGTGGAATGGGCAAAGTCCCTTTCCTTGCAGGATTACATCCAGCGAGATGTCATCATGGACAAGTACGAACACGCTGCCAACGGGAAGCTTATTACTTGGTACGCAGTTGCAAACACACAGAAACAGTGCCGATGATAGCTAACCTTTTACCACGTAGGGTTTTGGCACCCAGGAACGACTCCACCACGATTGACTTCATGTGCTCCTGCGAAACGTGAGTAGCAGAAGCCGTCGGGTGCAGTGTCTCCTGAACGCTATCGTCGCCATCTTAGGTACCGCCGTACCGCCGTAATCGCCAAACGCGCGAAAGAGGTCGATGCGCGCGAGGTCCGCGAGGTCACAGCCTACGGCATCGCGTCTGTCTACACCCCCGCCTCGAAGCGCGGCAAGGGCTACGCCCGCCACATGATGCGCCTCCTCCACTGGGTCCTCGCGCCGCGCTCCGCCCTGCCTTCCGCCTTCCCCGCCGAGTGGGGCACCGCCCCCGACATCGACGTCCTCCGCGCGCTTGGCGTCGCGAACGCGCAGTTCTCCGTACTCTATAGCGACGTCGGGCCCACGTTCTACCAGTCGTCCGGGCTCACCCCAGGGTCGAACGACGGCTGGGTCGTCCAAGGGGTAGTTACGACGACCAAGGCCGTCCACACGCACTCGCATGCAAGCAGGTCCCCGCACGGCCTCAACTTGCAGCGGCTCTCGGAGGGCGATGTCCTCGCGCTGTACGTGCGCGACGCTAGCTGGCTTAAAGACGACATCTCGCGCCTCGCAGGGGACTCCGACCGCACCCTCTTCAGCTTCCTCCCCGACCGCGGCGTCGGCGCCTTCGTCCTCCAGCGCGTCATGACGCTCAGCAAGACCGACCGCTCACCGGTGCTTCCCAGCGCGCAGTGGGGTGTTGCGGTCCTTCCGCAAGGCGCGCGAAGCCTGAAGGAGGCTCTCAGGCAGGTCGTGGACCCGCTGCCGTTCGCGACATGGACGCTCGAACTGAACGCGTCCCCGCGAGCGCTGGTCGTGACGCGGCTCCGTGCGGACTCGCTGACGTTCCCAGCTCTGTTGGACGAGCTGCTCGCCGTCGCGCGCGAGGAGAAGGTCGAGATTGTGGAGTTCTGGTACTTGCCGGCTGCGCTGCGTGCGGTCGCGGAGGCGCGGGGATGGGCGTCGGCGGAGCGCAAGGAGCACCTCTCGGCCGTAAAGTGGTATGGGGAGGAGCGCACGGACGAGATCGAGTGGGTGTACAACGAGAAGTGCGTGTGTTGTGCTGCTGCTGATGTGCTTCGCGGGGACTTCGGTCTGGAACGAACGCGGGTCGTGGAGTTTTCGGCTGACAGTGCTTCCCTAGATTCTGCTGGTGCTAGAACACGAGGTGAGGAAAGGTCGGGTTGTATGTATAATATTGTGCGAATTTTAACCCGCATGTGTCTCGGATGTGGATGAAACCGACTAGATCTCTATTTCTTACGAAGTGGAACGCGTAAGGATTTCGGTGAGCTACCTATACATCGCAAGGTATGGTAACGTTATACGACGTCCGGTGACTGAACATCGTATGACAATGTTCATTGGGAAACCTTGTACTGCACTTGAGCTGGCTGACAACACGAGTTGATTTAATACACAAGGAAGATGCTTTGTGCACTCCTTCCAGGACTTCTACGTACAACTCTATCATGTCATACTACACCAATTCCTAACCAAGCCGAATAAGTTAAACCCTCAGGACCTCCTCATCCTCGTAGTCTAATCTAGTCCACCTCCGCCCCGCTGGGGTGTCGATGGGAATCCACACGCTTACGCGCCGTACTCTTTGATGACGCTGGCCGGCTCCTTGTACGCCGCAATGGGCGTGAACGGAACCTCTCCCAACCTAGATAACAGTGCGTCCACGGTCAGTTCAAGGCCAAAGACCAAACTGACGAGTTAAAACGTACCCAAATGCCTCAGGTCCACCACACGCGAGACCCTCGGGCGTCGTCGTCCAGCTCGGGTGTCCCGCGAGCGCGATGACTGTCACGCGCAGGCCATAGCGGTAGTCGGGCGTGCCCAGCGCCGCACCGTTCTGAGAGTCGAGCACGGTGATCAGGTCCGGGACCGTGGAGTGGATCTGCAGCCACAACGATCAGCACGAGGGGTATGGAGCAGGCGCAAGGGGAGACGGACCTTCTTCTCGCCGTTCGCGGACGCGACGTACGCGTACAGGTTCTCGTTCTGGAAGGGGATGACGAGCGTGTCGTCCGCCTTGACAGGGATCGTGTACGCCGCGCTGCCGCTCGCGTCCTCCTCCTCTTCCTCTTGCAGCGGCGCGATTGTGACCTCGCCCCAGGTGAAGCCCTTGCGAACCTCCTACTCTGGGAGTTAGTGGGGACGTTCGCGGATAACTTCAGTGGGAAAAGAATAACGCACCCGCTTGACGTCGACGACCTTGCCGATGAACAGGCACGCGCCGTTCTGCAGCTCGAGGATGGCCTGCGGAATGCGCTTGAGCTCGTTGTGCTTCCTGCACAGCGCGATCGCGCGTCCGATGCGCCACGCCTGCGAGACGCTATGGGGGACACCTGCATCGAGCATCAAGGTTGAGTATCGAAGATCGGGGTTGATTGTGTTTACGCAACGTACCGTATTTGACGCAAGTGACGCGGTCCATCGGAGCCATGCTCACACCGCTCTTGGAGCCCATCTCCGTCGTGACGAGACGCAGGATGTCCTCGACGGCCTTGCCGTTCCGCGCTTTGGGAAGGACCTGCATGAGAGGTGGGTGAGGCGCGAGGGGCAATGCGAGCAGTCGATTTACTCACCAGGGTGTTACCGACACCGTCCGAGATGGCACACGGCCACAGACCGTTCTCGATACCGTACGCGCCAGGAAGCCTACACCAAGAAGGATAAGCACTCAGCCCCAGATCCCTTCTGATCACTCAGAGATCTACTAACGTTTGCCACATCTGTCAGAGCCGTCGGCCGCAGTCAGTACTCGCTCGCATTTAAGTCTACGCCGCACTCACGTTAGGGTATGCACGGCCCATCAGGTCGCAGTCGAGGACGGTCTTGCCCATCTCGGCGGCGACAATCATGGGCTGGATGCCGTTCCCGCCACCGATCTCCTCCGAGATCGTGCCCTCGAAGTCGGTGACGCCGAGGTACTTCATCAGCTCGCGCGCAGACGAGGGGATCTCGTCGCCACCCTGGAGACGCTCGGACTAGCGGGATGTGAGTATGCTGCAATGTGGTGACAGTGGATGACCATGGGCTTACCGAAACGCTGGGCGAGCCCTGAAAGAGAGGTTTAGGATCAGGGCACGACCACGAAGGACACAGATGCGACGCACCATGAAACTGCAGCGGAAGAACATGGCCTTCTCCGAAACGTTGTCAGGATCCTCTATGATGATCTGCTTGCCGTCGCGCAACATCTGTCGCGCCATCAGGAACGGCGGGTACGGCGAGCCACCACCACCAGTCCCGAGCACACCACAGCCCTCTGCGATCCACTCTGTTCTTGCCGTCAGCGTTACGCCTGTATCAACCTCAGGGAAGAGACTCACCGAGGTCGACCTCAGACACCTTCCACGTGTGGTTGGCGAGTATCGTAGGCTTGTACGTGTCGATGTCGATCGCGCTCTCGACCAGCGTGACATCCTCCGCAGCAGCGGTCGTGTCCTCGATCGCCTTCTCGCCCTCGCTGTTCTCCTCCGAGTCGGCCGAGGCGAGCACGGAGTCCTCGAGCGAGGCGATGGACAGGGGCGCGAGGTCGCCAGCGGCCTTCACGATAATGCGCGTCGCCTCGTTGGTGACGTACTGCACGGGGAGGTTGATCACTTCGACGATCTTGGTTGTGGCTACGTCGGCGCCGGACGCGATAGCCTTCGCGATGGCCTTCGTCTTGATCTCTTCGACGACGTCGTGGACGTTGCGTCCCGCGAGGAACTCGATAGTGTCGACCTCACCAGCAACTACAGTGCGCAAAAGTGAGTACATGGAGATACAAACTGGGCTCCGAACTGCGTACCTTTCGCCATGGCCGCGCCGACAGCGTTCGCGACGCCGAAGAACGGCGGGCGGATAATCTCGCCAACGCCCGCGAGGGACTCCGGCGAGACGATACTGCCTCCGCCAACGAGGAGAACAGTGATGTCCTCGGGGGAGGTCTTCATTCTGAGTTGTATCGCATGAGCACCCCGCATTGGAGACATTAGTGAATAACTCACTTGTCGACGATCGCCTCCAAGAGCTTCTTGATCCTCTGCATCCCGAGCTCAATGGTCTCCGCAGACACGTCCGCGACCTTCGTCTTGTCGCCGAGCTCTGCGCGCCCACTGGCGACGATCAAGTCCGACGCGGTGAGTGCGTTTCCGCCGAACACCTTCGCGTCGCGAGTGATGTTGTGTCCAACGGACTCCGGGCCGACCGTCACGCGCGGGCCCTTGGGCGTCTCTACAGACCGGACGATAGAGCCGCCGCCGAGCGCGATCGACTGCACGTCCGCCATCGCGAAGTTCGTGCGCACGCCGCCGACCTCGATGAAAGAGGCCGCTTGACGCGGGAATCCGGAGGGCAACAATACACCGACGTCCGAGGTTGTGCCGCCGACGTCCACGACGATCGTCGCGCGACGCTCTCCCTTCACCTCGCCCGCACTGTCGTCGAGACCTGCGAGGAACGCGGCGCCGCGCATGGAGTTCGTCGGGCCAGACGCGAAGGTGCGAATAGGCAGACGAGCCGCGGCCGCGGCCGTCGTGAGCGTCCCGTCGTTTTGGGTAAGGAAGAGCGGGCAGTCGAGCTTGAGCGCGCGAATCGCACGCTGGAAGCCCCGGATCGTGCGTTGCGCGAACGTCAGGATGGACGCATTCAGGATAGCGGCATTTTCGCGCTCGAGGAGGCCGACCTGCCCGACTGTGGCGCCGGCGGAGCAGTGAGCGGGAGTATTCGGGTGCCTCGGGGGGTAGGTGCTTACCATCTCGGGAGCAGACCACGTTAACTGCGGGGCCGAGCTCGCGCTGGATAATTGCCCGGGCGGCGACTTCATGCTTCCCGTCGTTGTCCAGGGGGGAATATATCCCAGACAGGACGATCTGCGAGCGGATCCAGTTGAGCATGTTAAACGCGGTATGAGTGCGCAGGGGTAGGATGCTCACGTTGACGAGGCCCTTTTCTTTGATCAGCGCGCATTGCTCCTTGATCTGCTGCTCGTTGAGGGGCAGGATCTCACGTCCATCGACTAGAAGTTAATGAACGGTGAGCGGCGGTGCATGTTAATAAGGAGCGGGAGAAACGAACTTTCGAAGCCGCCGTCGACGTAGCCAATATGGCCTTCGGTCAAGGTGCGCAGGCGCTTCGGGAAGTCGACGAAGGGCGGGCACTGGCGGGTGTACGGGCCACAAAGACGGATCACAGCAACCTTGGCAAGACGGCGGGCGTCTGCCTCGAGCACAGCGTTGATGAACGCGGTCGTGCCAATGCTGACGGAGGAAACGTCGGAGGGCGGGAGGGCGGCCTCCTCAAGAACGCGGCGGACCGCGATCTCGATACCAGTAGAGACGTCGGGGGTGGTGGGCGACTTGTAGTGTGCGAGCACGCCGCGGGTAGGCTCACGGAGACGGCTGACGTCGATCAGGACGCCGTCCGTGTTCGTACCTTGTGGGGAACTTGTCAGTAAAGGAAAGAGACATGTCTAGTATGGGGCGCGGGGAATTTGAAAGGGCGGTACGACTTACCACCGACATCAACACCGATCCGAAGCATACTGGGAAGCTGTCTGTATTAGTGGAAGCGTGGCGATGGTGGCGCAGTTTCAGAAGCTAGCTGAAGCTGCTAGGGGTGGCGAAGGGCTGGGAAGAGATGAGAGGATCAGAGGAGCTTGGGAATCGCCAGCAAGCCATGGCGACTTTAAGGTCATGAGCGAGAAGAAAGTCCTTATCTTGGGATGAGTCGAACGGCAGGCCGGCGGCCTCGACACACGGCAGTTCCTGAGATAATGCAGCCACTAATACCAGAGGCGATCTCGAATACTCGATCGGGGGCGGGACATCCGTCGAGGAGATGGTATACGCGGCTGCTGGAAGAGATACACTCGGAGACTCGGACCTCTCGGAGTATTACAGTCGTCCCCGCGCAGCCCAGCGCCGATAGCGGAGGCTCCTGAGGGCGCAGCGGGGCAGGGCCGTCCTCGGGACCGGTTGGGGTACCCGCGGCCGGTTATCGACGCATTATGGCAGAATTGTGCGGCCGTGCGGGGTAATAAGGGGTCCGTTTATGGCGGGGGCGCCGGTGCGGCGGCTGAGAGGGGCACATCCATCGCAAGGAGGCTAGCGAGGCCGAAGAGTGCATGGGAGGAGGATGGGAACCCGCCCACACTGGCAGTGCCCCTCCATCGAGTAGGCGCAGGTTGAGAATGAGTGTGTTTGCAGTAGGCTCGTAAACCAGCCTCACGTTCGGGGCGGAAGACAATCGTTCCTCCCGAAGGGAGGCTGGAACTACGTGTGAGGGGGGGTGGTGAGGTCCCCCGTGGGAACGTCTGAGTTTGAACGTGCCGACGGCATGCGACTCCAAGCTTCCGAGGACAACTTACCAGTCGCGTCGCGCGCATTCGCGTTCTAGGACGCGTCTGAAACCCTTAAAACCTCTCTGTATGTGTCGCTTCCCATACATAAATACGACCATTTGTACGATGGACTGCGCTGCCTCTCGGGAACCGGGGAAATCGCTTGAAAACCTCTTTGAAACAAACATGGGCCCCGTAATGCTCCCGTACACACACTGTGCGTATAAGCGACGGCCTCCATCACTGATTTATGCGACATGGAGGCACACAAGGAGGTCGTCATTTACAGAAGAAACGAGCTCGACGGCTACATGCCAAAACTGCTCGAACCGCGGCGTCGACTCGCGCCACCACGACCTGGTTGGAGCTGTCAGAAATTCGAGCTCAGACGTTCCCACGGGGGACCTCACCACCCCCCCTCACACGATGTTCTAGCCTATGTTTGCAGGCGTCAATCGCACTTATAGCCTCCGATCCAAGCCATATGATGACAGCCTTGTCCTCCGAACGCCTCCTCCCTCTCGCCATCTCCTCCACCTCCCCCGCTGCCCCCGCGGCACCCTGCGCGCACGGCCGAGCACCTCCTGCCGCGGCGGTACATGTCCTCCTTCTTCGCCCACCGCGCAGATTCGTAAGTCCTAATTCCAAACACGAACTTCCCCGCCTTTGGCGCTGGCGGAAGGGCGTAACTTCCAAAGGGCCGCTCTCACACCTGCCTTACCCCGTGAACCTCTCCTTCTCGGTCGCTAACCTGACTTCCAGCGCGCGCAAACACGAACACCTCCGCAGCAGCATTGCACGCGCCTCCGACCTCTGCGCGCACCCATCTGCCACCACCACCACTACCAGCGCGGACGCGGACGCGGACACGAAGCTCCTCTCTCTCTCCCTCTCGCAGCTCGTCGCCGCATGCGAGGACGGATCTGTATCGACATCTGACGTGATACATGCGTATGGCAAGCGCGCCCTCGCCGCGCACGAGGCTACCAACTGTCTGGCCGACATCTTCCTCGATGAAGCCATCCAGCGAAATGAAACTTCTACCACGGCGCTATCCGAGGTCTCCGCGAACATCAAGGGCTCCCTGGAGCAACTTCCCTCGCGAAATGAAAGCGAAAGCGACAGCACCGGGCGCACGGCGGCGTCGCCCCTTTCCGGTGTGCCCGTGAGCATCAAGGACTGCATCGACGTGGCTGGGCACGACACCACCCTTGGATTCTCCGCCAACGCCGGGCGGCCCGCCCGCGCCGATGCGCCCATCGTGCGTCTCCTCCGCGACGCCGGCGCGCTCCTCTACGCGAAGACAACGCTGCCCACCGCATGCCTCTCGTTCGAGTGCTCGTCCGACCTCTTTGGATCAACGACGAACCCATACAACCCCGCGTTCTCCCCAGGGGCGTCGACCGGCGGTGGGGGTGCCCTGCTTGCGTGGCAGGGCAGCATGGTCGAGCTCGGAACAGACATCGGAGGGAGCGTACGCTATCCGGCAGCGTACTGTGGCGTGTACGCTGTGAAGGGTACGCACGGCCGCCTACCGAGCACAGGCTGCGTGTCATGCACACCCGGGCTCGAGGCCATTCCAACAATCACGGCACCACTCGCGCGCACACTCGATGACCTCGAGGAGTTCTGGCGAAGAGTGGTCGAGATGCGGCCATGGGATTACGACCACACAGTGCGTGGCAGCTTCTCGCGTTTCTGGTGTTGGTGGCGGGGCAGCTGATGATGCGCCCGTTGGTCTTAGTGTGCGCCCATTCCATGGCGCGCGGTCGATTACGTTGCGTCCGGACAGAAGCTGCGGTTTGGCGTCCTCGCGGATGACGGTGAGCGCGTCGTGTGACCTGTTGGCTATCTGCACGGAGGTTGAGCATGGCGCAGGAATTATTCCTCCAACACCGGCGGCGGTGCGGGCGTTGGAAGAAGTCGCAAACGCCCTCCGAAAGCAGGGTCACGAAGTCATTCCGTTGTAAGTTTGATCATCTTCACAGTGACGGTCCTCGATCTCATCACCTGGCAGCTCACCACCCAGCCCGTTGGAAGGCCTGAAGATCGGATTCCAGCTCATGTTCTCTGACGGAGGTATGTTCACTATCACATCGTTTCACCTTGATCGTTCTCGTTCATGCTCTGCAGCGAAATCCACCCTCGCGCCCAAGCGATTAGGAGAGTACGTGAACCCTGCGCTGCTGACCGTCCGCCTGATGCTCCGGCTGCCCTTATGGCTCAAGCGCTTCAACGCTACCCTCCTGCGCTGGTTCTCCCGACCATGGGGACGCAATGACGCATGGGCGAGTCTCCTTGAGGTCTTCCACCCCCGTAGCGCGTACGAGGAGCGGCGGCTGGTCATCGAGCGCGACGCGTACCGCGCGGCATGGCACGACGCGTGGCAGCGCGCGGATCTCGACCTGCTGCTCACCGTCCCCCACGCGCTGCCGGCGATCTCGCGGGAGCCTGCCGCGAGCGACAAGGCGACACTCGTTTCCGCGAACTACTCGTTCCTGTACAACGTTGTGCGTATCCCCACGTCGCCCCTCCCCTCGCTTTGCAACTGAGCACATCTCATGTTACCTAGCTCGACTGCACGGCGGGCGCCATGCCTGTAACTTATATCGACAAGGCTCAGGACTGCCTGCCGGCGGGATACCGCCAGGCGCCCGCGTACCAGGGTATGAACGACGTCGCGCGGGCGATACACGACCTGTACGACAGCACGAGCGTGGTGATGCACGGCATGCCCGTCGGCGTGCAGGTCGTCGGGGGGCGGTTCGAGGAGGAGCGCGTGCTCGCGGGCATGCGCCTCATCGAGCACGTCCTCTGGGAGACTGGCGGTGGGTTCGAGCCGCGGCACTTCTCGAGCTGAGTACAGTGCGAGCGAACATTGGTTGGGGACACGCATAAGGTTATTTGGATCCGGCATTGTTGTTGTTTATCGCGCCCCCTGCGGATGTGTGTTTGTGGGCATGGGCATACTGGGTATGGATACGAGGTTAATGGCCGCTGCGCGCGCGCCGTATTATGCACTGTACTGTTACTGTAGGTCGGCTAAGCTTATTTGTCTCGCGTTTGTACATACCCCATAGTAGGACCGCTTAATCGCGATGTATCCGTATCTCTTGCCTTCTGTTGTGGAATTACATACGTTTCGTTGCGGCCGCTTGGTAACTCGAGGACAAGGAACAGAGGCACGCACCATATTTGTAACAACGGGAGATCCCTATGCAGGTATGGGTGCCTGTGTATCCTGTATCGACCTATAGTATCGTCAGACAGTACGTACAAGATCGGGAACCCGCTTCGCCAGGTACCACCACAACCTTCGGAGTAACAAGTAAGGCACGCTCCGCCGGCACACAGATGGGGAGCGGGAGAACTTTTCATTGCATATGCGCACACAGGGACTGTTGTATGTGATACATGGTAGGGACAGGGAGGATTATACTGTACATTCGAGCTGCGCCAGCCAAGGCGCGGGGAATGAACTTGAGCTATGCATATGTGGGTGCAAACATTCCAGGTCCAGGGAAAGTGGGGGGAAGGGAACAGGGACAGGGAACAATTAGCGCGGTCTAGACGACTGAAGGACCCTTAACCTACTGGGAGCAGCGCGGGTGGATTAAATAACAGAATAAGGCGGTAATTCCGGATGGTGGGGACAGGGAGAGTGGGTCTATGTATACGCGGCTTGAATGAACGGACGTGATGTTTGTACTGTGAACGGATGTGATGGATGAAGCAGGAACGCGAGACGGATGTGGTGGAATACATGTGAGTAGGAAAGGAACCCGGGGGTGATTATAGTGTATCGCTGGATATTAATGCGACGCGCAGAGTAATCGTGACCATCCTCAAACCAGAGTCCGAAAGGCGCACAGCAGCTGCAGCGGTCACGGCCCACCTCGCAAATGCGACTGGTGTTATGACCTGCCGCCGCCACTACCGCCCGCGAGCCCTGCCCAGGGGCCGGGGAGAGCTCGCCTGCGCTTGGTGTCTGCTCGCCCAAAACTTGGTGCTGGGCCCCATCCAGGGGGAAAACCGTCCGCGTCCTCGGTCTCGGACCTCCTGTGTCGGCCACGGACGGGGACGTCCTCCTCATCTTCCCATGAGGGACCCGTCGGAGGAGATGCAGGGTGAGGGACCTGGGAATGATGCAAGTGCCGGCGGAGGCTCTGTATCGAATATTGTCGCCGAGCTGGTACAAGCAGACGCGCGAGGTCGAGTTCGCCGTCATCATCGTCATCATCATAGTCGTCGTCGCCGCCGCCGCTGCGGGAAGGGCTGTCCAGTCCGAGTAGGAGGGGAACGCGTTGCCCATTGACCCATCGCATGTTCCACGCGTCACTCTCCACATCCATAGCCGCAAGGGACGGCACCCGGTCTGCGTGCTTTCCCTTTGATCCGCGCCGTCCTCTGTCCTGGAAATTCCGCTGAGCACCACGTAGGGAACCAGCGCCGGAGTTACGCTCTCCGACTCGAGAGGCCGATCGCGACCCGGGTGCTGATCTGCAGACCACGTGTGTGGTACTGACGGCGCCGGGCGCCGTCTGTGGACGCTGCATGTAGAATGCCGAACCGGGAGGAAGGCCCGAAACGCTACGTCCCTGTGCGTGCGCCGGCTTGTTCTCCTTCGCAGTGCGCAGAGGACGCATAGACTGCCGACTGCCCGGACGCGAGAGTGGTCCGCCGATATGCGCGCCGGCGTCGGATGACTTCATGACTGCCTTAGCCACCGTCTCGATCCAGGAAGGAGGCATCGGAGGCTCTGGCGGATTGAGGAGAGAAGATAGCCGGGCAATGGAAGTCTCTCGTGCAGGAGGCGCGGACCGCTTGGGCATGTTCGGTGCCGAGGCCATATGGCGGAGGTAGCCACGGGCGGCTGATACTTGCGCATATGTCCGGAGACTGTTTGAAGAAGGTTGTTGGCGGAGGTCAGGGAGGTTGTGGTGTATCCGTCGTTGAATGTGTTGGTAGCTGACCGTGCGCCCGTCCGAGTTGGAGCTCATCATGGAAGATAGAGTCGTGCTGGAGGCAGAGTGGGCAGGAGAGGACGGTGATTGCTGTGGTGCTCTGCGCTTGTTACCCAAAGGAGAGGCGGGGGAAGCGGATCGCACGGGAATTGCATGCGTGGAGGATCCTTGAGACATTTCAGGCCGATTGCCATCTACCTCTTCGCTCGCAGACTCGTTCGCCTCGGCCCCGGTGATCCACCCGGTGAGGAGGTCCTTGATGCGCCAGCCGGAGTGCTGCTTCTTCTGCTCATCCGCGAGTGCCTGTATGCGCTCTGCCTCCGGCGTGAAGACCCTTGTCTCCTTGTAGCCGTTTTCTCTGAGCAGGTCTTCCATGGTCTCATAGGTCTTGGAGGTCCCACGGCGGTGAAGCGGGACGCGACCGGGCTCGCCTACGGAGAGATTGGTCGGATACCGCGACGGGTTCCGACCACGAACGGGTGTTGAGGGCTGATTGGGTTGCATACCGTGTCGCGAGCGGCGAAGGTGGCTAGTAAAATGAGAGTCGGCGGGAGAGAGAACCGCCGTGCGCGTCAAGGCCCCGCAGCCGGCAGGGAAATGTGCGATAGCTCCAGGGACACCTGGCAGGTGTGGGCGTCGCTCGAGGGCGCGTCGTCGTCGTGGCGGCCAGTGTCGGAGGGAGTATTGCGACGGAGATGGAGGTCGTGCGAGAAGTGGTCGAGCGGAAAGATGCAGACACGCTGACATCGCGGTGAGATGGTTGGCTTACGTAACGCGTGTGGGGGAGCACGTGGCGGACATTGCCGACGCGCTGCGCGTCGCGTCGCGCGCCGCGAGACGCGTTCTGTCCTCTTTCTCCTCCTCCCTCCATCGTCCCTCTTGTACCATTCAGCGCTGTTGTTCTTCGTGCTCTGAAAGACAACGCGCCGGAATACCCTGTCAAACGGCTGCTATAGTCGTCTGCCCCACCTTTTGCGAGCCGATACGCGTTGCCGAGTCTGGCTACGAAGATCACGTCTCCCGCGAGCCCTTCTTTCATTTTGGTTGTCGACCCCGCGAACGCGTCGATCGCGATCTACAACCTCCTTCGTTAGTCCCCTCATGGTTGCGTCTACCTCCGCGCGTGCACCCTCTCCGCCGCCGCCCGGTCCTCGTCCCATACGACGCTTGCAAGAGTCCGTGATCAATCGCATTGCCGCCGGCGAAGTTAGTCCGTGCCCACGCCTCACAGAACCTCAAGCTCACTGCGACGGACACAGATCATACATAGGCCAGCATCAGCGCTCAAGGAACTCATTGAGAATAGTCTCGATGCTGGCGCGACTTCGATCAAAGTCACCGTTAAAGAGGGCGGGATGAAGTTGCTCCAGATTCAGGACAACGGCTGCGGCATCCGGGTACGCCTCATTTGTGCATTTGAGATGAATAAAGGGTGACCGGCGTATGCGTAAAGAAAGAGGATTTGCCCATCCTCGCAGAACGCTTTACCACCTCGAAGCTTGCTACGTTCGCGGACCTTTCGCGCCTCACGACTTACGGATTTCGCGGGGAGGCACTCGCATCCATATCCTACGTGTCCAACTTGACCGTGGTTACTAAGACCAAAGCGGATAGCTGTGCATGGAAGTACGTTCGTTCGTGGACCGTTCATCAAGCCCGTTGAACATCTTTAGAGCATGCTATGCGGATGGCGCGTTGACCCCGGTCAAGGCTGGCGCGAGTTCTGACCCTAAACCATGCGCGGGCAACGATGGGACAACCATAACTGTGAGTATATGCGTGCCTAGTGTCAGCACGGCGGGTTTGAATTATATTTTACAGGTTGAGAACTTGTTCTACAATACTCCGACGCGTCTTTCAGCTCTTCGCGGCTCCTCCGAGGAATACACGCGTATTCTTGATGTGGTCACCCGATACGCTGTTCACAACCCTCTTGTCTCTTTCACATGCAAGAAGGTAAGCCGGACACTCATCAAGGGGTGGATCTTACTCAGTCTTGTACAGACCGGAAGCCCTTCGCCCGATGTCTCTACGCCATCCTCTTCCACAACTGAACAAGCGATTCGCTTGCTGTATGGCCAAACTCTCGCCAAAGAACTCTTGCACGTCTCCGTCTCTCCGTCATCCAAAGGCAAAGGCAAAGCCTCAGCGGCGCAGGATGATGCCAGCGATGACGAAGACGAAGACGCAGACGACTCCTGGAGCGCTGAGGCGCACTTCACAAATGCAAATTACCAGGCAAAGAAGATGACATTCCTGCTGTTCATCAACCGTGAGTCCAAAATCCTCCCCGAGCGCCGCTAGGCCACTTCTCATGAGCACGGCGACAGATCGCCTTGTCGAGGCCTCAAGGATTAAGAGAGCGCTCGAGGCGGTGTACAACGGCGTCCTAGCCAAAGGCGCTGCCCCATTCGTATATCTGAGGTATGCCGCACCCGCGCTCCGAGAACCACCCAACGGACCGCCTGACGAGTGATCCGGCAGCTTGCAAATAGACCCGCGCTCCGTCGATGTGAATGTCCACCCCACCAAGAAAGAGGTGCATTTTCTAGACGAGGATGCCATCATCGAGCGCATCGCCGACGTCGTGCAAGACGCCCTCATCGGCCAGAGCCAGTCAAGAGTGTTCGAGTATCAGGTAGCCGCCTATCCCGGATTCTATGCCGCGGCTGCGCCGACCGCTGACCTTCCACTCCAGACGCTGCTCACTGGTGGCATCGCCGAGCCTGCGTCCCAGAAATCGGCGGGGAAACGCAAGGCGCGGGCAGAAGATGAGATTGCGGAAGAGGGCGCTGAGGGATATGCTGCAAGTCATGACAGCACCCCCGGAGGCAGCCAGGGCGCTCCTGCGGCCTCGCAGCCGGCTAAGCGCAAGGTGTACTCCCAGCACAAGATCCGCACGTCGCTGCAGGAGCGCACGCTCGATTCGATGTTTCCCATCGCGCACCCATCGCAGCGGACGGGGAGCGGCGATGTGGACGGCGTGGTGGGGACCCCCGGGACGCCGCCGGTGCTGAGGGGCAAGGAGATTAAGGAGTCTCTATGCTACCTCAAGTCCGTCAAGGACCTCCGCAGCATCGTCCTGAAGCAGAACCACTACCGTATGCGCCCTCTCCTTCCTATCCGGATAATCTTCGCCGCTTACACATACCCTCCGCCTCAGAGCTCAGCGAGATCCTCGCGAAGCACACTTTCGTCGGCATAGTTGACGCCCCGCGCTGCCTCTCGCTCGTGCAGCACGGGACACGGCTGTACCTGCTCAACCACGGGGCGCTCTCTGCAGAACTGTTCTACCAGCTCGGCCTCCGACAGTTCGGCGACCTCCCACGGATCCGTCTCGACCCCGCCCCCGAACTGCGCACGCTCGTCGCGCTCGCCGTCGATGCCGAAGAGGGCATCGCGAAGAGCGGGATGAGCAAAGATGCCGTCGTTGATGTGCGTGTCCCGTTCGTCTTTGTGCTCATTCACGATGTTGATGTGTCATGATACGTACGCAGCGTATTGTCAACATGCTGCTCGAACGGCGTGCCATGCTGCAGGAGTACTTCAGCCTCGGCATCTCCGAAGACGGGCGTGTCGAGACGCTGCCTATGCTGCTGCGCGACTACACGCCGAACCTGGACAAGCTCCCGCTGTTCCTCATGCGCCTCGGGCCGCAGGTCGACTGGACGGACGAGCAGGCGTGCTTCGACACGTTCCTCCACGAGCTTGCGTCCTTCTACGTCCCCGAGCCGCTCCTCCCGGATGATGCGCGCGGGGCGAAGCCGTCCGCTGACGCGGACATGGACGTGGATGTCGACACAGACGCGCGCGCCGCAGACGCACAGACCGAGAAGGCGACGCAATGGCAGGTCCAACACGTCCTGTTCCCAGCGATGGCGCGTTATCTCGTGCCGCCGAAGAGCCTGCTGGAGCGGGACGTGGTGCAGGTGGCGGACCTGCCAGACCTGTACCGCGTCTTCGAGCGCTGTTGAGCGGGTGCAGTGCATACCGCCCATTCGGCTAGTGTCTGTGCATATACAACTGTTATTGTACAACAATATAGAGTGATGGGGGCGTCGCTGGGAGAATGACACGGCTGCAGCAGGAGTATCCTTGCGCCGCGGTGAAACGTAAGCCACTCGCAAGGGCTGTCTCGAGGTACATGAGCGGCCGGTGCGCATACGCATCTGCCACCCCTAAACCATGTAGTAGTACACGCCACGTCGCGCAAAAGTAAGGTTCCAGCTAGTGCATGTCAACGTCTTGGTCCGCAGGGCAGGCATCGTCCTCGTAGTCGCTGTGCCTAAGATCTCGTCAACCGGGAGTCGGGAGGTCGTCGAGAGAGGTCAATTTCTGCGCCTCGAGCTCCTCATCAAGAAGATCGTCAGGAGAGATGTGTTGTCTGTGATCCCTGCGACTCTATTCAAAGTACGAATCTCGTTAGTGGGAGTCATTATTTGGTTGCTCGAACGCTTGGGTCGACGAAGCGCGACGCTCTACACCGTGCTACCGTGCTGCGCGGAGTCTGAACGTGAACCACGTACTAGGTGTAGCGCCCACGTAGCGCCCGAGTGAACGAACGGCAAGAATTGAGCACCCCTATTAAGTTTTAACCACGACCATTAATTATGGCCCAACCTCTTCCTCGGCCGAATGCATTCGACACCGGCAGTGCTCGCACGGCGTATGCACAGTGTCTCGTTCTCGAAACGAATGCGTTGGCCAATACCTCCGCCGCCGTCCCACAAGTGGGCGCCTTGATCAAAACATGCTCAGACCCCTAGTGTGCGCTCGCCTTCTCGGACGACTGCTGCTCGAGGCGCCGACTGAGGACGGTCGCACCAATGTCGCCTCGGAGATCGTGCAGTGTCTAGGTGATAGCGAACTCTTCCGACTGGCGAACCTCTACAAGGATCACTTTATCCGGCTGTGTAAGTCAACACTACCTCGACTGAAAATGCATGTGCGCTTAAGCTTACGCAGGATCTCGGTTTCCACAGTCTTCAGAGAAAAGGACCGCACTCCTGCACCTTCTTCACATTCGTCCGCGCCATCGGTCGGCCTAAAGAACGGTGAACTCCGCAATATGTCGCTCCCGACTCCGCCATCCCATGCCACAGCCAAGGCCGATGTACGTCCGCTAATTTCGTTTATCAATAGTCGAGACATACTGAGCTCTCATAGGCCCTGCAACGAGACGGGTACCGGTGCATGCTCTCGCGACGTCTCGACGTCGACTCGTTGGACAATGGACTCATCCCTGTCGACGAGGCGACCACCGGCATGGTCGTGCACACCCATTGCACCCATATCTTCGCCAAGTCCACAAATGAGGATCTCAGTGACTCCGCCCAGGTGCGCCTTCACTGTCTAATCGCCGTTGTTCGTGATCTCATCCACCCGTAGGCGGCCTATGCAGCATCCCTGCACGCTATACTGCATCGTTTCGGTGGTGTCGATTCGACTGAAGAACTCAACGGCGCAAACGTACACCGCCTCGAGAACATCCTCACCCTGAGTCTCGACACGCACACATCCTTCGACCGACTGCAGCTCTGGCTGGCCAAAATCCCTGGGGTGAGCGATCACGTCTCCATCTCCCGACGCCCTAGATTGACTCCCCATCCATTCGTAGTCTAAGCACAGCTACACCGTGGAGGCTCCGAGCTCTAGGCGGTATCTTCTCCAGATGGTCCCCAGCACGCGCGTCGACTTCACCACCCCTGACCCGGTGACGCTTCCGCTGCCTGAAGCACGTTACCTCAGGACTCATGCGGCTTGCGCGCGCGTCGCCCACCTGTCGGGCGTTGCGGAGTGCATCGCCAAGATTTTGCATGAGGAGGAAGTCACGAGGGTTTTGGCGGCCGATGGAGGCTCGAGCGAGCTCTTGAAACACGTACTTGTGCATCGTCTGGGTATCATGGCATAGACTGATGCGGGCGAGCACAATGGTTAGTGAAGGTGCGCTGTAATGATGAGGGGGTAAAGTGCTGGGGATTACGTACAGGCAGAAGCCAGTCGTTCATCCGGGACACCGCGACGACGATATCATTATTATTATCATTATCCGAGTTTATTATCTACTGCAGAGCGACGCCCTATGTCTGATAGTACGTACGATGGAGAGGTGTGCGGTGGGAGACGCGACGAAGATATGCAGCGCGAGAGTATTGTAACGGAGCGCGACGTCGTGCAAGCCGCGGACCTGCCAGACCTGCCAGACCTGTCTCGCGTCTTCGAGCGGTGTTAGGCGGATGCATGGTACTGCATTCAGATGCTGTCTATGTACAGCTGCTATACGTATTGTACAATATAATGTAGTGTGATGAGGTGTCGCTCGGAGCAGAGGGCAGATGCAACGGGAGATCGTAACACTGCGGTAAGCCGAATGAGCTTCAGGGGCTGTCTAGAGGTACATGAGCGGCCAGTGCGCATATACATCTGCCACCCCTGAACCATATGGTAGTAGTACACGTCACGTCGAGCAAAAGTGAGGTTCCAGCTAGTGCATGTCAACGTCTTGGTCCGCGGGCAGTGTGTCGTCCTCGTAATCGCTGTGCCCGAAGATCTCGTCGATGGGCAGGTCGTCGAGGTTGAGGTCGATTTCTGCGGCGTACGCCTCGAGCTCCTCGTCGAGAAGGTCGTCGGGGGAGACGTATGTTGTCTTTGATCCTTGCGACTCTATACGCAAGGTAAAAGTCTGGTCAGAAGGAGTCATTCGTTAGGAAAAAGGGGGGTATTACCTTCCATATCTTCCTCCCAGCTATGCGGGTCCTCCATATCCGGGTCAAAGGAGGAGCCAACGTCATCCGCATACGACAGGCGGTACGCGTGCCGCTGCTTCCTCTTCGCACTCTCGACAATGCGGCGGAACAGCTAGAGGCCATTACACGTCAGTTATCGCTTCCCCGACATGGCCGCAAGAAAGGGGCGCGCACCTCGTCATTGAGCATCGTGTCCTCGTCCTCATCATCCTCGTCCATCATCTCGTCCGCGCCATCGCTGCGCGCGTCGCTGCTGAGGTGCCGCGACCCCCGCTGGACTGCCCGCTCGCGCTTCTTCGCGGCGCGCTCGATGACCCGCGCCGTCAGACGTTCCTTGAGAAACGCCTTCCGTGGCGCCTCCTCCGTGGGCACCGCTCCGCTGCTCGAGCCCTCGCCGTGCCCGTGGCCGCTCGAACGTCTCCGCTGTGCCTCGGACTCCCGCACACGCTGGGGCGCCGACGAGCTGAATGGGGTTGACTTGTACTGCGAGCGGCGGCGGGCGCTGGCGCTGGCGGCCGGAGACGAGCCTGGGCTTGCGAGCGGTGACGAGCGAAGCGGAATGTGCGAGTACGTTGTGGGGGATCCGAAACTCGACCTTGAGGGCGTTGCTGGGGTCATGAATATCGAGGTCTGCATTGTCGTCGACGTCGAGAGCAAGGTGTGGCTGAGTGTGGGGAACTTCGCAGAGGTCTAACGCCCTTTAGACGCCCGAGAATGCTCTGCTAAGCCACAAGCGCGCGATAAACAGTCACAACGCGTCGTGCACGTGATAATGGATACGCGATCGGTCACACTCTCGCACTCGGCGTGATGGGCGCGCTTAGCGCTCTCAACGCTTCCGAAGAACCAGCACCAGCCCCCAGGGACCTCGCCGCCGTTAACGCCAATATATAATATTGTGAGTCGTTGTGCCACTTTGATATATAATTGGAATTGGGCGTGCATTTCCTCCGCGTTGCCACATATATTCGAAATTCACCTACGTGGTGCATATGACCCATACAAGGCTGACGGATTACTTCTTAATAGTACGGTGAAATCCCACACGATGGCATCGCAAGGCCCGTCATCGGGCATTTATAGATTAGTATCAGATGGTATCACTACGCACTAGACCTGTGCGTTTACCGTGAAAGTTTGAACACCGAAGGCTGACCTGGATCGTAAAACGCGAGCCTCATCGACGGCGCAAATGAGGCGTCACCGTATCCAGGCACATTGGTGTTATGCGGACACCGGGTTGCGCGATTTGTAGGACACGGGCAGTGACGGTAGGTTTCGAGAACGCATGATCAACCACTCGAGCATGCTGATTTTTTTAATCCAGCCGTTCGAGTACTTACTGCGAACGATCCGCTGGACTCGCAACTGCGACAACAGACCGCCACGGTGTTCCGACGCTTCTTGTGATGAAGGCGAGGCAATAGACTGCGGTCTGTTTATTCGGCTCCTGAGAACAATAATTAGCGTTATGTACTACCGACATCTCGCTCCCCGAGTTCCGCACAGCGATCTGTCGCAGGAGGAGGGTCCCCTTCTAACCGTGAGAACCCGTGCGGTACTTTGGACCCACAACCGGCAAGCAAGACCCCGGTCCCAGACGCCTCTACCGCCCGCCCGATTCTCGTGCTGCACGTCGTACGAGGCGAGCCCAGCTCTCAGACGGGCCGCCTCCTTACCTCACGACAATTTCGACAACGCACGTCAGCCCGGCGCCCATCCCACGCCCATGCACGCGGGGGCTGACGTGTGCGCGCGGTCGCGCAGGCCAGCAGGGTCCTCACTCGAAAAATCACCAGGGCCCTGCATACAGCACGAGATGGCTTCTCGCATTGTCTCCAGCCCATCGATGGCCGATAGCAACAGCGGTACCGGCGCCGATTATGCCGCGCGGCGCAGCGGACGCCCATCTGCGCGAAAAAAGCCCCATTTACGGCACCGTGCAAGGTCGCAGAAGCACGGTGCGCGGCGGGCGCATCTTTCAAATGGCGGGCGCGTACGTCACCTGTGATTGTTCTTGAAACGTTGGAATTCAGCTTCCTGGGCCGCTCCGCGCACCCTGGATGCAGGCTGCGCGCGCCGTCGCGATACGCTGTTGTCCGCGTCGTCTCCCATGGTGCTCACTGGAAGCCAGCGGTGCGCCTCGCTACAATCACCGCGTCGGCTGCAGATATCTGCGCTGCATTCAGTCTGCGACAGATCCCCCTGGGTGTGGGCGTGGTCGATGACGTTCTCTGCAATTCAGATCGGGCGGCAAAGTTGGGGTCTTTGCATCCTGCGCCACATGGTGACTGGGACAGAGATGAAAAAGATGCAATGTGGGCGGGGTAGCAGATGTGCGCCCTGCCCTGGTCGTCCGAATCCTTCGGGTTGCGGGACCTGAGCCGGGCAGACAACAGCGGTCCAGATATTCGGCGATGCATCTTCGATATGAGATAATACAGTTTTCTTGTTGTTGGGCTCCAAGCTGTCCATGCGCCACGGTGGCCTTGGACCTGGGGGCGGACGTGTCGCAGGTACAGGTAGGCGCCATATGAATGAATCGATTGCGCCAGTCTCCGGGGAGCGAAACGGGAAATCCCGGGCGCAAGAAGCCCTTGGGTCCACACATCAAAGTCGTCGGGACGTCCTTCGACGCCGCGAGCGCCCAACGGAGACAGTTCGTCAAACGCCGTCCTACATCTTTTGAAGAGACCCTTGCGTCCATTGGTACCTATCGATCGCGAACTCGGACGCAGAAGCGTTGTCGAACTGCCGAACACTCGCTCGCACCGCCCGAGGAAGTATCACTGCGTGGTCGGCCGTCGGCCGCGTCGACGAGCGCAACACAGAAGCAGAGGATGGGCAGCCGCCCCCGCGCCCACGATCGCGCCGTCGCACGCCGCACGACGGCTGCCAGGGTTCCACAGATGCAGTCGGCCGAGGAGCCGCCAGGTAGTCAAGTCAGCCCCGCCCCCGACGGACGACGGGCGACGGGCGCATCATCGCTCGACTCCACGTCGCACGAGCTCGAACGAACCCTAGTACGTGCGAAGGCGCGTGGCGGGGGGACCCACAAGACGCAGCATCGCCCACGTGCTGATGCGCAGGGGAATCAGCCTATCCCTATCAGCAGCAAAGATAGACGTCGATGCAGGTCGATGCACGCACAGCCTCGCCCTGGGGGCGGGGGCCCGTGCGCGGGTTCGCGAAGCCTGCATTCGGCGGGGGCGCATCGGAGGGTCGATGAGCGCTGAGCGCCGCGGCGCACCCGGGACGTCGCGATGTCGATTCCGCAGGCCCGCGGCCGTGCATCGTCGCGCCTGGTGGCGGCGTTTGCGATCGTGTTTCGGAATGGGGAAGGTGGGGCCCGTGCTGCGAGGCGGGGAACGGTGCGAGATGGCGAGATGGCGAGATGGTGTTCGAGGGATGGGCGAACACTGTTTGGGAGAGTCGCCGATCGTGTCCTGCGCGGGCGGCGCGCAGGTCGCTCTCACGCCCCGCGAGGGGGCACAGCATCGAATTCATGGCGGCGACCTTCTAGCGGCGGCGAAGAGGTCCCCGTAAGGTACGACGGTTCAGACCGCACTAATACGTAGTATGAGGCGGACGACCACAGTCAGCATAGCCCTGTGGAAGTGCGGGAGAACGAACTCTGCTGCCTAATGGGTTCCCCCCACCCGAATTTGAAGACATCTTTGCTGAGATCGGGAGGACCGCTCGACAGAGTGTATCGGTGAATATGTCTCCGATGGCGCCGGGCGCGCTTGAGGCAAGCGACTGCATTGTTTGAAGAGACTTATGGGGCCGACTGCGTAGGTTCGGCATACGCCTATGTCGCGGTTGACGTCCTCGGTAATGAAGCTAGCGCTTACCGCTGAATTCGTGTTATCTGCTATGAATTTATGGATGGCGATTTACTTGCAGTGAACAGAGTTGCGATACCGCAGCACTCGAGTGACGGACCGAAGGTGGCGGGTGGTGCTCACCACGCGCTGCTTCATCAAGAAGGAATGTGGTGCTAACAGCTAGAAGCTGCACGGTGGGCCTGATCCCGGCGTCATCTCGCATTCTCCGCGAGCGCATGGTAATCCCTGCGGTGGGCATCCGCAGTCTTGTTCCTCAGTGTGAAGCCGGGCGCTGTCATATGTCTTCTATTGCCGACGCTGCGAATACACGGGCCTTGTGTGCGACGGAGAAGTGCGCACAGCGCGCCTCGCAATGCATACGCGGGAGAAGGAGAAGAGTGACGCAATGGACAGCGCGTGACGCGGGGAAGCTGACCGGGGATATGAAGAAGAGCGTTAAAGAGCTGCGTAAGACCGTATGTCAAATGAGCAGGTGCTGGCAGACCGACGGTTCTTCCCGATGCGCCCAGCGCACGGCGGACGGGCCCCCGCAGCTGTTACGGCAGTGCGCCTAAGAAGGCGGAAGTCAAACCTCCGTTTCAACGCCCGGGTAAAGCGTGTGTATTCTGCTCCAAAAACAATCAGTGCAGATCGCAATGTATCCCTGAATGCTGCAACGGCGGGGAAGCGAGAACGCTCCGAACCACGTACCTTCGGCGCCCAATGCTCAGGCCCCAGATACGATCCTCCCGAGAACGAGCGGAGGCCTAAGCGACGACGGAGACGTAAAAACGGAAGCTCCGTAGTGGGTGGTGATTCCTGTGCAGGCCTAGACCATATTCGTCCGGCACGCGTCACAGGAAACACTTCTGCGAGCTGTGGAAGGCGGGGGGCGTCAAAGTTTGCATGTTGTGGAGGCTTCGGGACGTATGCGATGCTTCTCGATATCGCGAGGAACCTGTGCGATGTTCATGGTTGGTAGGGACGTCCGATTGACCGGCGGTCGAGACGGCGTTCAGCGCTGATTAGCCAACATACGTCTGACGGGAGGTGGGGGCGCGGAGCTCCTTCGAGGAGCCCAATCCCCTACGCCCCGAGTATCAGACTGCACCCTAATACAGCGTCGCCGAGAAGCACGGAGAGCCTGGACGCTCGCGCCGGAGCTGGCGGGGACGAGGACGAGAGTCATGAGTGCTGGAGAGACGAGTACGGACGACGGATCGTGCGGGTGACTGTGCATGGCCTCGAGGACGGCAGGAGTTGCACTCGAGGTGGAGGATCCATGATTGACCGCGGGCGGACAGAGACAAGCGGACCCGGCCCAGCGGGCGCGCGGGCGTTTGTTGGCAAACTCAAATGTGACCTCAGAGTGACAGTCACGCAGGGTATCGCCGTGGGCGTCTATGGTTGGGCGGGAAAGCTGTACGTGTACTCGGATCGCCTCGCATCTCTCTCCTGTGCCACCTCCATCGCTCCGTCCTCCTCGCCCGTTCTGTTTGACAATAGCTCCCTCCGCTGGTTACGCCTTCTATACACCTGAGATGCATGCAGGCTGTGTCGGTGGGGCTCCTGGGGGGCGTAACTTGTGCACTGCCTGCAGTTCGCTGTTGATTCGTTGACCCTGCATACTGGGGGCTCTGGGGAATTGTCGTGCCATCTTAGATACTCTCTTTTGTGCCAATTGTATCTGTCCGCTGGCCTGGGGTGCGACGCTCTCGGATGCAGAGCCTTGTGGTGGTGTAGGCACCGTCGTGATCTTCTGTGGTCGTTGAACCTCCTGGATCTCTGTCGCCTTATGGTCGACAAAATCAGACATGTCCGGCAGCAGCAGCTCCGGTTGCGTACTCTCTGAGCAGTCTCCGATGGCTGATCTTCGTGCACCCTTACGCCCTGAAACACTTCCCGCGCGAGAGCGCATGGCAGACGGCGACCTGAGCTCTCTGACCCCCTGTGCTCGCTCTGCTTGTGCCCGGCCATCCCGAGGACAGGGTGGGGTGTCACGCACGGATTGTTCATGGGAACCCCGAGGTCCCGGGTGCTAGACGCGTTTTTCCTTGGGTCTAGTCATCATCAAGAACCAGCTTAGTCGCGCTCTGCCGACAGAGCCTCGCGCTTGCATTTGGCATCATCAACAGCGCACACTGCCGCGCCAGGGATCTATGGGTTGCATCGGAGCCATTTTTTACGGCGGTCCTTCTTGTTCCTGCCTCAACCCTGCCTTCCCACCCGCTGTAGAGCCACGGCTGCATCTCGCCATCATCTCATCACTGGACCACTCTTGAAAAGGGCTCGCGACTCCTAGCGCACAGTAGATTATCTCCCTTTTCCCGTCGCCCACTCATCTCTGCGTCCTACACCGCGACCACATCCCGCCGCTCGCTGTACAATGCAGTCTCACCTGATCCACACGCCCGCTAGCAACCAGCGGCACCTCTCTAGCGCCGCTGACGGCGGACGTCGACTCTCTTCGGCTAGAAGCTTCGAGTACGCGTGCGGATCTGTCTGTGCTTTAGCTGCAGATATCTAATGATTGTCGTGTTATGTCTAGTGCTTCTGGCCTAGGATATGTCGACTCGTACGGGATACATCAACGTTCAGACCACTCTCATATCCCTCGCTCCGGCGTCAACCATGGCTCGTTCACTAACTCCGCTGCGGTTCAATCGTCGTACCGCGTCCAGGAGTACACGGAGAACCCGTAAGTGTGAACAATCGAATCGTTCCCCGCAAGATACGATGATCTTTGCCATAGGGCGTACCCTTCGTCAACCACGCCGAGTCCTCAGCTTACTGCTATTGACTGGCAATCTCCTAGGCCGTGAGCCGCCTTCAACATTTCTAAACCATCCCACCATGTTAACCTATCCTTCCAACCGCTAGAATGACCGTCATGCCGCCTGGCACGCCCAACGTGAACTTTGCCGGCACATTACCCACGTCACGCGGCGCTACGCACGCGCGCAACGGGCACTTCAACGGGCACTCTGGCTACAACGGCTACGACCACACTCGCCCGCCGCTCTCGCCCATCTACCACACGCCCGCGCACTCTGAGAACTACGGCAGTCCCTTCGGTGGCGCCCCCACTCAGTCTTTCGCAGACCCTGGCTACACTGGCTCGCACCCCGCGTCCTTCGCTTACGCTATGCAGCCCGTGCACAACACGCGGGTGCGGGAGACGCCGCGCTGCGAGTGGGCCAACTGCCGCATGCCCATCGACGACTCCTCCCCGGCGGGCATCGCGCGACACCTCAAGCAGCACCACGACGTGCAGGTCGCGGACAACCGCAGCCGCCACCCGTGCCGGTGGGGCGCGCAGCCGTGCGGCAAGGACATGTACCCGTCGAGCCTCGGGAAGCACATCGCGGAGTGCCACCTGCGCAACATGGTGAAGCAGTGTCCGCACTGCGGCGCGGACTTCGCGCGCGCGGACACGCTCTCGCGGCACATAAAGGCGTTCTGTCCGAACAGCAACGCGTGAGCCCCCGCCGCCGGGGAGCGCAGGTGCGTCTACCACAGCGTGTATGCGCGTGTGATTGCGGGGGCTGACGCGCGCGCCTTGCGGCTCTTCTTTAGGGTGCCGGCTGCGCCTCGGACGCGTCGCGGCGTCGATCTCGGGCTCGCAGGCTGCGCTTTCCTCGTCTGAGCTTCTTGTCCTCTGGGGGCGGCGGCCCGGCTGCTAGCTAGCCCCTCCCACCACTAAGTCCCGCCAAAATCCTTCTAGTACTACTATGGCTTGCGTTGACTCGGCTTCCGGTCTATGCTCCGCGCCGCTCTGTAACTGTACTCTTCGTGCGCTGTCCAGACGCCATGGCCCTTGGGACGGACCTGGCGTGTGGGCGGTGTAGCGCGCCCTCTTAATGCGATATCCAGATGGCTGGCATTGACGGCTCGTGCGATGACGTCTGTCTGCTGCACTCGTGGTCTGAAACGCTGCACGCTGCACGCTGTACTAGTGAACGGCATTGGCACATCCCGCTTGCGCCGCCGCGGCCGCGAGGCTGTTCGATCTCTCGGGTCGGCGGCTTTCAGCTCGTTCATTTCTGGCGCACTGTTCCATGCCTCCCGACTTAGGGTTTCGCAGTGGCTCCCTGCGGGCGTCTCTCGGGCTGCTGGCTGAGGTCCCGCGCCGCAGGCTGCCGCGTGTCTCCCGTGTGCCGCGCACATGCCCGATGGTACTGTATCCGCTGTCTGCCCGGCGACTCACGAGTACTCACAAGCCGCATGCGGGCCCGACGGGCCCCATTGACACTCCCGTGGCCTCCGCCTCGCACGCCTGGGCCTCGCGCGCCTTCGCGTCGGGAACACGGGCCATGCTGCGCGGGCGGCATGTTATTATTACGTGCGCCTCGATGCTGGACTTTCCCTTCGGATAGTCACAACACTTCGATTCCTCTCTAACTCCCCGGGGTTCCTTCCCGCACTGCGATCATATCCCAGTGAGCATTGCAACTTCCTTACACGTCCTTGCCGCCCGCTGACCTCTTCCGTACTCACATGGGATGCTGTCCGGCGCTGTTCCAGCGAGCTGGTCCGGACCCGCAGCACCTCGTCCATCGCCTTCCCTGCGAGACCCGCGCGCCCGCCGTCGTATGTGGTTGGAACAAATACCCATGTATAGGACAATGTGAGTGCATCATGGCCGCCCTCTTTCTCATGCGCGCTCGTCCTTTGCCCACCGCCCATACACGCTCATTTCTGTAGCGCCTCTTCGGACCGGCGCCCACCTCCGCGGACACCCATCCCACTCTCATTTCCCTGCAGCCGCCCATGCCAATCGCAGCCTCTTGGCGGGACCCCCGGAAATTCCCCGCTGGGACTGGCAGTATGAAGAGCCGCGGGCGCTCGCGTGGGGCAGCGCGAAACACTAGGAAACACTCCAGGGGGGTCGGGACGAACGGATCGGCGATGCCCACAGGTACGCCCGCCGGGAAGCTGACAGTGCGTTCCCCGCGTCGGCGTGTTCTTCGGGGATTGTGTTAAGCTTTGCATTCCCTGCAGCATGCATGTTGCTAGATACGCCCGGATATATCGCGTGTTCCCTTGCTCCTGCCAACCTTGGGCGATGTTTGCTGTCCTCTTCCGAGCCCGGGGCTGGGCTGTCGGAGCGCGCAATGCTGCCGACGGGACTAGCGAAACGCATCACAGCTCCCGCCGCAGCCCGCGTTACGTGCCACGGCATGCAGTGGGGCGCGCGGGGGCGTCCCGCGAATGGGTGCCTTCCAGGCACCATGGGTCGCATGCGCATCTGCCTGGATATCCTCGGTGCGGATAGCGGTAGCTGATCATATTCAAGCGTTCGATCGGACGGGGCAGTTCCACCCCGCGCTCCTGCCCCGGCGCTTTCGTAGTTGGCACTGGATGCCGTGAGTGACCTCTATGTCGCACACATTGCTCGTCCCCTCGAACGTAAACACCACGCGCTCGCGGTTCGTTGAATGCGAGGATTATTCCATGCTGCCCACGGGTGACACAACTTCCTCTGGATCACCTTGCGATCCACAGCGCAGGGCGAGGCGTGTGCACCGCCGGCGTCTGTGTGGCGCTATGAGCGTCTGAATCTCGCTGCACGATCTTGAATCTTCCCATTCATGATCAATATCCGGATAGACACGAGGTGCTGTGCGTCGCCTTGTGCAGGGGCAAGATCTGCGCTAGCCGGTGCATACTAGGCAGCATGGTGAGCCAATCCCCTGCGTATGTTCTGAAAAATTTCTCTAATGACGTTACCAACCTGTGCGATGCAGGCTTGTTCGCTGACATAGCGAGTAGATGTTGCCCGGCTGCCCGTCCTCCGCGGAACGAGGACTCCATCGTGCACCGATTTTGCGGTATCTTTGCGGACATGGAGACCTTGTGCTCTCGACAGGGCTCTCGTAAACATACCAGTACGGCATGAAGGGGTGATTATCCGGCAAAGCGCGACAGGATCTCGACAGCGCTCCTCCTCTCTCGTTTCAAGCTGGCGCCGAGGGGCGTCCTGGCTGCATCCCTGCATCGATTGGGCTCTAGCACAGGTAAGGTTAGCTGAATACTCCTTCATATGGGCCTCCACAGCTCAATCTTCAATGAATTACCCAGCAATGGCGCCCAGGAAGGCGCTGGGAAGCAGTCTCGGTCACACCGACCCCTCCTTCCTGAGACGCCAGAATAGTTACAGCCCTTCACTATGCCTTGCGGTACTTACGTATCCAAAGGCAGTGGGACAGAACGTGGGTGCAGTGCGCGGGGGGCGTGCCCGGACCCGCTAGTCACGTATGGTACTTAAAAGGACCATTGGTACTTTCACGATCTGCAAGAGTCCGCCCACTCAACTCCCCCGTTTCCCGCTCTCCCTCGAGTCCCCTGTCTACTGCGCACCCCCCCTCAGAGGCTCACCAACGGGGACTTCAGCTACCAGGCTTGACCTCCAACCACCAACATGCACCCTCAACGTTCATACAGTAGCTCGCCGTCCGACGACGGCGCACATTACGACAGGTAAGCGACGGTTTCCTTTTTCGCAGCCGAAGAACGTCTCCCTCACCACCACTAGCTCACCCGGGTCTACGCACTCCCAACCTGGACCCCAACCACACCTCTACACTGAAAACGCTCCTACCTCCCCGCGCGACGGCTACGCCTTGCACTCAGGCTACCCCGCTATGAATGGAACACTCGATGGCAACTTGCGCCCCCAGTGAGTCTCCATGCTTATGAGCTATGTATACGCACTTACACTATCACAAGCCCGAATAGAGATGCGCGACAGCATCGTTCGGACTGGACTGCGCAAGACCCCTCCGGATACCCGCCTTCCTACTCCCAACAGCCAAACTCTTCCTACATAAGTTACACCGATACAACGTTCCCCGGAGCCGCTCAAGCTCTTCCCTTTGCGTATCTGTTAGTCATCCTCTACCTGCGTGTGGCTCCTTGCTGACATCTCCTAGTCTCCCACAGGATGGGTCGCTCGAGCCCCGCTACGACACGCTTGCCTCGTCGCACATCTACAACTCATCTCCCGCATATCCCCCTGCCCCCCGCACTTATCATGCTCATGAGGCTACTCCCTCAACCTTTGTGGACTATGCCCTGGCCGCGAGCTACGGGCAACCCATCCGCGCGCCCTACCCAACGGGCAGTACTTCCCCTGATGTCTCTCGTCTCTCCTACGTCCCACCAATGCCGCCGAACCGTACCCAGTACCCTGACCATATCCACAAACCGGCCCTGCCGATGTGCGAATGGGACGGGTGCAATCAGCCGTTGGGTGACAATACGTGCGCCGGCGTCCGGCGGCACCTCCGGGACCACCATTACAAGGGCAAGCCGCCGTCTGCGAAGGATCCCGTGCAGTGCAAGTGGGGCGGGAGCTGCCGGCGGGAACCGATGCAGTGGGAGAACATCCCGAAGCACATCTCGGAGTGCCACACGAAGACGATGACCCGGTTCTGCGCGTTGTGCGGAGATAGTTTCGCGCGTAGCGACACGCTCAAGCGGCACAAGGAGGCTGGGAACTGCTCGAGGTCGAGCTTGCGTTAAGTCGCGATGGGCGTGCTGCACAAACGTACGTGCTACCCTCCCCACTGACGCCGTTCGAGGCCACTGATCTCTCGCGCAGAGCATGCGACGGCAAGCCCCGCAGGAGGAGGTTTGTCAACAATATCGACCACCGCCGTGTACGAATGTCCGATGAAACGGGTGTGATCCGGTAACGCGGATATCGCCCTGGGAAGTTTCGACTGAAGTTTGGACAACGCATTCGCCTAAAGAGGAAACCACGCCTTGGCTATGGCACTTGGGACTTACGAAGTTCTGAACTATGGACTCTGTCCCAGCAGTTCAGCGCGGGTGCGCTGGGTGACATGGTGGCCAACAGGAATTGGCGCACCACTGGATGCGACGGGGGAGCTTTCCTATGTCTAACTCGGACTCTCCGGATGGTAGGCGACTTTGGCAATCGAATTTTCCTATGTACGCACAACTCGTAACACAACGCGCTACAGGCTACTATCCTCCCCGCGTCCTACTTCACGCACACGGCGGTGCGGCTGCACCCTGGCATGTCCCGCGTGCGGGACGCAATCGCAGACTCGCCTCGCGGCGTCTGCGTTGCCTTCCCGCCCTCGATAGGCACTCGGAACAAGGCGTACGGCTTCGTACGCAGATCCGTCCTGCCGAAGAAGACATGTCAAAACGGAACCCTATCCACACCGCGGGCTGCCTCGACGCGTTGACGCACCCGTTTTGGTAGTCCGGACTGAGCCAAAGCCTGCCAGGAGGTGCTGGTGAGTGCGCACCCCGGGCGCGTATCGGTCAGATGACATACTGGTTCGCAGTGAAATAGAGGAAATGCCCTCCGGCCCTCAACGAGGCGACGGCAAGCGTGTCTGGCCACTACAGCGTGGTGATACATGAGCCCCTGCGTGCGCCCGGTCAGCCGAGGAAGCACGCACCTGGATCGCGGGGTCGCGGATGAACGGCTCAATTAAACCGGTCTTGGGGTTGAAGCGGTTAATGGCGTTGTGTTCTGAACGGGCCGCGCACGATTAGAGCTGCTGGCGGCGCTATATGTGACTCAGCCCGGCTTGTCTGGGGCGCCCAGGTAGATAAACCCTTGGTCATCGGTCTCGAGGCCGTCAGCGTGGCTGCCGGTCTCCCCCAGGTCCTGCACCGCTTGGTTGGCCAAGACGATTGCGCTGGGGTTCGTGGACGATGGCTGGACCTTCAAGAACGACGTTGGGACGCGGAACAACCTACGGCCGGTCAATGGGGTGTAGTAGAGGAACTCGCCATCTTGGACCCGACGTCAGCCCCAGGATGGCTTCATTCGCACACACGCCTTACCTTCCGAAAGGGCGATGCCGTCAACGGCGAACTGCGCAATATCAGCGAACCATGTCGGTCGCTGAAGGTGCCGGTACGTACCCGGTTGAAGAACGTAATGGCATTCGGGTCCATTGGAGGATGGAGGTACGTCGGCACTGTTCATGAAATGAACATCGATGCCCGACGGAAGGTTGTCAAGCACACGTGCACATACCTCCATTATGGAACGGGATAAAACCACTCTCGGCGGAGACCGAAGGATGGTTATCAAGGTGCCGCCACGATTGGCCGCTCGCCAAGTTGGCGACGACGATGCCGGGACGCTGCGGGGAGCTATCCGTGATATACGCGAAGCCGTCACCGCGGAGGTCGAACTGGACGTCGTTCAGGGACGAATCCGTGACCACGACGGTCGCGGGGAACGTGATAGCAGCGACCTTCGTTCCATTGAGGTCGAACCCGACGAGCTTCGGACCTCCGGGCGTCGCGGCATTTAACATCGTGCCATTAATGCGAGGACGGCCGGTATCCAGCGCCCAAACACGGTCCTTGCCATCCACGACGACAGATTGCACGAAGAGCAGCTTGTCGGTTGCTACGCTGAAGCCCGGATTGGATGCATTCAGGAACATAGGAGGTGTGTTCACATCTTGGCTATGAGGGCATACACGTTAACCGACGTGATAAATTGTTCATTAGAATAGAATCACGTACTTGGGGAAAGGGGCCTCAGTGGTGGAGCTGTTTATCTCCCCAAGCGTGAACGTCTCGTTTCCACGGGGAAAGCATGTGAAAATCCGCCCGTCGCTGCTTACGCCGACGCCCTGCAAAATGCCAGCTCGTAAGCTGGATATCAAAGCAGGATCGGCAGCGCTCACCGTTGGCCAATAATCAAAGTACGCGTGGACGAGCTCGATGGGAGGACCATACCGGCCGGTGTCGACATGAATCTTCGCACTGGCCAAGGCGCTGTCTCCGCCCGTCTCATTTGCAGGCAAAGGGATGACGGTATCCGCGACCGTCTGATTAGGCGGCGGCGTCAACGGAGGCGGATATTCCGGGAACTATAACCGCAAGCGCCTGTCAAATGTGCACAAGCATGGATAAACTGGATTGACGTTACGCACGTCGAAGACGTTCGACACAGTGGTCTCTTGAGAAACTGAAGCAGCTATTTCCGCTGCGATCAGGGTTACAAGGGTGAGTGAAAAGCGCATGTTGAACTGTGTGGGGATGCTGAAACTGCAAGCTTAGCAGCTGCTCCTCACTTCTTATACACAAGATACTCCAGGATCCCAATATAGATCAAAACGGCTCCATGCCCATTCACTTCGCAATATTCTACGAAGAAGAGGCAGCTTCCAGTTGCGCAAGGCGGGACTCCGTCGCGGTCAAGAGCGCGGTGACGCAACCAATGAACACCATATTCAAGTTGGACATCATACGTAGTGTTTGGAACGTCACCGCGAAGGTGCGCATCTATGGCCGTATCAGCACTGGATGGCATATTTAGTGAGACGATCACTACACCAGGCTCGGCTCCCCGGACTGGCGCGCCTCTTTCAAATGTGGGGACTCGCCTCCACATCGAAGCTGCGACGATACTCGGCAAAGCGCTATGGAAGTCGTTCGACAGGTATGCTCGGTACCCCGCGGGGTGCCGCTTCACTATGATCACTGCCAATCGACCTGATGTCGCACACATACAACGGGTAGATGATATAGGAAGCGCTGCATAACGATCAGACAGACAAACCACTCGGCATCATCGCTACCGACGCTCTGCCTTTCACAGCTGGTTTGCCTTCCCACCCTCAATCGGGACACGGAACATAGCGTACGGCTTCGTGCGCAGGTCGGTCCTACCGCAATGCGGTCAATACGCACAAATTAGCACAAAGCGGCCGAACCACGCACCCATTTTGATAGTCTGGACTCAGCCACAATCTTGTACGTAAACAGGTGAGCGGCGAAAACCATGGAAGACGCGCAGATGACTCAACTGGTTGCAAGTGAAGTACAGGAAGTTTCCGCCGGACTTCAGGGAAGCGACGGCGAGAGTGTCCGGCCACTGATATTAAATGCACGATGGTCAATCGATCAGCCAAATAGTGGACTGGACGTGCTGCGCGCCTGGATGAACGGGTTGCGGACGAACGGCTCGATCATGCCTGTCTTCGGGTTGAAGCGGTTGATCGCGTTGTGCTCTATACACTGGTGAGTTACGTCTACTACTCAGCGGAATAGGAACTGAATGTACCTGGGGCGGTCAGGTAGATGAAACCCTGATCGTCACTCTCGAGCCCGTTAAGATGGCTCCCAGTATCTCCCAAGTCCTGCACCGCCTGATTGGCCAGGATGATTGCGTTAGGATTAACCGCAGATGGCTGGATCTTCAAGAACGACGTAGGGATGCGGAACAGCCTGCGCGCAGACAACGGCGCGAAGTAGAAAAATTCGCCATCTTTCGCGGAGCGTCCTGGTCAGTCCACCACGCGTGCTCGAACGGCGATCTCTTACCTGAGGACAGGGCCACCCCATCCGCCGCGAACTACACAACCCCGATCAAGATTGCGTCAAATCGGCAGATACGATGTACGCTTACCCGATTGAACGGCGTCACTGCAAACGGCGATATCGGCGGATGGATGTAGTTCGGAACTGCGCAACGCCCACACCGATTGCCATTCAGCCTCGCACCCTTCCCTCGCTGCCAGCACGGACTGATCGCGGCCTACCTCCGTTGTGGAACGAGATCAGATCGACCTGCACGGTCACCGAGGGGTGGTTGTCCAGATGCCGCCACGACACGCCCGTGCGCAGGTTCACGACGACGAGCCCCGGGCGCTGCGGCGAGCTGTCCGGGAGGTATGCGAAGCCGTCGCCGCGCAGGTCGATGCGCAGGTCGTTCAGCGACGAGTCGGCGGGGACGACCGAGGCGGGGAAGGTGAAGGTCGCGAATCGCGTGCCGTTCTGGTGGAAGCCGAGGAGCTTGGGGCCGCCCGGGGAGGCGGCCATGAGCGTCGTTCCGTTCACGCGCGGCCGCCCGACGTCAAGGGCCCAGATGCGGTCCAGTCCGTCAACGACGACCGCCTGGACTAGGAGGAATTTCTCGGTCGCAATGCTGAAGCCAGGGTTCGTCGTGTTGACAAATGCCTCAGGTGTGTTCGAATCTTGGCTGCGTTTATCCTGTTCAGCATCGCTCACATTCGCGAACAGAAAGTCAACATACTCGGGGAACGGCACCTCGGTGGTGGCGGTGTTAGCCTCCGCGAGCGTGAAGGTTTCATTGCCGCGCGGAAAGGAAGTGAATATCCTTCCATTGCTGCTCACCGCAACGCCCTGTCATTGAGGCGAGATCAGATTAGCTCGTCATTCTTGCCTGGGCCCGCCCCCGTACCGTCGGCCAGAAATCAAAGTAGGCGTGCACGAGTTCGACCGGCGGGCCGAACTTCCCGGTATCGAAGTGAATCTTCAAGTTCTTCAGCGCCGGGTCACCGCTGAGCTCATTCGCAGGCAGAGGCGCGACGGAGTCCGCGAGCGTCTGGTTCGGAGGAGGCGTCATCGGCGGTGGGTATTCCGGGAACTGGGCGGCAGTAACTGGATGTTAACTCCTTGTGCTGTCAGGAGTTCACGCGCGAAGGGACGTACGTCGAAGACACTCGAAACGTTTTCCGGAGCAGCGGCCGCTGCTGCCATTGCGGCGAGCAGGAAGGACAAGGCGAGTACGGGACGCATCATCGCAGCTGGCTGGCTGGCTACGTCAAGGACGCGAACTCATCGCGCCTCTTATATAGGGCAGCGTCGGTAGTCCGCATGTGGGGGTTCGCCGGTTCGTTGGGTTGTCTCCACTGTACTGGATCGAGGAATCATAGGCGGACAACGCATCAGCATGTGCACTTGCGAACAGAGACTACTGAGCGTAGGCGGAACCGAAGGCGGCGCTCCGTCGTGCACGTAAGGTGCCGTTTCTCGTGGGCGGCATGACGCATATGCGAGCATCGAACGATGGGTGGTACCTGAGAAGCAGCGTAAAGTCCGAGTCAGCAGACCGAAAAAGTGCGCAAGAGGGTCAGCATACCCACCTTCTCGCTCTGGACGGGGCTCCACTGCAGAAGAGGGGTCACATTGCCAGCCATACCGGGTTCGAGGGTGTGGTAGGAACGAAGATTCCCATGCAGAGGCTATAAACGCACGCACCCATAGTGTTGGACCCGACGACTCATGCCGGCCGAGTACCTCGATGAGCAACATGCTCTATATTTCTGGTTCCGTTACATCGATACAGGAGGGAGAGGGATAACATACACATACGATGGCTTATTCAGCTCTGAGAACGACCACACTGCCAACGACAGAACACGACAACAGGTAAAACACCGAGGATGCGAGATGCGACACATAGCTAATAACGAGTCAACGGTCAACGAGCGATTTTGTAGTCGTAAACCTGGCGTTACGATCAACATAGCGACGACTGGAAAAGGAGAGCGTTGACAGAACAAGTCCGGATATGAAAGCTTGACGACCTGTCGTAAGGGACATTATAGACACAGAATACGTGCGAGAGTCCGTGCAATAGAGAGGTTGCCGTAAAATGCTTGCATGAGGAGAGGGAGGGGATCATAATCGGGGCGCCTGCTGCCCGCATCAGTGAATCGCCGCAAGCCGCTGCGCAAGAGCTTCGACGACGAGCGGGTCGACACCGAACTCCTTCGCCAGATTTCCGACAGCGTCGATCTGGAGCGCCCCAGGGGAATGTACAGCACGTCCGCTGTAGCTCGATTGCCGGCTGCTGGCTGAACTCCGAGATCTTGGGGTGTGAGTCGGAGGAGGAGAAGACGTCGATCGGGGTAGAGCCGCCTCTAGGATGTCCGAGAGCTTGCCCATTTGCTCTGGGGTGAACGCTATGTAAGGAAAGTGTCAATGGCGCAGCCCATGTTGACTGTAAACGTGTGATCCCTACCTTGACAGTCCAGGGCGGCGCGGACGATCTGCGACAACGGGTTGGCCCAGTCTGACAGGGGGTTCTCCTCGATCCGAGTCATCAGGATCTGGACAGCAGCTGTGGCAAAGGGAAGATGATCAGCGACGATCTTTTACTAGACTTGGCATTGCGCCACGTACTGTGCGTGATTTCTGTGAAACGCGACATCAGCCTTCAAGCAAGGTAGTGGTCGAAGACGACAACTCACCATAAAGGGAATCTCTGAGGGTACCAGACCAGAACACGCGACTATCATCATCCGCAGGGAACTTCGACAGGATGCCGATCAAGGAATAGAATGGCAAGGACGGAACCTTAAGGAAATGGCTCTGCAAAGCTGAAGTTAGTCGTAGGATGAAATTGACGAAGGGGTTTTGGCGTACATCGGGAGACTTGATAAGGTGCAACAGCGAGTTCAGCTCCGTTTCAGAGATCAGGCCGCGCTGCAGAGTGGAAATGACGTTCTCATTGCTGAGACCCGCGAGAGAGGGACGCGAGCCGTCGAAGTTGCCCTGCCAGGAGGGGAAGAGCTGCATCAAAGTGAGATGAGTATCTGCAGGGCGCATGGAGGGGGACATATCCTTACCGCTCGCATAAGTTCTTCCTGGCTGCTTCGGGTAACGGTGACTCCGCGCGCCCGCTTCCCCTTGCCCAGGACGGAGTTTTGAGAGCAACGAAGAGCAGCCTTTGCCGCATCTTCGTCGACCATCTCAGCGAAAGCATGGCTCATTGTTTTGCCTTTGCGATCGAGGAGGACGTGGACGCGTTCTACAGGGTATCTGAGCCACTGCGCGATGGCGGGAGGGGTGATGTCCTAAGAAGCTCAGAGGTTAGCCTACAGTAGCAAAAGGTTGTGATAGTACGTACCCATGGCACGTTGTCGATGCGGAGCACGACGCGCTCGGACGAGCGGGCGTTGTTACGGCCTGAAGCGTGATGTTCACGAACTGGGGTAGAGGCGCCCTGGGCACGATCCATGAACCCCTCGTCGTCGTCAAATAGGCCCATGTCGTCACCGCTCCTACCACCAAAAGCACTGGGAAGGAGCCCGATGCCGCTGTCAAACTCCTCGATCTCGCTGCACTCCTCGATGATCCGTTGGAGCTTCGACTCCGAGGTCATGGAAGCGCCGTTGTCGAACGCAGCCTTGCAGAGAGAGAAGTCGTCCACCTTCATGTGGCACATGGCGCACTCCATGTCCTTCTCGCCGACGATGTTCAATGCGCTCGTAAGGCAAGCCGAGCACAGAGGATGGGCACACGGCTTGAGAATCGCCAGAGACCCCTTGGCCATCCCGCAAACCGAGCAAGTAGACGGTGCGGCTGGGGCCTTCCTAGGAGGGGGTGGGAAGTACTGAGGTGTCTCGTAAAGTTGTACAGGTTCCGACATGTTGGCGATTGCAGAGATAGAAAGATTGGAAATATTGAACGGATCATTGAATGCTAGAGGAAGAGTCTGGGAATGGGTAGGTGGGGAATAAGCCTCGGAGTAAATCGCATAGTCGTCCTCATCTATGTCGTACAGCTCTGAGGTCTATGTTCGAGCCGACAAGTCAGTTTACGCACCACACGCATATATACGATGAACTGACCTGTTCGAAAATAGGACGACGACGCGTGTGCGCAGGGTCGGTAACACTTCCACGGAGGCGGTATCCAGGTTGAGGAGGAGGGGTGTTCATGATACCCATGTTCGGAATCGAGCGGTTGGGGGTCGCTAGTGCGTTCTGTGTGACCGGAACGAGTGGTGCATATGCATGCGAGAGCGCGCGGGCACGGCGCTGGTTGGACAGGAACGGCGCCGGAAGTAGCGCTGTAAACGTTGTCAGACGATGCAACAGCAGAGCGATTGAATGCGCATACATTCGTCCACGGAGGATGTGCTGAGGTCACAGAAGCTATCGTCATCAACTACAAGAGGCTTGGGTGTCAGCAAAGCACGAACGGGGCGCATACAGTCGGTCACAGCATGGTTACTAGCAGAAGAACGCGCATATACTCACTTTGGAACTTGGATGCACCGCTGGGAGACACTTTGATACCATTTTCGTTCGCCCTCGTGCGCCAGTTCGGGGCGATGTCGGCGAGGCTGCGGTTTGGGTTGTTGACAGTTGGTACCTCCGGGGACGAGAGGGAGAGGCTGAGGTTCCGGCGTCGGCCAGCGGGAGCGGCAGATGCGGGTGTCGCGAGACTTGATGCAGTAGAGGAAAAAGATCGATGGCTCAATGGAGTATACGGCGAGGAGAAGGAGATTGCGGGGGAGAAAGGAGAGGTATATTGCCTTGCGCTCGCCGAATGATGGAGGGGCCGTTGCGGGGTGGTGGGCTGCTGGTTTTGCTTGTTGCGGTGCACGGCAGGGGAGGTCGGCGCGGAGGCGGGTATCAAGGACTGTTTGGCCATCGTGTCGAGTGTCTTCGTCGTTGTTGAGGTCGTGGTTGCCGGGAACGGGGGACGGAGACGGGAGGAGAAGAAAGGGAAAGAGACGGGAACGAAACAGACGGTGACCTGTGACGGAAACGTGAAAGGTTGGAGTTGATCTCGCTAATTGCCGTGCGACTTGAACCGCGTCGCGACGCGGTCACATGAGGGCCGCTTATGTCAGGAACGCGGTGGCTCGTTCCAGACCCTGGCAACCGTGCCTGAGCTCAACGAATAAGGTCATCTTGAGTACCAAGTGTCGGTACATCCAACCACAGAACAGCAAGTAAAATTAAGTGTACAATCCAGAGTATACGAGAAGGCTTGAAGGCGTGTTCGGGCTGTTCAGGTACCCTGGTCTCTCAGCTTCTTTAAGAGCAAAATTACACCCTTCGCCACCGCCTCGCCCTTCGAATCCCTTAGCACTCCACCCGTCCGTGTAGTTGAGGCTTGTGCAGAGCTATCCGAGCCCAGGTCCATACCCTCGGCGTCCTCGTCTTCACCGCGGGTTCGTGCTTCTGCCATCTTGCGTGTCAGCGTGACATAGAACAGCGTGAAGTCCTGAGCATGCTGGAGCAGCGCCCCGAGCTTCTCGCGGTCGGAATGGCCGGGGAGGGCGTCGAGGAGAGTGCGCTGATTGGCGGGCGCGCGGTCCATGATGAGGCCGAAGAGGACTGCCATGTGGCCGCGGACCACGACATCGAGCTCGTTGGACGACGAGAGGTGCTGGGCGTAGACTTCCGCGAGACACGCCAAGGCACTCTTGCGACCTGGACAGCGGCATCGGCGAATACATCCACGTTTACCAGGACAATCGAAATCGAGTACTACGAAACATAATGTCAATTGGTTTATGGATATATGCGGGGGAAACTTGGGCACTTACGCGTCTCGTTCATGATCGTCTTGGTGTCAGGGGTGGCTTGCACAAGGTTGGTTAGCAACCCCAGCGCCAGGCACATGCGGTCAAGACATCGTGCTGCGTTGGCGCCATCGTCGTCGTCAGCCTCATCGGCTTCCGCCTGTTTCTCCAATAGTCTGCGTTGTTGTTGCGCCATGACGATGAGATGCATGATCGCAGTCATAGCGAGCTCGTCGTCGAGGACTGCGTGACACCACTGTAGATCGTCGTGGGTAAGGTTGATGAGAACGCGGAGAGCCGACTCCATGCACTTGCTGGCTGCGTTTCGAAGTATTTAGTACGACGCATCAATCATACGAGAACTCTGCACGCACCGACCGGCCGATGATCCTCGAGTTCACTGTCGAGCAGGATGATACCACAGGTTATACATAAGACTATTAGAGCCTCAGCAAAATCGTGTTCGCGGAGTTCGTCGAGTTGAGAGGTTTGCGCAGGCAGCTCCTCGGAAAGGATAGACCACGATCCTAGGAGGCAGGAGTCCAGCAAGCGCAAGCAATTGTCCAGATGAAGCAATGACGGGGTGTCCATATAAGATGTGGGGCTGGACGGCGGGAACAAGGACAGGCCAGAGATGTATGCGCTCGCCCGAGAAGGAAGGGGTTTGATCTCTGCGGAGAGACTATGCAGCAGAGCAGGAAGATGCGACAGATTATGTGCCGAAGGCGAGACGATCACCAACGCCTGAGATATAAGCAAACGGTTGGAGACCTGTCATACCAGACGTATGAGCATATAAGGGACATCGGAGAAAATACCAATGTATGTACCGTATCGATGTCTTCGAGGAGACCTGATTTCTTTCGTACCAGCCGATGAAGGCTGCTTAACTAGTCTCTGTTAGCTGGGATGGCTTACAGTGTGCATGAGCCACCCACCAACGTGATCTCTCCTTTCGAGATACCGGCAGCCTTGAGTTCAGCAGGGCCAGCATTTTCTGAGATGAGCCATAGCGGGTCATTCGAGCGGTCAAGAGAGCTCAGGAGTCGATGCAGGGTTGACGCAAAGTCGGACTTCGAGGCTAACTCCAAGAGGTCCGTTGGGTCCCTCGCAACCAGCGCAGCATAAAACACCAAAATGGAGTCTAGTACCTGCGTATAGAGTTAGACTGAAAAGTACATTGTGGGCCGCTGATATACCTACCTTATCTCCACTTCCTGCGCCCGCATCTCTGAGCACCTCCCACGCACGGCCCAGGAAATCGGCAGCTTTCGCTCGTCGCGCAAACTCAATATCACACAGCTTGGTGACGATCTCCAAGGCACTGTGTGTGCGTGAGCATGGTCCATGAGACGGTCAATGACGCAGTCCATCGCGCACCTGCCCCGCCTGACGCCCAGCGTACATGTCGCGTCCAGCCCCTCAAATAAGTATCCCACTTCGTCGAGGAACCTTCTGCTCTCCCCCTTACTCCTCAGCTCAGTGATGCTCTTCAAGTCGTTCATCATCCCGTTTGGAAGCAATCTAGCCGGTGGCTCTTCTCTCAGGCCCTTCCGCTTCTTGCCTTTTCCTTTCGGGGACGGGGAAGCCTGAACAGGGGAGAGCGGTCGCGGGTCATCTTCAGACGCGTCCACACCCCATCGTTCCCTGAGCTCCGTGTACGACTCCCGCATCTCGAAGTCATCCTCTTGGCTCTCTCCATACATCGTCCCAGTGTCGTCAATGAGGCCCTGCGAATGCGACTCCAGACCAAGTGTGCCCGCCTGCGACTGCGGTAGCGCGACCAAGAATGAACGCGATTTGCCCGCATACGTGCGGACGTTCGTGTTGGTAAGTGCCGGGCGGATAGGGGGAGAGGAGATGTCGTCTGGTGGTCGTGCTTTCGAGGGGGACAGACTGGACGCTCGACCGGACGGCGAGTCAAGGAGGCTGTCCGAGCGGAAAGTGCGAAGCTTCTGTGGGGTGACATTTACGGAGGAAACGTCTGCACTACCAGGTTCGCTGGTACTGCTAATGCTAATGACGCTCCCCTCCGTCCGAGATCGAGCAAGCATGCGGCGTGCGACTCCGGTTTGAGCCTTGGGGGCCACACGTGATGGCCCACTGGTTGAGGTTGGGGCACCTGCGAACAAGAACAGTTCGGAGAGGTCCTTTGTAACATGGGGGCTCTCGTCGGTAATGGTGGCCGACCGGGCGAGTGGTCTTCGCGGAGGGGTGGTTGTGCCTGAGACACGCTCCTTAGAAGGTGTAGTTGAGCGTGTAGACGGCTTAGATGGGGAGTGCGTAGAAACGGTGTCATGGTCATCTGTTAACACATCATGACGATGTTTCACGCGCAGATATGGAGAAAACATACAGCTGCCTTTTCGAACCGCTGCACTCGACGCGCTCGTAGAGTTACCGTTCCTGTCTGGGGAGCGTACAACAACTTCAACGTCAATCTTCTGACGCTTGCGAGGCCTGACTGGGGTGTTCTCGGCAGAGGATGGCTCGTCGACTGTATCGGCCTCTGCGGTATACGAACGGCGTTGGTTTCTCTTGCGGCTATAAGTCCGCTGCATTGTGACTCCGAAAGATGATTGTGTGCCCCTTTCGCCCGTAAGTGTCCTGCAATTAGATGCGACAGATATGGCACGTTGTCCGAGGCAGAACTGGAGGCCACAGCGGTGGATGAGGAGCAGGAGGAGGGTGGCGGGAACAAGCAAGCACGCTGAGGCCGATCGCGATTCGCGTTAGGGCGCTTGCTCGGTCATTAGTCGCGTCTGTCACATGTGACCGTTTGTGACGTAAATGTCACGAGCGCGACACAGCGCGGAAGCGGGCGCTCGACGTTGAACGTGCTCTCTCCGTTCTCCTCGTTTTCCTCGCCTCTGCCGCCAGCTACCAGGATGGAATATCTTCAAGCTCGTCTAGACTCATTTGCATCTTCCAAGTCCAAGCGCACGAAGGCCTCCACTAGCAAGCACTCCTCCGCGTCCACTAAGTGGCCGCACCCTCCGACATGGAAAGCCACTCCGACCAGTCTGGCCGAGGCGGGCTTCTACCACGACCCTAGCTCAAGTTCACCCGACAATGTGACCTGTTTCATGTGCAAGAAGAGTCTCTGTGGATGGGAGCCGGAAGACGATCCCTTCGAGATCCACTATGAGAAATGCAGCGAGATGTGTGGCTGGGCGGTCGTCCGGTGTCAGAAGCCTGACACCAACGGGAAGTACGCGTCGTCCCGCAACAGATAGCGCGATTCCGTTCTAATAACGTCTATAGGTTCGACTTCTCTGATTCCACGCGTCATCCTACGAGCAAAGAGATGGAGAAGGCTCGATTAGACACGTTCTCGCAAACTCAATGGCCTCACGACGGTGTGAGGGGTCACGGCGCGAACTCCAAGGCGGTGAGTCAATAGGCGTCGTTATGTAGAGCATATGTTCATCGACGCATTATAGCTGGCGAAAGCTGGCTTCGTTTGGAATGCGTCGGAGCCAGGCGACGATACAGCGATGTGCTTGTACTGCAATTTGTCCTTAGGTGGCTGGGATGCGGAAGATGACCCTTAGTGAGTGTTTTGCAACCGCCCCGCATACGTTGTTTGAACATCTTCGTAGCGAGGAGCATCTTAAGCGGGATAAGAAACACAAGACTGCGTGTGCATTTCTCAAGGCTTTCGCGAGCACTTCGCTAAGCAAGTCCACCTCGAAACGGGCTCCGCCTAAAGCCGCGTCTAGGAAACTATCTCGTTCGGTCTCTCAGACAATCCAGAACACAGTGACGGAGGCACCAGAGGAAGAATCAGATGATGAGCTCGCCGTTGCACCCTCCTCTGGAACCGCTCCTTCTAGGGGACCCTCTGGTAGAGCGAGCAAGTCGCGATCATCACGCGCATCATCCGCGCCTGCAAAGACCCCCGCTTCGCGACGCTCAACACGAGGAACGGGCACAAGTGGCAAGGCCCCCGGAAGCAAGAACACGGTGAGCTCGGAAGTGGATGAGACGGACGGAGGGAGCGAGAGTGAGACAGGGAAGCGCGTGTCGAAGTCGAAACGCAAGACGGGCGGGCGGGCGAAGGCCCGAGTCTCGGCCATCGTGGAGGAAGATGTGGAGGAGGACGCTCCGAGGAGGACGCAACCCAATGACGATGTAGAGATGGAGGAGCAAGAGAAAGCCCTGGACGCAGCGAAGGAGGAGAAGCGGAAGCGGGGACGGCCGCCTAAGAATGCCGTTGCTGCTAAGCCGGCTTCGAGGGCGAGGACGAAGAAAGGTGTGGAACCAGAGGAGACAGAAGGCGCATCGGGGACAGACAATGAACCTGCTCCAGCACCTCCCCCGAAGAAGGCGCATACACGGACACGTTCGAAGGCAAACCTGGACTCAGAAACAGAGGCCCCAGCACTAACGGCTCCAAAGCCGACGCATACAAGGACCAAGTCGGGGTCCAAGGCGAAGGTCAAGCAAGAGCAAGTCGAGGAGGAGGTACCCGCGCCTGCACCTGCCGCTCCGAAAAGGAAGGGTAAACAGAAGGCTGCCTCCGTCGCTCCCGAGGAGGAGGATGGAGACTTCGACGTCCCACCTCCACCCCCCAAAGCGAAAGGGAAAGGCAGGGCGCCTAGTTCATCACGGCCGAAAGTCAAGGCCGAGCCTCAGCCCATCGTTGAAGACGACCTCGTACCGTCTCACGACGAACCGGAACCCGAGTCCCCTCGCGAACGCCCTCAGACCAATCACAGTACATCCTCCCGTCCATCGAAGGCACCATCAAAGCGTACCCCTTCGTTGTCCGACGATGCAGGCTACGCAACGGCAGAACCCCCTGCAGATGCAGAGCGGATGGACGTCGATGGAGATGAACCCCCGCTTGCGCCGCCTTCCAAGCAGCCCTTGTCTCGCAAGGCTGGCCCTTCTGGCTCACAGCGAGCAACGCAGGGAACGGCCTCTCGATCGACACCGCAGTCAGTCGACGGCGAGACCACGTCACGGCCTAGCTCCGCGCTCAACGGCATTACTCGCCAAAGCGCAGCTCCTCCCTCTCGGGCATCTTCAGCGCGACCTATTTCAAGAGTCCCTAGCGCCGTTAACCGAAGTTCTCTCAAGGTCATCGATATCGACTCAGACGGGGAGGAGGGCCCAGTGCAAGCACCACCACCGAAACCGAAGGCTGTGGAACGCACGGTCTCTCTCAATGGTATGAAGAAGCCCCCATCCAAGACGCCGGCCAAGAAGCTTCAGGTCGAGGTCGTACTTCCCTCCAGAACGAAGCCTCCCTCTCAGGAGACGGAGGATGTGCGCATGCCAGAGCCTTCGCCTACCAGTCCAGTCCGGCCCAAAGCCGCTCACTCGTCCAGTCCTGTGCGGGCAGCTCGGAAGCCTGACACCCCTGACACCCCCGTTTCCGCTGTCCACCGTTCTGCCCAGGTCTCCCCTGTACGCCCCCCACACCAGGCCTCTGGCGTTGCAGACGATGACGTTGCTATGCCGGATTTCGAGCCGGCGGCGTCCACCTCCCCTCGCACCTACCACCCCGTCCTTGCCCAGGTTCCGATCGAGAAGCTGACGGGCTTAACGGAAGAGGAGGCCAACATGACGCTCGAGGAGTACATCAGGCGCGAGACGGAGTTGCAGTACGCGCAGTTCAAGGCAGACGCGGAGAGGAAGATCGACGAGTTCAAGCGAAAAGCTGCAGAGGCCAAACAGCTGATAGAGACGGCCTAACGCAGCATGCTTGTGTGCTGTGGACGGAGTAGGCGTTGCGGGGGTTGCAGCTGGACTGGTGCGTGAATGAGACATTGAATCATGAAGCGGGCAGGGCTGAACGTTGCCCGATACAGTGTTGTAGCACTAAATTATTCCATTCGTCGCATTTGCATCAATCCATTCAATCACTGAGCACTTTCTTCATATTCCGCGGGGAAACTGATCTTCTCTCTTGCATTCACGGTCTCGCATCCAGGGACGATGTGGAGGTTTATGTGTTTGTATCGACCCGACTGTTTACAGGGCGATAGTGACAACAAGAGGCGTATCGTTCGAGGATATGGGTAACGAACGACCCTTGCGCACTTCCGATGCCATGACGGCTCCTATCCGCTTATTGCCCTTGTATCCCGGAATTTCCGCCAACTGCATCGGCTTCTCGGTACTGGTCGCTGGAGTGCTTGTCAATTTCCTCCCGTCGACACAGCTGTCGGACCCCGAACTCGAGCTGGAGCTGGAGCTATCCGAGATGTCGGAGGACGTGCAGATGACGAACTGTGCCTTCGGAGACGAGAGGGTGCGTGACGCCTTCAGGTTCTCCTCGTGGATGAGCTGCAGCGCTTCCTTGTCGGTGAAGACGGACTGCGTCTGGGCGAGCGCGACGTCCACGGCGGCGCGGGGGCAGTACGACGCGGCTGCGACCTGGATGTACCTGCTGCCGCGCTTGATGTCTTCTTCGCTCATGAAGAACGTGCCGACGGCGAGGATGCGTGTGCGGAGCTCGGGGATGGTGATGCGCGTGGCCGGGTCGGAGCTGAAGATCTGGTAGAGGATCTCCTCCGTCTCCTCCGAGATGGGGAGTATGGAGCGGAGGTGGCCCGGGTGCGACAGGAACTTGAGGTAGTTCTTATCCTTCGTCGTGGCGTACTCCCAGGGATTGCGACCCGCAACGAGGTTGGTGAGGATGATGCCGAGCGACCAGACGTCGGCAGCTTCGGGGGAGAAGGGGTGGAAGTCATAGTCCTCGCCGATGCACTCTGTGGATAGAAGAGGTAAGCAACTATTGACGAATGCGAGTAAACGTTGTGTACTAACCAGGACTCATGTAGTTGGCGCTGCCACAGCCGAAGGTGTCGCTGACCTTCGCTGTGGTGGAAAGACCGAAGTCCGCCAGTTTTATGTCCGTGCCCTCCGCGTTGGTGAGGATGTTGTCCGGCTTCAAGTCACGGTGGTAGATCCCCTGCCCGTGGCAGTACTCGACGGCGTCGAGGACCTGGACGAAGACACGCTTGAGGAGCTCGTCGTTGCGGGCGTAGATGAAGCGCTCCATCATGGGGTTAAAGAGGTCGCCACCCGCGCAGAAGTCGAGGACGATGTAGATGAAGTAGTCGCACTCATACGCGCCGTGGATGGAGACGATATTCGGGTGGTCCTCGACGACGAGATGGGCGGCGACTTCACGCTGCTGGTAGCGCCAGCGACGGGACTTGGGGTCCGCCTTCTCCATGATTTTGACGGCGAACTCCTTCGATACGAAGTCTCCGGACGATGACGATGGGTCACCGGGTTTTGCGATCGTGACGCCGTGGAAGACGACACCGTACGCGCCTTCCCCGAGCACCTCTGTGAGGAGGAGACGGCCGTCGTCGATGGTCTTGCCGAGGAACTCAGGAATCCAAGAAGCAGTGTCGTTGGACATAGTGAGTGTGTGTGTGAGGATGGTGTGGGTGGGAGAGGGGTTGGTTGAGAGAGCAGGTAGGCGAAGCAAGAGGTGGGGGTATGCTGAGCTTGACCTGCAAGACGACTGATAGAACTCGATGGCCTTCACTCCCCAGAAACCACCCTGGTCTTATACCTGCAGGGTGCGGATACGAGCCCATGCTCGCCTTCGAGTAGGAAGTCCTGAAGCACAGCAGAGAGGGCCAAGCATTGCGCCACTTGGGTCGGCTCGACATACAGAAGACGGGAGTCCCGCCAAATCCTACAGCCACCGCGAGGAAGTTGGTAGAACGCCGACACGTAACTTCCCGAAGTAGGCTGGCGACCTTCGGCAGGTGCTGGGGGATTGTACATATACTGTCTGCCGAGGGTTGGTCTAGACCGCTCAACCACGTACCGAAGCCGCGTATTGCCTAAAATGTACGATGCGTGTCGGCAGTGGCGGTGAGTACCGAGTTTGAACTGTCAAGATTCTAATCCGTCCTGCGTTTGACCTCTGCAAGTAGCTGGGCCGAATTCATATATTCTAACTGGCGTGTTTGCTTAGCTACAGTGAGCTTTGCTTGTATGTCTTTCCATGCAGCCGTTCAGGAGCCCGAACTGTGCGTCCAATATATTGTACAGGAGGACGAACCCGCCCGGATACTGAGAGGTGAGCTCCAGGCAAGAAATGTCCGAGAGGTATACACATCCGATGGGTCGTTGTTCAGTCTAGATTGATATTGGCCACCGCTGGCGTTCACTTCCGCGGATCCGGTTCACGATCAATGGAGCTACTTGGCTCGGTGTATAGAAAGCCTGACTCCGTGAGTGATGTCAATGTAGTCGCTGTGTCAGCAGGCTGCCTATGGTACACACGTCAGTTGCAATATTGAACCCCACCCGGGCTCATGTAACCGTTCAACGTTCACTTCAGTCTACCGCATGCAGCGAATCTCGAGCACGCAAAGAAAAGGGAAAGCATTCTATGATTGAGCTATCGATACAGTACAATACGGTGCTATCGATACAAAGTGTGGTGGCGGAGAGCAAGGTCCAAACGAAAGCATACGGAAAACAGCCAAATCTAGCAGAGTCGAGCACGTCGATGGGACCGCTCTACTCGGTGAAGAACCGGTCCATGAACCGCCGTAAGATACCAGCGGGAGACATCGACCGTGGCCTCTTCGCAAACACACCGCCGGGCAGCTCGACCGACCCCTCGCCGTGCAACCCATGTGGGTAGTCCGCGACCTCCAGACGTGGTTGTTGTGCGCGCATCTCCGGTGTCCGCGGCCCACTGGAGCTCTCCACCGACGACGGCGTGTCGCGTCTGCTGGCGCTCCGGCCCCGCGCGTCCTCCTCGCCCTCCTCCGAGTCCGCGAGCGACGCCGAGGGTGACGCAGGAGGGAGCAGGTAGTGCGATGCGAACGGCGACCCCTCGAAGTACGTCGCGGCGCTCGAGCGGAGGTATGGGCCCGCGCGGGCGATGAGCGCGGGGCGCATGAAGAACGAGTCGAGCATCTCTACGGCTGCGCGCACCTGCTCGAGCGACGCGCGACGCGCGGCCTCGCAGCGAAACACGTGCTGGAGAAGAATATTCGCCTCGGGGGAGAGAGGGAGCATCTCGATGAGGAAACGGTTGTTGCGCGCGTACGCGCGGTAACAGGCGTCGGCCGGGCATGCGTTGTTCCAGGGGTTGTGGCCCGAGATCATCGAGGTGAGGATCACGCCAAGCGCCCAGATGTCGTTCTCGCGCGCGTTGTATGGTAGGCGCGCAGGGTCGAAACCAATGCATTCTACGGAAAGGCAGAAGTAAGCGACCGGACGAAAGGAGATGTCGGGAAAGAGACGTACCAGGACTCATGTAGAGCGAGCTTCCAGCACCGTATGTTTTGCTGTACGCATTTGCGGTGGCAAGACCGAAGTCGGTGAGGTATATATGCTGAGCGTCTTCGCTGATGAGGATGTTTTCGGGCTTAAGGTCGCGATGGTATATCCCTGCGTTATGGCACGCCTCCAGAGCGTCGACGATCTGAAGGAACAAGCGCTTGATGAACGCATCGTCCCCGCGGTAGACGCGCGAACTCGACAGGAAGGTGAAGAGGTCGCCGCCGGGGCAGTAGTCGAGGACGAGGAAGACGTAAAACTTGTCCTCGATGACGCGGTGGAGGGTGACGACGTTCGGGTGGCTAGACAAGATCTGGTGGAAGTGGATCTCCTGCCGCTGGAGGGTGTATCGTCGCGAGCCCTTCTCCGCACGCACGACGCACTTGACTGCGTACTGGGTTGGTGGCGAGCCTGAGCCGGAGGTTGTGTCTTCAGCGAGAAAGATGACACCGTTCGAGCCCGAGCCGATAGTGCCGACAAGTTTCAGCCGGCCCTGGTCGATGCTGTGCCCGACAAGGTCGGGAATATTGCAGGAGTGGTACATGATGGCGAGGGGGGGGGTGCGAGAGGTCGGTGCGGCGTCGTTGACGTTGGAGGGCAAAGTTATCGAGGCATTGGAGGGCGCAGCGGGGAAGTAAGTATGATTTGCGCGCGGACCCGCCTTACGCAGTAGCCGCGCCGCGAGATTCTAGAGAAGACATGCGGAGTGCGGGCCACCCAGATGCGCTGCGATGCCCGGGCGGAAGGCATGCGCATCGCCCCGCCCTGGCGAGGGGTCGACGGGAGTCCCTGTCGATCCAGGCGGGTCGGCCCGATCGAGCAACTCGCGGTTTAGGCACTGCAGGCTGGATCAGGACGGATGTGCCATATGCGCAGCCGCCGCGGGGCGCGAGTCCTTGCGATTCGGACTGCGAGAGGCGCCGGGGGGACCTTGGGCCGCGCGCGGCTGACGGCACTCAAGCACTCGCAAGCCCAAAGTCAGCCAACACGGGACGCGGAACTCACGCTCAGGCCTCAGGGGCCCGCCCTTGCACCGCCGAGGCGCCGTTCCTGAGAGCGTCGTGGCGTTGGCGGAGCCGATCCGCGCGCCGTCCGCAGAAAGCGGTGCCCTGCGGAGTCTACCGTACCTTCAGGCCTTAGACTCAGGCCCAGGCCCAGAGCGCGTCCAGGGACCATGAGAGGGACGGCCAGGGACGGTTGTGATCCACGGGAGCGGATTTGCGATAGGATGTGCGTGAGCGAGGAGAAAACAAAAAGATAGCATTATGGAGCGCGTGGAGAACATTCAGAAACAGCAGTGCGACCAAGACCCAAGACCCAGAAACCCCAAGTGAATCGGAAACGCGCGCAGAGTCACCACCCCACACAATCCTCGGCCATTCGGATGAAGCTCTCCTCATCGAAGGAGCTCGACGTCAGGTTCTCCAGGATCATGTGCACGCTGCTGGCGTCGTCCGAGCAGCTGTTCTCGGAGTAGACGGCGACCAAGCTATCGTACGACCAGGACTCCTCCGCGGCACCAGAGGGGTCGAGCACAGAGGGGTCGATGCAGCTGCGTGAAGGGGAGTAGACGGAAGGGGTTGAGGCGATGGAGCAGACACGACCAGGACCAGGATGAGAGGCAGAGGTTGAGAGCGCAGGGGATGTCCGAGTAACCCGATCGGGCGAAAGGCCAAAGCCAAGCCCAAGAGTGTCCGTGTGGGCCAATGGGGTCGTAGACAAGATACTGGCGCGCGTGAGAGTCTTGGGGGATTCGAACCGTTCGTGCCTCCGTCGGATGTCTTCTCGTTCAAAGGCGATGTCTAGAGGTAGCAGCGTCTGGGCGCGGATCGCAAACGGAGTAGGAGGGCCGCCGCCCATCTCGAAGCCTTCTCTGCGCTCACGGATGTCTCTCCGGCTTTGCGCGAACGTAAGAGGAAGGAGTGAAGCGATGAGTGGCGAGGTGGCCACCTGAACAGGTTCGTCGGCGGGCTCCTCGGCATCGCTGGTGTGCTGTTGCAGCGAGGCGAGTAGGTCGTCGAAAACGCGGCCTTCTTCGGAAGTCGGCTTCCCCGGCACCGGTTTCGAGACTTTGCGGCGTAGTTTGAAAGAGAATCGAGTTCGGGCCTGGACGAGGAGGGTAGGGTTGGTTGCAAGGTTGCCTGCCGAGGGCCTAGAAGCGGTGTTGACCATGACGACAGACCGAGTAACACGTCGAGAGCAAATAGCAAGAGAGCGAAAGTGAAGGCACAGTGCATGGAGAGTCCGACATTCGTACGTAGCAGCAGCGACTTCTAGTCCATGTTGTGTATGGCTGACGAGGACGATACGTGAGGCTGGGTGTGATCAATGTGCGATCGTGTGCGACATGGTGATCGGGACTGTTGGACCGCGGCATTTGCCGCCGTGAGTGCATATGCGTCCCTTCCTCAGGGTCATGGCCAATACAGAAGGTGAGGATGGCTGTTGAACGTTCAACAACAGAGGCTAGGCCGAGGATGAGACGCAAGGCTCAGAACCAGGCACCAATGGTGGGCCTGGTGCTGACTCTGCTGAGGACAACATGTCAGGCTCGGTTCAGGCACTTTAAATTCAAATTCTTGTACCCAGTAGACCCAGGTACATACCGCTGGATCCCCCTGAATACTGTCGGAATCTTGTGAGGACCGGGCGTGCAACGAGTGTATTATCAGTCAGCGGGTGGATTGGCCGTATTCTTGTTGACTCACTCGTAACTTCTTTTGTCATATCGATGCCACCTCAGTACTCTCAGCCTGTAGCGTTACTGGAACGGCGGATGAGTTGTTGACAATCAAGCAATGGCACATGCAAAAGCCGCCCCGAGGGGGAGAATGTCAATGACATCGATGAGCAGCCACCCCGCCTCGTCACGGCCGAAGATGCCCGCAAAGTTGAGGTTCTATCATGCACGGGCGTCCATACACGAGCTGGGTACAGTCAGTAACTTGAGTGCCGCAGGCAAAGAAAAAACCTCAGCTTGGATGCATGAATTTCGTGTCAAAGGTGGCAAGACTAGCCAGCCTAGGCCCTGATGGGTAAACACGCACGGGGGAGGAGCGTCGACGTGTCTACGCCGTACGTCGCAGCTGTGATTCCGGAGGTACAACAGGAAGAGGTACGATGGAGGGAGCGAACGTTGAGTTGCAGGTCGGTACCCGATGTGGTGAATTACCGGATAACAACCGCTGCCACTTGCAGAGCAATCTATGCCTCGGTTCCTGTTTCGCCGCACCTTAAACTAGAATATGTTCCTGTTTAGTATACGAGGGGAACGGCTGCTGTGTAAACATGGTCGACTAGAAGATAAAACTCACCTTCTGTGAAAGACATGAGCGCCATGAGCGCCTTCGCGAGTGGGCAGAGGCGTACACATTGGCAGAAACCACCAGGGGGTACCAAAGGTGAACAAGCGTATCTGCGTGTGCTGTGGAAGGAAAAGAGGAGGACAGAGGCAATAAATGGGGGTCGCCTCTATTATAGAATGGGGTGCCGAAAAACGGTGTACGCAGCACAGGGATGCATATGGCGATCGGCCTGCTCTCTCCTACGAGCGCTTGTAAAGCAATATATGTACTTTACGGCACCTGCCCCGGCTTGCTGCTCGCCTACTCCGATACCGTCTCCCCGAGTCTCACTTTCTCGCAGCGATGTCGCAGCTCCGTGCAAGGCCTCTGCGAAGGTTCGCACCCCAGAAGCCGCCTAAACCTCCGGCGACAGTCTGCAAGAATAGCTCGGCAGTCACGCACGTGGCCTGGTGATGGGCGGGTTGACGGCGGGGGCGATGTGAAGGGCTGGGTACACGGCTTGGTGCTCGCCCTTCTCAACCCTTCGCTCTTCTCTTCCTCATTCTCCAGTCTCCCTTTCGTCCCAGTCCGTCCACAGACATGCTCAGCCTACCGACCCTCGTCTCTCTTTTGCTCCTCGCTGTCCCCAACGCCGTTCTGGCAACCCCCTGCGTCTCTTTCGACGCCGACTTCAATCTCTTGGCCTTCGGTTTCGACGGCAAGGATTGGAATGCTGGCCAGCAGGACTCATGGACGAGCGGTGAGTACTGAGCTTAGACTATATGTGCCAGTTAGCTCAGTTCTACGTCGTGTGCAGGCTCCGCTACTGACATCACCGCCTCTGGAAGACCGTAAGTATTGTACGCTATGCGTCACACGCTCGTTACTAACCAGGCCCTTCAGACCATTCGACGGCAACAGCACCACCTGCTACCTCGCCCAGTTCTTCAACGCCGTTTACTTCATAAACGCGGACAAGGCCAACCCGTCCAACGTGCACATCTATGATGCCGGCGCCAAGTCATGGTCCACCCAGTCCGTGAACGCCGGTACCTTCGATGTCTTCTCCTTCGATACCATCCTCGACCACGACACGAACGTCTTCTACGCGGTCTCCCACAACGAGGTCTTCTTCCTGGACATGGGCAACCTCAAAACTGCCAACGCCACCGCTCTGGACTGGAATGATGTCCAGGCGGCGCCCTTCCCCGCCGACTACAAGCCCATCATGGGGCTCGCGCAGAACCACGTCCACTTCTTGAACGTCCCCGACATTCCCGCAGGCTCCGCTGACATCTTCGTCATTCACTGTATGTGCTGGTATATCTTTGCCGCTGCGTAGGTGTTAACCCGGTTGCCCCCTACAGTCTCGCTCTTCCAGCCTGCGCCCCAAGCGTACCCGCTCTCCGACGGCTCTGCGATTCCCAACTCGCACGGCCTCACAGCAAGCTTCTTCCAGGCCGAGGGCGTGCAGCAGGAGTTCGCCTTCATCCCCGACGACGGCTCGCTCACCTACGTCATCAACGTCGAGACAAACACCACCAAAACGATCGCCGGCCCGACGACGAAGGACGCAAACGCGCAGTACGCCGCGAGCATCACCGCGCTCGTCCAGCTCGACAGCACCGGCGCGCTCTCCTTCATCCCGTACAAGCAGGGCGACGACAGCGCGAACGGCGCCGCGACGTGGTCCGCCATCTCGAAGGTCGCCGCGGTCGCGCCCCCGACATCGTCTGGTGCCTCTGGCTCGTCGGCCTCGGCCGGAGCTTCCGGCACCGCTACCGGCTCTGCGTCGAAGTCGACCGGGTCTGCTGGTAGCAAGTCCGGCACGGCGACGGGTGCGGCTGCCGCTACGGGCACCGATGGCGCGAACGGTGCCCTGACGAACGCGGTGAGCTTCGGCGCTGTCGCGGGTGCCGTGATGGCGCTCTTCGCGGCGCTGCAGTAACCGTTACGCGCGTGTATGCATTCCGAGAGGGACATTTGTGCGCATGTTGGAAGACGGACGCTCTCACCGGATTACCCCCCACTAGCTATCGATCGTACTCCCCCCCACACTTACGCCTCCGCTTCCGCCTCACCCCTTACCTCTCTAGGATACGTGTTACGGACGCACTCACACCTCGGACACTAGTTACATGCCGTGCGCACTCCGCCTTTGGGGGATGATGATATACGGTATGCGGCGTCCCGCTCGTTACGAACTACGGTCTTTACCTGCGACTTGTCCGCTGGCGAGCTGGCCTTGGGTGGAACGTCCCTGTCCGTGCCCCGATTCGCGTCTGTCGTAATAATATATGATACCGCTAATGGCTGATACCATGAACATCGCACGATGAGCAAGGCTGTTGGTTGCAGGAGCGACCAGGTGGGTGTTGTTCAAGCGCTCATCCTTGCTGGCTTTAGGCAAGAAGAGCAATCATCTGCTGTATACCCCACGCCGTTCCATTCAGTATCTTAAGCTCTACATCGAAAGAATGTATCCGTCGTCCTACTGGGTCCAACACCTTGAGTACTGTGGCGAATGACTGAACCTGACTGCTTGCCTAAAACAGAGGTACGGGATTTTCCGGGCCGGCGATTGCAATATTTCGAATCTCGATCTCGATCAGTGCACATAATAAGCGCTGGTGTATATGCACTGACTGGCTTGCGCAGGACTCGGACTTGGAGGACGACCAGGCTCGGCTTCATACTCACTGCTCATCTACCATCTTGTCAACAAAACTAAGTCATAGGGCTCCGAATCTGCTACACTACTCTTAGGCTGCTAGGCTGCTTGCGCTCTCTCTCTCACCACCGTGGCTTGGACATGTCATAGAACCAGTCGCACCCTCCTCGCCTCCCTCGCCGCCCCAGCCCGACCCCGCTCGTTCCACCCGCGGTTCACCCACTCCCCTCCTGCTGCGCACTACGCCCGAGACCCGTCCCGCGAAAACACGACCGCGATGCACGCCTGGAACGTCTCCGTGCTGAGCGAGGCGACGTCGGACACGGAGCCGACGCTGCTCGTCGACTTTGGCGTCGCGAAGTACGTGTTCAACGCGGGCGACGGCACGGGGCGCGCGTGGCTCGGGAGCCACCACTCGTTCAGGAAGACGAAGGCGCTGTTCACGACCGCGGCGGGGACACAGCGGTGTGGCGGCGTGTCAGGTGCGTGAATGCTGCAGGGCTGCTGCTGCACAGTAGGCATCCCCACATACGATGCGTGTCTGAGAATAGATACGTTTGGTGTATCTAGCGTAGAGGTGGGGATGTCTACTGTGCTAATAGTCGGACCGTTGTGACCTGCGGAGCCGTGCATTAACGGTGAGTTTATGTAGGGCTCCTCATGCTTTGCGCGGACTCCGCCATCCCAAAGCTGGAGATTTTTGGTCCCTATGGTCTGATGCATTACCTTGCCACCATGCGCGGATATACGTACCGGTATGTGCGAATTTTATCATCGCACAGCTGTCGTGTGACAAGGTGGCTGCAGTTCGACCATGGCCGTGCAAGCAATCGAAGCGCCGTCCGCGCCCGTGTATTCACTCCAGACGGGCGACAAACCCCCACCGCCTCTATATACGGACGAATTCCTTACGGTTCACTCTATCCCCATCTATCCCTCTCCTAGTGCTCCGGAGGAGGGTGACGAGGTCGCGAATCCTATGATTGCATCCTCACTCGAGCCTGCCGACCGCCCGCTCAAGCGGAAACGCACACAGTCCCCCTCCGAACCCGCAAGACAAAAGAGCCCACCCGCCACGGACCACATAGTCGACACCGCATCGCCCGTCGAGAACACGTTCCTGCAACGTGCGCAGTCCCCCGATTTCAACCCGACGGCACTAGTCGGGGACGAAGCGCAGGAATGGCGCAAGTTGCTCCTCCAGGAGATGTTCCCGATGCAGCCGCCGAAGCAGGACCCTACGGTCTCGAAGGGCGCAAAGAGCAAGGACAAGGACAAGGCGCAGGAGAAGGCCCGCGTCGCGCAGGTCTTCGCAAAGAAGACACTGACCGCAGGACGCGACGCGGACACCGAGGGCCCTGTGAAGCCGCTCGTCGGGAACCACGCGCGGTATTCGCGTTTGCCCTCGGTGGTGGAGGGTAGCGATGCGCACACGCAGCCGGCGCTCCCGACGCTTGCGTACCTGCTCATTGGCCCGAGCGTACGTGGCAAGTTTGACGCGAAGAAGGCGGAGGAGCTGGGCGTACCGAAGGGTCCGATTCGCGGGAAGCTCACGCGGGGTGAGGCCATCACTTTCGAGGTCGACGACGGTGCGGGCGGGAAGACCCAGCGGACGGTGAAGCCGGAGGACTGCGTTGGGCCGAGCGAGGTTGCGCAGGTCAGTCGTCGCGGATCCTGTTTGATTATCTAGCGATGCTGATGTTTGTGACCAGGCGGTGCTCATTGTGGACGTGCCTTCACCCGCATATATTCCGTCACTCATCGCGTCCTTCACGGAATCGTCGTTCTTCTCGAAGTACCGCTCGCGTACGGTAGAAGGGCGGAAGGAACACCCCACGCACGTAGTGTTCCACCTCTGCGGCGAGGGCGTCCTGGAAGACGAGCGGTACAAGGCGTTCATGAACGGCTTTTCCAACGAAACTCATGTAAGTATGGTAAGATTACATGCGTCGAATGATGTGCTCAACATACCCTTACAGCATATCGTATCTTCGCGACAGCACACGCCGGATATGACCGTTTTTGGGAGGTCTGCGCTCGTTCAAGCGAAACTAAACCAGCTCGATGCAGACATGTTCCCGCTCACGAAGTACAGCCTAGAACCTGCGCAAGATTTTTCGTGTGCGTGCCTTTTCCCCTGCAAAGACCACAAAATCTCATATACCGCAGTGATGACTGGACTCCCTCCAAAGACGAGTCTTTCCCGTAGAAACCTGATGGTGCATGTGCGACCTCTTCGCTCACCCATAGCCGACGACAAGGCGCACGAGGATGAGTTCGGTAACCTGGTCGCATCGGGTTCATCCCCCGAGCTGTCAGACAACGTCCGGCAAACGTTCGCGGAAGTCAAGAATCTTGTCGATGCACGCGTCGCACGCAATAGTCCCAGAGCTCAGCCTGGGGACGACGTCGTGGTCACCCCGCTGGGCACGGGAAGCGCGATCCCAACGAGGCTACGCAACGGTACGTCACCCACGCCCGATGTTCTCAAGGGTGTCACCGAACGTTGATCGATTGCGCCTCAGTCTCCGGGACGCTCATCCAGATACCCAGGTACGGCACGGTCCTGCTCGACTGTGGGGAGGGTACCTGGGGCCAACTCGCGCGCTCGTTTGGGAACGACCCCGCGCGGACGAGCGGCGTGTGGGCAGTGCTACGCGACCTAAAGTGCATCTACCTCAGCCACATGCACGGCGACCATCACATGGGCCTGTCGCGCATACTGCAGATGCGCACTCTCGTACGTTCCGCCACCCACGCCGCGTACGCTTCTTCGAAACTCAGACGATGTGTGCCGTTATCATTTGCTAGATGCGACCGCCACCGTCGGAACCGCTCTACGTCGTCGGCCAACGGCAGCACCTCATGTACCTCACAGAACGGCAGGAGCTTGAGGACCTCGGGCTCGCAGATCCAAACGGCGTCGTCATGGTCCTCTCCGATTCGCTCAACTGGCGGCCCGCGCGCCCCTACGCCCGGATTCAGCCGCAAGACGAGCCGTTCATGTCTGACGGGATGTGCGCTCCCTCCCTCGCTTGATTAATATGTGTACGCGTGATTGACGGCTGCCGCGATGCCAGGTCTATCCAGAACGCGGACGCAATGTGCCGCGCGCTCGGCCTCGAGAGTTTCACGACGGTCGACGTCGCGCACCGCATCCGCTGCTACGGCTGCATGCTTCGGCACGAAGACGGGTGGAGCATCTGGTACGTGCACGCCTTCCTTTTCCCGCTTGACGGTGACAGCGCCTCCCGCGACGCTGCTTCGCGGAGTGCGAGCGGGGGTGGTACGGCGGCGGAGCATGCTGACGCGTTGTTCCATTGTCGCCTTCCAGCTTCTCCGCGGACACCATGCCGTCCGAGAACCTGGTGCGCGTCGGGCGTGGGGCCACGCTGCTGATCCACGAGTCGAGCATGAGCCCGGAGGAAGAGAAGCTCGCGCGTGAGAAGGCCCACAGCACGTCCGCGCAGGCGATTGACGTCGCTAAACGGTGCGTGTTCCCCCTCCCACCGCCGTCCCGCGGGGCGCGCGCAGTACCGCTCGCTTGCGCCCTGCTACGATGCTGACTTCGCGCCTGACGCCCACAGGATGAACGCGCAGAAGGTGCTGCTCACGCACTTCTCCGCGCGGTACCCCGGCATGCCGCCCCGCCGGGGCGATGGCCCTAGCGCGGGGGGCGACCCTGTGGTCGGCATCGCGTTCGACTTTGCGCGCCTGCGACTGGGCGACATGTGGAAGCTGAACGCGTACCTGCCCGCGATCCACCAGATGTTCGACGAGTTTGGGGAGGAGGACCCGATGGAGATAGACCTCACAAAACTACAGTAGGGCCGTACGGCCGCACTAGCTACGCTCGCATACATTCGCCTAGCAGTCGGGAGACTCAGATACAACCTAATCCGCACACATCCGTCTGCGTCTCGGACGCCCCCGTCCTGAATTACGGCACCGGTGCACACTTTGCAATTGCATTCCGGCAGCCCCGGATCCGCGCCATTCATCGACCCCTGGTCCTCGTGCTGCGTGCGGCTTCTTCGTTCACTGGGTGGTGACGGTGATGACGCTGACGCTGAACGCGGGAGCGTTGTACGTGAACGTCTTGCCGGTCGTGATAGTGCTGGTCTGGGGAACGACGGCGTTCGGCGCCTCGGGCGTGTTGCTCGCCGTCTCGGCCCCGGTCAGGACCTGCAGCGTGCCGGTGCTGGAGACGGTGCTGAACTGGGTCAGCGAGAAGGTGAGACTCTGGGCGGTGTTGCCGGCGTTCGCGATCTGGACGAGGTGGGCGGTAAGCGATGCACTGAAGCGTCTCATGAGGCATTTATGCTTACTTTGATGAACGTCTGGCCAGAGGTGGAGGAGCGCGTGACGCTCCAGTGCAGCGTGCCGCCGTTGGTCGGGAGCGTGCTCGGGAGGTATTGGTCGCCCTTGTTGGTGGCGAACAGCTGGTGAACACAACGTCAGCGTTCGGAGGCTCTTACCATCGCGGGTGCACATGGGTCGCGCGCACCTTCTGGGCGTAGAAGCTCGTCGATTTAATAACGGAGCCGGCGCTATGCACACCCGTGTCAGCGGGATAACGTGAGAGAACTGCGGGGGGGACTCCACGCACTCGTAGGAAACTAGGTCGGGGGTCTGGGAACGGGCGCCATGAGGCGTGCTTCGAAGAACGAGTTAAAAACGCGACGTACCCATTGAGTGGAGTTGACGTGCTGCCGAAGGACGAGGATCAGCACTGCGACGCGAAGTCGTTACGAGATGTCTCACCTGCAGGAGCGGCGCGTACGACGCGGCGAAGACAATGTCGCTGTTGCGCTCGAGACCGGTCATGAAGGCAGCCTCGCCGGAAGCGCCTAGCAATGTAGCGATGAGTGTGGTCCCTATCGCATGGGGAAATTTGCACGTACTCTGCACAGTTGGGAATGCCAAGCGACCGTCTGCGACGGAGCCAAAGAGGTCGTTCGCGTTGGTGGAAATAGCGGCGTACTCTCCCTGCGAAAGTTTAGCGATGCGATCGGAGCGCATGTTTTCATTGTCTATACCTCAAAGTATGTGGTGCCGTTGCGCTGGAACGATCGTCGGTCAGGGTCTTCAATTAGCCCAGGACGGACCCACGCACCTGGAACCCGTCGTAATAGAACGCGTTTTGGTAGAACCATGCTAGATGACGCTCGTGGTCGGACCGTAGCTCGCGTGCAATAGAGGTGGGCACTTACTCGGCGTCTGATAGACGTGCACATCATACGACTGCGGGACTGGGGACAGAACAGGGTTCCAGGCGTTGCTGGTGGCAATGAACCCTTAAAATTAACGGAGTCAGCATCTGTGGGAAGGCCGACCCGATGCCCGACGCACGGATTGAGGGGAACTCGGCCTGGAGTGAGGACACGAAGTCGTGCCAGCGGTAGGGGTACCTGTTTCAAGAGTAGGTCAGTTGTGCCCGTCTCCGCACTCCACGCATAACGCACGTGCTGGGAGCGCTACCAATGAAGTCCTGGGTAGATAGAGCTTCATCAGAACACTCGGAAAGGGCGACGGAGTCCACTGTGGCCGTACCTCGTTTCCTACTTCCACGAAGCGGAGCGCGAATGGCTCAGGGTGGCCAAGGGAAGCGCGGAGCGCCGCTGCAAGGCCGCCGTTGGTCAGAAATAAGCTCGAATGGCGCACATACCCCACCTACCAGCAGAGCTCTTTGCAGGGTCCCCGATGACAAAGTTAATCTAGAGAACCATGCCGCCGTGTCAGAAGACAGAAGAGGCCCGTCCGCCGAGCGCGGGAAGAAGTTCACCTGATCCGCCGCCTGCTGAATGTAGGGTGGGAGTGCGCTCTCAGCCACGCTTGTGCCACCGAGGGCGTAGCCTGGGTGGGATATCAGATTCAGTGTAAGCGAGCGGCCTTGAGTGCTGCCATCGCGGACGGAGTACTCGCCTGCCCAGACCGCCATGATGGGCTCCATGCCCGTGTCTTCGAAAAACTCGAGGTACTCCAGAAGACCCAGACCGCTATAACGCATTGCATGCAACGTGTCAGGTCCAGGGCGGGTTCCCTTCATCGTGGGAAGAGACGCTCACTCCGTGTTCACATATCCCCAGTCGCCCGACCGGCCGGGGCGGTCCAAAAGCGAGCCAACGGTCGCGTTCCACTGCCACCGAGTCGCCGTCGTTTGACCCTGCAGAACGAAGCGCTCTCAGACGCCGTCATCGCGCGGGAATGCATGGTAACAGTCTCACCTCCTATATATCATGCGATGTTTGTGAGTATGTGCCTGTCAGGATAAGCGCGACGGCTGGACATACCAGGTTGTTCCCGCCTGGGAAGCGGAAAAAGGACGGGCCCATCTCGGTCAGAGTCTATCATCGCACAATGTATCAGGCCCGCTTCTTGCGCCTGGATGCATTCAGACGCGACCCACCTCGGCGAGGTCAGCGCGTATCCCGTTCGGCCTGTTCTTGAACGTGGGAGGGAAGAGCGAGAACATGGCGAAGTTGATGGTCTGGCCGGCGCCGGCGGCTCCGTCGATCGTCACGAAGAAGCTGTTGCTGACGTCGGAGGCAGAGGCGGTAGGGTGGAGGTCGAGGTTCACCTGCGTCCACTTGGTGGTCGTCCCGCGGATCTGCGTGGAGTTCTGTGCGAGTATCTTCCCCGCATTCGTCTGCAGGCCCACGGTGAGCGCCCCGGCGAATGAGGTGGACGTGGGGAAGCGGAAAAAGAGCGATGCTTTGTAGGTCGAGGCGGAATCGACCTTGATTCCTGTACGACTATGAGCTTCTGCTGCGGAGCGAGCGTTCATAAAATGCATACCCCAGAAACCCTCGTTCGTGAAGCCGACCCGGCCACTCGATCCACTCGGGACGGTGAACTGGAGAGAGTTCGGCAAAGCTGCGGAGACAGGGGTCGAATCTTTGACTACAGTCAAGCCGGCGTTGCTGATTGGGTGCCATGCTGTGAGTGCAGCGGCAGTGTCTATGCATAAAACGATGAGGATTGAACGCCCAACCACCGGATATCTGACGGCGCCGTACTTGGGGTGACTTGTTGGAAAGCCCTGTTTTGCAACACTGGCACAAGATAGGTCAGATGACTCTCTGAAACATTACGGAAGCAAACTCACACTCCGCATATAGACCTCCATCTCCGCTCTACATAGTGGGCGAATGCGAGAAAGGCAATGAGTTCCTGCAACATTTCGTGCCAGCGCTACAACTTACATGCTAGAAGATATTGAGCGTCAGGAAAACACCGAACATACAAGTGGTTTGAAATACGCTTACGTTGATGTCCTGTCAGGGTCCAATACAAATACCCCTTCCGTGAACCGCTTCTAGCCAAAAGACATGTATGGAAGCGTACCTCAAACATGAGGCCATCTGCGGTTGCGAAGTATAAGCACGATAACGGCCACACCGAACAGGAAGGACGTACACAACGTGGAAGGCACAGTGTGACTTGGGCTCTTGTTCACAGTGACAGTGACAGCGAGGCATTGCGCCACGAAGGCTCCGAGAAGGACAAGCAGCTTCATCGTGTACAGCACGTCTTCCAGCAGAGACAAGCGTCAGACGTCCCCGTAGCGCACGCCGCGTCGCTTTATACCCCCCTGCGGCCCGTGCGCGGCGTGCTTCACGACGAGAAGGCCAGCAGACGGGGAAACGTGGCCATTGAAGTCCGGTGGAACTGTGGACATCAGCCGGCTCCTGACGTAGTGCGACGGCGACGAGCATATGCTCGCCCCCTCTCGCCCCCTGAAAGAAGGGCCTCTGCGCCCGCCGCGTGACGGCGGGGCGCGCTCACGAGCCTGCCCGCACAGCGGACGGGCCGAACCAGATGACGCGAAATGGTTCTGAGCACGCGTATCAGCATGAGGTTTACGTTCAGAACAGAAACTATGTTCGCACCGGGTGAGGGAAAGCACAGGCTAAAGCCCAGTCCGCCGCCGGTACCATTATTTCGAACGTCAGCTGTGTTCGGTGTACATCATCCCCGCTCAGGTGCATTAAAAGGATCAGCAAGCCCAGGTGCGAGGTTCGTAGGAAGTGTCATCTGACGAGGCGGTCAAGAGGGAAACTCGTCCCGGCGGCACACCCACTCCCGGTGGCGGTGCTGTTTGTGGCGCAATTTCGCGTACCGTCCGGCGCCTTTGCGGCTCGCTCGTAATTTAACATCTGCGCGTAGGAACGAAAAGTAATGGATCGTTAAGGGTTATATAATACATACAGAGTTCTAGGGTGGTCCGAAGCACGTCTATAGTAGAGATAACATAGCACGGTCCGGCATAACCAAGAAGGGGACAACCCGCGTCAATCACTCCGCGTCTGCGTCTGACACTGGCAAGTCGTCCTGCTCTTCCTGGTCCCACCCAGCCTCCTTGATCGCGGAGACCTCGCTCTGCGCCACCTCCCGGACGGCGATGCCGTACTTATTTTTGTAGAACACGATCGCGCCCTCCTCCTCGATGAAGACACACTCGGTGAACGAGCGGTAGAGCGCGTAGAACGTATTCTGTCAGGCAACCATCAATGAAACTGCCCAGCCCCGGAGCGCGGCCTGTCCAACGCACCGTCGAGTCGTAATTATAGTGATCACCGAGGACAGTCTTGATCGCTTCCGTGACGGCGGGCTGGTTGTCTGGGCGGGCCCGTTTCAGCGTGAGCGTGACGGCCAAGCTAGAGTGGGAGCTTACAGAACGGGACGTGGGAGAAGAAGTGGTGCGCGACGTGGTCGTGCGCAACCTGTGGCCGTGGCGCAAGTCAGACGTCGGTCATGCAAGGATCGGGCGGTGCGAGTGAGACGACCCACGTTGTGGAAGAAGAACCGGCCGATCCAGCCCAGCGTCGGGCGGTCCACCGTCGCGGCGGCGCCCCTTAGGAACGACCATTCCTCTTGGCGATAGTGCGGGATGGTCGGATCGGAGTGGTGCAGGAAGGTGATCATCACTGTGAAGGAGGATGCGCGTTGCTCAGCGCGAACTCTTCGGAGCCCAGGCGGGGCGCGAGAACTTACCGATCCTATGGCGCACACGCAGTTGGAGAACCTTGGGTCAGGAGAGCAGACATCTAGAAGGCAGGAGGCGCGTACCAATGGTTGCACAACTGCGGAAGAGTGGAGTCGGTATCGCGCATGACCAGTTCAGGAAGACCACTTACCACGTATGGAATGAAGTAATACATCGCGAGCGCCGTCCAGCCGTATGTTCGGGCGAACAGGTACAGAAGAGACATCATGCCGATGAGCCCGACGTCAGAGATGAATATGCCCAGACCTGTGAGAACGACATGAGCGAGCGTCATACGGAAGCGCGGAAGAACGGGTGCACTTACGCTGCTCCTTCTTGAAAAGCGCGGAATACGGGGAGAAGTGATTGGTGCCCTTCGGGTACATTTTGGAGCCCAGCAGATTGAACCTATCGGGGAGTTCAGCTGCCTATCTGGCCGGTGTGGCTTCCGTGCTCACGTCAGATATAGCCACCAACCCCTGGATACAGCATTAGCACGCAGCCCGCGCAGCGAGCGTAGATAGCTGTCGGAAACTCACATCGCCTGCATAACAAACATTCTGATCATCGTGAAGAGCGGCGTTTCCTCGAGAACTTCGGCGTAGTCCGCGGTGGTGGCGCGCTCCTTCGGCGGCAGATCATAGTGACTACGCAAGTGGGGGACGTAGTTCTCGTCGCGCTCGATGGAGTTGACGGCTTTCTGTTGCAGACCACATGCATGAGCGCGATCATCATCGCTCGGGGAACATATCGATACCCACGTGATGTGCGTTGTGGCTTGCTTTCCACGCGAAAAAAGGAGCGAGGATGAACTGTCATGACGCGATGAGTACGCCTCATTCAGGCACGCGGCGCGGGAGGGAACGCGCGCACCGTATCGAGGCAGAAACCCAGGATATTGTTAGCCCACCAGGAGCGGTAGAGCGTCCCATGGCCGAGCTGTGGGGAGACGGCGGGGTCAGCGACATGGGTTCTGTGCCTGGCAGCAACTCAAATTCAAGCCAAAGTGACTGCACCCACTTCGTGCGCTGTTGGGGGTCACACACCGACGATCAGCACCCGACTCGAGGCGGAGCGCCAGGGACGGCACGCACCGATGCAGAAGAACGAGGCGAAGGCGATGCCCTGCCACCACCAGTACACGAGCCAGAGCGCGGCGCGGGCGAGGGCGGGCTGCCACGGGGCGGTCAGGGGGACATAGCCCCCGAAGGAGGTGGTGACGAGAGGCTCGATCGAGGCGCCGAAGCCGAAGAAGAGGATGCAGAAGAAGACGTCGCGGAGTACGTAGCCGGTGGACCGGAGTGGGTCCTTTTGAAGAAGGTGCTTGGGAACTGCGTCGTGGAGCTGCTTGAGAGTGGCCGTCGGCGGCACGAATGGACGCGCGAGCCTGGTGTGAGGTTGAGCATGTGTACCGTGCATGTATCTTATCATGGCGACTTCCCCGCCTGCGCCGCGCCGCGGGAGGCGGGGCCGCGGCGGCGGGGAGTAGCGCACGGCGGAGAGTGGGCGCACCTCTGCTCGTACTCGGGACCGTGGCTGAACATGGTGGTAGCGCAGATCGGGGGACCCTGATCGTACTGGCGAGAAGGGGAGGACGGGGAGGAGAGAGGGCGATCGAGAGGGGTTGAGAAGGTGTGCCAGAAGGAAGAGTGGACCTGCGGACACAATCTCCCCGACCGTTCTGCTTAAGTACCTCGCGCACGCCCCTTCTCCCGCGCAGCGCGAGGGAGACTTGCCGCGCGTCGCGTAATGTCTCAAATGGGCCAATAATGTGGGGAGCTCCGACATGACTTTGAGCGAACGAGTTAAATTCGGCCGCTCCGGGCCTGCGTCAGTTGCGGGCGTCGTCAATCAATCGGACACGATGCTGGGCAGGGGTGTTCTCCGTTTCTCAGTGCCACGCGTGTGTCCGGGAACGCACGAACCGTGGGCCGTCTGAAGGGAACGAGACCCGGCGGAGAGCGTGGTAGACGGCGCCATGTCGCCCATCCAAGCATCATGGACGAGCCTAAAGCGGCAATCCATCTCGGGCACGCAGGGGCTCGGGAGTGGAAAATGGACGAAGGGTGCCGAGAGTACGAGCGAGACGCCGCGCTGGCGACGATTGGGAAGTCTGACGTGCGTTCGTCTGATCTCGGCATAGCGTGCGCGGGCGAGGAAAAGTCACTTGAACGCACATGGCACGGCAGACACCGCAGGCCGTTCTCAGCCCTGTTTTGCTTCTTAATGCCCCCACCGCGTTCCTGTCTTCTTCGAAGGCTCAGGTGAGCACTCGGACGAGCTCTAATAGGCAACTGGCGCCGATGAGTGGAACGGTGCTGGGGTGGAAATAACGCGTCGCAGTGAATTCTTCGCTGCAGCGCGCTGGAACGACGAGATCCCCCGCGGCGGCCTTTGCCGCAGAGCTTATTTTGGGCTCCCACGGCGCACGATAAAGCATCCCTGACATGCGACGTCAAACCCAGTGCGGCCAGAGATTGCCAGGATCTCGCTGCGGGTTCGGCGGAAGTACCGCTGAATAAGCTCGCACGGCGTGCACTCGACGATCTCTCTCAATCACCATATATTTCGCTCCCACTCAAACAGGGTAAGCGAACAAGGAGAATTATTACGCAGCGTCCACGGGCCAGCACTAGTCTCCGTCCAGCACGTTTGGGGGTGGCAAGAGCTGATGCAGCATCAGGCCAAGTGACCCATGTCCGTGCAGATAGCTGCGGTGGGAACCTTCTGGGCGCGGCGCCAGGCGGAGCCCCGACATATCCCGACTTCGGCCTGCTGCGACATAACTCTCCCGCTAAGCACCTGGCAGAAAAGCTGATGGAGCGTTCCACCCTCCCGCATGTGAAGATGCAGTGGGCACGATAGGTTCGCCAGGGTAAAGTTCGGTGGGGCTTACGTGGAGCACGAATGGAGAACACTTCCAATGCAGGGTGACCACGAGGTCGGGTTGCATAACGAGCTACAGGGCGGCGCAGTGGCATGAATCAGGCCAATACGCCGTCGCTGTATGAGAACATGGCATGGGGCCGCAGGAGCCGGTGCACGGGGAAGACACATACCGAGCGAATAAATGTTTGATCAGCGCGATTAACGGCGTGCGCACTGTCAGCGGGTGACATGTCCGCGCAAGAGGATATGCAAAGCAGCGAGGCTGCGCATCTGGCGGTGATTCGCACCGTGGCTGGCGGGCAAGCAAGTGTGCTCTCGTCATGCAATCTATCTCCAGGATCTAACGGGAGGGAAACGAGGGACTGGGGCGATTTGACCGGACATTGCAGGAAGGCATGCAGGCAGGCCCGAGACGATGTCACCAGAAGAGACGTTGTGCAAGCCAGATGAGAGCCCAGACAGCCTCGAGGCACGGCGCGCCGACAGGGTCGATGCACCCGCCCGCATGCGTGGTCGACGGCGGAGGACAAGGCGCGGACCCGCTACGCGCCGACGAGGACGCGAGGACGCGCCGTTGTTTACACTCTCACGCGCGGCACGTGCACCCCCTTTTGGGCAGCCCGCTCGCCCCGCCGCGCACCCACCTGCTCGCTGCCTCTCCCGACCACCGCGTCCCTCGCGCCGCCCATTCTCCACGTCCGAGTCTCGTCGACACTTCACCGCACGCCCGGGTATCTCCTTGCTATCAGGCTCGCGCCATCTTGCTGGGTTTGGGACAGCCTCGCCCTCATGTCGACGGAACAGGTGGACTACTCCATGTCCCAGCTGTCGCTCGGCTCCAATGCATCGGACGTCGAGGACTGGGATCGTTCCATGAGCAGCGACGTTGATCCAAACCACTCGAACACCCCAAGAAACTCCGTCTCCTTTCCCGGGCACGGCGCAGCGGACAACGAGGGCACCCCGGGACGTAATATGTCGCTAGGCCGGGGTGACGGCAAGCGGACGTTGAGCGAACTGCTCAAGCTGCACGCGGAGAAGGGCACGGACGTCAATTTCACCCAGGAGGAGGCGAGCAGGGTCGCAGATGTGCTGGGGCAATGGGTGGGTGTCCGACCCTTCACGCTTTTTCTTGGTGCCCCGCTATGAACCATCTCCGAGCCTTCCCTGCATCTCGCCATTACCCGGGACGGATGCTAACATCCTATCAACAGATCAATTCCGCCTCGTCCCCATACGAAGCCGAAGACGACTTTTTCAGCAGGCAGCATTCGCAGGACGATTCATCAATAGCCACCCGGTCGCCCTCGGGCGGGTTCGAGACCCCGAGCAGGCCCAGAGGGCAGAGCGAGAGCGTCGTGAGCAATGGCGCTCAGTCATGACCCCCAGAACAGCCTCGTGCAGGATAGGATTGGTGGATTGCAGACGCACGTAAGTCCTTCGCGATCATCCAGGCCGTGATTACCTCGTGCTCACGCGTCGCAGGATATCTACCCACACATCCCCTTTTGGCTACCATGGAACGTCGTTTACGACACCTCACGACCACTCACGACCACTCACGACGCGACCCTTGGGATTACAACATATTGCTTATATTTATACGCTTCATCTTCCACCTCTCATGCCACCCCCATTTGTGATAGATTCCGGGCTCCGGAGGAGACTCGTAATACTCTGCTGTACATACCTCGCTCTCGAATGCTCTCGCTCAACCATCGATCCGTCTGATGTGCCTGCCTGACAAACCACAGCGTGCTGTCTTGGAGTCGGTTACAAGATTGCCTCCCGAAACATTAATGGGAACGTGCCGGCGGTGCGTTCAATAGTATCCGGGGCATTGTTTGTGTGTGTTAGGATCCAAAGCTGTTGCCATACACACGCAAACACAGCGCGCCACTGCCATCGCGAATTTGCGAGAAGAGCGCCAAGCCATATGGGATGACGACACTTCATAGAATTGACCTCATTTTGCGGTAGACTGAAACGATCTACCTCTCGCAGTTGCGTACACCATGTCCTTCGGAAAGCTCAAGTCCGCACGCAAGGCCAAGGAGCTACACTCTTACGTGAAGCCGGACGGCTCATCTCCCTCGGGCGCGGATGGGTTCGTGAATTCCCTAAACACCACACCAGCGTACGCCGGCGCGGAACACGATGAGCAGCTCACTGGAAGCAGCACCCGTACTGAACCCGATCAGCTGCAGCCTACGTCACTACATTCTGCGGGGACGCCTCGAGTAGATGAAGCTTCGTATGAATCACTCGCCGAAGCATCGCAGGAAAAACGACCACACGTAAATCCTGACACATCGACCGTGTCCGGGAAAGCTCCGGACAGGCCTCCCGAGCGGAATGAGGAAACCACCACACCTGTGTCATTAAATGACTGCCACACGTCATTACCAGCTTCGCTCGAAATTCGCGAGTCCAGCCGACATGGCCGCGGAATCTACACTAACGCCGCATTGCAAGCTGGTGAGTTGCCCGATGCATTCATTATGCATAACGAGCCATTAACCACGCTGATCGCAGGCACCGTCGTCATGTCGATCGTGCCTCATGTTAGTGTTCTCGCGACCCCTTATTTGGACCAACACTGTTCCGCGTGCGCCGCGCCAGCCCCCGAGACGGGGTTGAAGCGTTGCCCGAAATGCAAAGCTGTGTACTACTGCGACAAGGTACGTACACAACTCGTCAACCAGCATGGCGACACTAATCAATATGGGTCCCTTGTAGGCGTGCCAAAATAGGGATTGGGTATGGCATAAGCACGAATGCAGCGCGCTTCAAACATGGGCAGCCTCTGCACCATCCCCGGACGTCATGATCCCGAGCGACGCGGTGCGCTGCCTCGGGCGAATCCTGTGGGGCTCCCAAAAAGAAGGGCCCGATAGCACCTGGGTATGTCCCCCTCGCACGCTGATCGCCGGCCGGTGTATGGGCGCTGACACGCCGTCCAGGCGAGGGAGATCCGCATGATGCAGTCCAGTACGTCCCGCCCTGGCACCCAGATCTCATACATCCGCGGATTAACCACCACGCGGCCCTCTCACAGACAGGTCCACCGTTCACGCCTCTTCAGTCGAGGACCACACGTATCTAGCGCACTCGCTCGTCCGCTATCTCGGCGTGCGTGCCCCGGCAGAACTGCAGCCGTTCAGCCTTAGCTCAGCGGGCGATCTCGTCGATCTCATCTCCCGCGTAAGTGTCTTCTTTCTGCGCGGCCTTATCTTAATATGCCAGTGTATGTGGGGTATCCTCGGCTCACGCGCGCGCACGCAGTTCACGACGAATACATTCACGCTCACGTCTGCGTCGCTGTCTCCCATCGGTATCTGCGTCGCGCCCACGGTGGCGTTCGCGAACCACTCGTGCAGCCCGAATGCTGTCATTGTGTTCCCAAGGGCGCAAGGGACGCCCGCGAGCAAGGAGCCGTCGCTCAATCTCGTCGCACTCAGAGACATTGCGCCGGGGAAGGAGGTACGCCTATCATCCTTTACCATATTTTGGAATGAAGGCATTGACATCGCGGTAGATTCGCATATCTTATGTCGACACGACGCTGCCGAAAGATCTCCGGCAAAAGGAACTCACAGAAGTCTACAACTTCACGTGCCAGTGCAAGCTGTGCACTAAACCGCCAGCTGTGGACCCCCGGGAATCACTTTGGTGTCCTAAGAAGTGTGGTGGGACATGCCCACTGCCCACCGAAGGTATGTTGGATCCGAGCAGGAGGCAGCGAGACATCTCTTAATTTTGCCTTCGCACCCTACAGAGGACAACCTGTTTCGATGTGCGAAGTGTGGGGCTGGCATCACTAATGTGGATGCGGTGCTCGATGCGGCACGCATAGGGCAGCAAGCACTCGACAAAGCCACGTCATTGCAATCTAAAGGTAAGCATGGTCATAGATGCGAATTATGCAAAGTACTCAGGGCTTGTTCCTCACGGTAGACCCTGCCAAGGCGACGCAGCTCACTACAAACATCATCCCTATCCTCATATCTACCGGCCTGACACCCTCGTCGCACCCCCTACTCGCCATGACGCGACTACACCAGGAGCTCCTCATCGCCTCACTGCCCACCTCGCTCTCCCAGGAAACTCTAGACGAAGTCATCCGCACAGCCGCGAAATACAGCGCGGGCCTCCAGCCCGTCCTCCCGAACGGCCACCCCATCCGGGCCATCGCGCTCGCGGAACTCGGCAAGCTGCTCGCGGTAGACGAGCCTGCACCCCACGATGGCCCAGCCCAGGCCGCGACGTTCCCGCCATCCGGGCCCTCGCGGCTGAAACTGGCGTACGAATCGCTCGTCCGCGCACATGAGGAGCTGCTTGTCGGGTTCGGGAAGGCGAACGGGGGCGGGCATGTCGGGCGTGACGTGCGGGACGCGATCGCAAGGCTCGAAAAGGAGATTGGGGTGTGGACTGCCGGGGTCAGGAACGCGTTGGAAGATTCGGCGCTGGCGCAGCGGGCTCAATGAGAACGGGTGTATCGGTACGCCCAAGTGGAATAGGGTACGCTTTCAGATGTGATGCTTACCTCGCAGTGCTATGTCCACTCATATTGACCACCTACAATGAACTTGAGGGCGGCAGTGACAGGTGGATGGCGTGTCGGATCGCAGTAAGGGTCTATGCGGATCTGAAATGGGCTGTGCTAGGTTCGTAGACCGCACGTTTTAATCTCGACCGACCCCTTTCGGAGACCCTTCATCCTCCTTCGGTCCGCAACGGTTATTTCATTCGAGACCGGAGTGGGTCCATCCTCTCCACCGATGTTGTTCTACCGCCTTCCACAGGCTGTTACCACTCAGATGTCGGATATCCACAGCTAAGGATATAAGGTGGCCCTTCGTCGCTACTCACCTTCACATTCTTCAATCAGTCCTCCAGGCGAGCACTACCACACTTCACCAGCACTTCACCACTTCATCGCCTCGCCACCTCACCACATCATCATCACCATGTCTCCCGTCGTCCAATACATCCCCGACTTCACTTTCAAGTTCCTCGACCACGCTCGCTACCAAATCCTCAACCTCCTCGGTGCGGGTTCCTACGGCGCCGTCTACCGCGCCAGGGAGCGCCTGCCCGAGTCCGGCAAGTTCGTCCCTAGGGCGATCAAGGTCGTCCCCAGAAGTCGCCACGGGAAGGCCCTGCAAATCCGCGAACTCATGCTGCACAAGGAGCTCCCTAAGCACGACAACATCGTCACCCTCCACCGCGCCTTCGAGGACGGCCCCTTCATGTTCATCGTGATGGACCTGCTCGATGGTGGGGACCTCGCCAGCCACATCACTAGGAAGCACACGCTCTGCCGCAACGACGACCTCATCAAGAACGTCTTCCTCCAGATCATCGATGGAGTGGAGGTGTCTCACAAGGCCGGCGTGTTCCACCGCGACTTGAAGCCGGATAACATCCTCGTCAACGGGGACCTCACCCGCGTTTGCATCGCAGACTTCGGTCTGGCGACCGCGTCCACGAAGAGCAGATCCTTCAATACAGGAACTCGAACCTTCATGAGTCCTGGTAAGTCACCCTCTCCGCCGTTTTTCTGTCACATGTTCTAATGCACAAACCACAGAATGTGTCGACTGCGATGACCACCTCTACCCATACTCGACTCGCCGCAGCGACATCTGGGCTCTCGGCGTTATCCTCGTCAACATCGTCACCGGCCACAAGCCGTGGGACCGGGCAACGCTTGATGATGATCAGTTCAGGAGCTTCCTCGAGGAAGACGAGTGGCTCCGCTCTGTCTTCCCCATCTCTGAGGGCCTCAACAACATCCTCCGCCGCATCTTCACCATCATCCCCGACGAGGCGCTCACGCTCGCCGAGATCCGCCGCGAAATCCGCAACCTCGACACCTTCTACATGTCCCGCGCGGACCTGAAGCTCGCGAGCTCAGACGTGCGGTACATGTGGAACTGGTACTTCCCCCGCGTCGCGAGTGCGCTGTCCGAGGCGTCGAGCACCGACTCCGAGGGCGGCATGGACTCGTGGACGGAGTCGGAGAGCAGCGAGTCCGGGAGCGACGATTCGGACGAGTCCGACGCCAGCGACGCCGCCGACGTACCCGGCACGCAGCTCCTCATGATCGCAGAGGAGGGCCGCCTCGTCCTCCCCCGCTCCCTTGGGGCTGAGCAGCCCGCCTCCCTCAGAGTCGTCCGGCCTTCGCCCCCGCGGACGAAGTCTTCCGACGAGTTCCCCATCCGCCGCCCTGCGACGCGCCGCGCCATGCTCGCCCCGCCCTCGTCCTCCGACGAGCCCTCGACGGCGAGCAGCAGCGACGCGCCCATCACCCCCGAAACCCGCCCCCAAGACGTACTCGTCGCGGACCCCAATGGCATCGAGCCCTTCGTCCTCGAGCGGCCCCTCCTCTGCCACGGGAAGAACTCCATCAGGATCAGGGAGAAGCGCGGAAGTGTTGGCGCGGCGGTGCGCGGTTTTGCGCGCTCGCTCGTGGGCTCGGGTCGGAGTGCTTGATTGGACTGGACTTGGACTGTCGGAGAAAAAGACTGCATATCGTCGCGGCCTAATCATGTTACCCGTCGTTGCTGCGCACCTCGATGTATCATACTATACCAGACTGTACCCTTATCCTACCATTCTTGCTATATAACACCACTTGCTTTCAACCAAATCCGCTCGCGATCGTTCCTTGACAATGCGACCTAAATGGTTCGTGCGCCTGATGCCCGTCTGCACTAGTTATGGGGGGCCGGAATTGGGTTTAGGACAGCTTTCCTTTTGTCGTCTTGCTATACTTATCTTGCTGCTCCCCCCCCCCCATGGGTTCGATATCTGAAACTATGAACCTAGGGAACACTCTACCCGAAGCTACACTATGCGTAAGTCTTTAATAAAGAGTAGTCTTTGAAATTCGTTTCTGCCGTCTTGTGGGTAGTACAGCGCGTTACGATAGCTGACGATGAGTGCAACAGATCATGGTGGGACATATGTAGCCCTTACCTCTATGAAGACATTCTATTACACGTCCTGGACTTCGCCAACAGGAATCTACTCTGCACTCTCATGCAGACGCGCCGTATATTCCATGAAGGCGGCCCAAAATACGTCCTCCAGGATTGCGTCTCCCTCGCGACCGACAAGCAAATTATGTCGTTCAAGCTCTTCGTCGGCGACGACAGTGGTCGCGAGCGGCAGCACGATCTGCAGCGGCAGTGCCACCATCCCCGAAGGAGGTCGGGATGTTCCTCCGGGAGCTCTTCAGAGCCATCGCGTCCTTTGGCTGCTTGAATGCACTGACTATCTACGACTCTGAGGAAGTCCTAGGCTTGCATACCGCGCCCCCGGAAGCCTTCTTGGAAACGTTCACGCACCCGGGCGTACAGACACTCAAGCAGTTCGAGCTCTTTGTCGATCTGTAACAATTTGGGGATCGGGAAGTGAATATTTGCGCTACTTTGGTGAGTCCACACCTATCTTCTTCAACAATCTCCCGTGCGCTCGTCATTTTGCGTCGCAGGACCCCGAAGTTCAGCCAGGTTCACTGACCCTCCTGACTTCGCGCGGAGAAGGGCAGACGCCGTATGAGTTGCTCTCTCCAGGAGGCGTACAACACCGCCACTTCTTTGACCTGCCATCTTCCGGCGACGAGTCGTCTCAGGCACTCACTCACTCACTCAATGGCTGCTTTCCTCTGCTTCATGACTTTTTACGGCGCTGGTACCAGATATGTTCCAAAACTACGGTTGCCCAAGAGTATCAACACTCATGCATGCCGCCCAGTGCGGCTGTGCCGCGTCAAAACACCATGCCAAGCACCATGCAGTATTTGTCGAGACGGATACCCGTACGCTCTGCTAGGCGCCGGAGGATGAGGACGGAACTGTCTACTGACTAGGATTTGCGTGCCCCCCCTCGCGCGGCAGTATAAGAAGATCTCGGAAGTGCGTTGCTGGCTAGACCGCTCCGACTTCGCCCCGAGTAACGTTGCAAAGGAGACCGCCGGGCCAACTTGTGCGTAAGTCTGGGCGTTCGGATATTGCCTGGCCACCGATCGGATATCCAACTGTCACGGTCCCTCGTGTCGACTACGCCGTGTGCGCAAGGTTCTTCCTTCACTAACGTCACATGTATCTGGATATCAGGTATTGGACGCAACTCCTCGATACTCGCCATTCATTGGCCTCATTGATTCTAATCTGAGGGTTTGTTTTGTGCTCTCGTAGCGTTAGCACAAAACAAACCCTCAGATTAGAATCAATTTGAGTATGGACCAGCGTTCTCTCCTACGGCGAGACCTCCAACCCTGCGGCAGTCTACATCCGAACCGCGACCTCGGGATGCAGGTGCGATTCGAACGCTTCACAGGTTCTGGACACGTCTGGCTCTCATAGTTCTGGCAGCGCGGATGTGCATCATGAAGGCATATAAGACACATGTTTATGCCCTCTGTCCCCCATCATACCCACTCTGGTTCCTGGCGAACGCACACCTCACACCTGTACTCTTCGCGCATCATCCCATCCTCTCTCGACATCATCATGTCTGCGCCTACTATCGCCAGTGCCAACCTCCTCGGCCACGTCGTCGAACAGTACAAGTTCGTCGAACTCATCCACGCCGGCCCTCACGGTGTCATCTACCGTGCCATCAACATGACTGCCCCTTCGTCCTCCCACGGCCGCGACGTCGGAAGCGACCGTGCCATCAAGGTCATCTCCAAGCACGGTCGCAGACTCGGCGCTCTGGAGATCGGCCTCCACAGCCTCGTTTCGGACCACGCCAACGTCATCACCATGGAGGAGGCGTTCGAGGACGAGGACAACTACTTCCTCGTGCTCGATCTCTGCCCCGGCGGGGACCTGTTCTCCCAAATCTGGGAGCAGGACGCCTACCGCCACAACGACGAGCGCGTCCGCACCGCGTTCGTGCAGCTGGTGGACGCCGTCGAGGCGTGCCACGCTACGAACGTTTATCACCGCGACCTTAAGCCCGAGAACATCCTCTGCAATGAGGATGGTTCCGAAGTCTACCTCTGTGACTTCGGACTCGGACGGGGCCGGCCGATCAGCCGTGAGTTCGGCTCTGGCAGCTTGAACTACATGAGTCCAGGTGTGTACCTTTGCTTTCAGATGCTCCGTACCAGTCAACTGACATGTCTTTCAGAATGTCTTGGCGAGGACCTTGGCTGCAGACCATACTCCAACGTCCGCCATGATATCTGGGCTCTGGGCGTCGTGCTGTTCAACATGATCACCGCGGAGCACCCGTGGGGGAAGGCGTCCACGGAGGACGACCAGTTCAGCGACTTCCTGCACAACCCCGAGTTCTTCCTTGACCACTTCGATATCTCCGAGGGCGCGAACACCATCCTCCGCAGCATCTTCACCCTCAACCCCATGGGGCGCACCACCCTCCCCGAGCTGCGCGCGGCCATCCTCGCGCTCGGCTCGTTCTTCCGCCCCGATCTCTCGCCGAGGGACGAGGCGGCCGAGCCCAAGGATATCGAAGACGTCGTCTTCTCGTTCTCGGTCGTCGACGAGGATGGGGAGGAGGTCACGGTGGACGAGGAGGAGATGTACATCTACCCCACGGCGGACCGCTTCTGCATGCCTGTGAAGCCCTTCAAGCAGCCGCTTGAGCTCGACATCCTCGCCGTCGACGCCGCGGTTCGCTCGTTCTTCACCACCACCTCCACCATCATCATCACTACCCCCGAGGTGGAGGACTTCCTCGAGCAGCCCATCCCCTCGCGCTCTTCGTCCGCGTCGAGCATCGGCAGCGACGAGGACGAAGACGACGAGGACGACGACAGCGACCTGCCGATCACTCCTGGGGCGCTCACCCCGCTCTACGGCGTCGCGGTCGCGGAGGTCAACGTCTACGAGGGGCGGTTCACGGAGGCGCTCAAGGGGAGCAAGTTCCTCGCGTTGCCGAAGTGGTCGGACGCGGCGAGCACCAAAATGTCCTTCGAGGCTCCGCCTGCGATGGAGTTCTCGGGGATGGAGAGCGGGGAGTGGTCTCTGGATGTTGTATAGAGTCCATAGAGAGAGTCCGTTCAATCCAAAAACATTACCAACCTCTCCGAACATGTTTGAATGAACAGAATGATTTGAGAGTCAGTGATAGTTCAACTTCAGAACAGTGCCTGGTATGTCGCATAGATACGGCGGTATGCGCTCGATAATGATGTCACCGCATGAACCAGAGCACTGTATGGGCGCTAACTCGCTTGTGCTATAGTGGCGGCGCTCAGACGTAAAGACCTCTTGCGCGCGACCACCATGTGTGCCGCTGCTCGTGTGCCCTCCCAATAGTCTGCTGCTCGTCGCTCTCTCTTTCGTGCTTGACAAGATGGATCCGCCTTCTCCTTCTGGTGCTCTCGTCGCGTTGGGCCCGGTAGATCCGGAATGGCAGCCGATTCTGCACGTCTCGAACCAAGTGGTCCTCTACAACCCGACCTCCCACGCCATCTCGATACAAACGCACTCCAGGCCCTCTTCGCGTTCCTTGACACATGCTGGGCGCTGTCCGTACTGTCACCGTGCGCTAGCTGGCGAGGTCGGACACGATGAGGATGACGCTTTCGAAACCGAGGTGGAGGACATCGAACGGAACTCGAACCGTGCCCCCAACTACTTCCACCTGCTTGAGGTGGCGAACGAGTCGTCGAGGCCTGCCAGCCCAGAAAGCATTGCGGGTCCTTCTGCGTCGGATGCGTCTGCGGGTCCTAGTGCATTCCGTGCGGACAATATGGCAGAGGGCTATTTCAAGGCGTTCTTCCAGGAGGTGTGCAGGCTCGGTATGGGGGCCAATGGCAGTGTATACCTATGTCAGGTGTGTTCGTATTGTCGCTCCACATGAGATGACATGACCCTTGACGTCTACCTGAATAGCATATGCTTGACGGGAATTCTCTCGGTTCGTTTTCCCGGCCATATACCACTTCTGTCTGCTTTCTCTGACATTGCGCGCTCAGGCTACTTCGCTGTGAAGAAAGTCGCTGTAGGGCAGTCCCATACCTACCTTCTTAACACTCTACGCGAGGTCCGTATGCTGTGTAAGCACGGTAAGCGTTCCGGACACTGATCATGCGACGTCTAGGTCCGCTTGCTAGAGAAGCTGCAACATCCTAATATTATCACATATCACCATGCTTGGCTGGAGTCTTCCCAGTTCTCCTCGTTCGGACCCAGGATACCCACGCTGCAGTATGTGTTATACACTTGGTATGACAGAGTGATACCCTGACGCCTCCAAAGCATTCTTATGCAATGGGCTGAAGGCGGGAGTCTTGACGACTTCATTGACGTACGGCTCGGCCGGCGGGCTCCTAACCTCCCTCTGCATCCATCTGGGCCCTCTTCAAACGACAGCCAGTCGTCGCCTTCCCCTTCAACAGTACCAAGCCCGCCGGAACACATGTACTCGCGTAGCGCTCGAATACGTGCCTTCCGTGCGCTGCAGCGGGCACCTCCCGAAGAACGCGAACGCTTGCGCCGGGAGATGGGGCTGAACGGCAACGGTGCACAAGCACAGGGCGCTGCAAAGACACCCGCAGACTACAAGGCAGTGCATCTTCTAAGTGCCGAGGAAGTCCAGGGTTTGTTCTCTGACGTGGTCTCTGGGCTAGCTTTCCTTGTAAGTTACCATACTATGCGGTTACGCTCAATCTCCACTCAACCTTCTAACTTCTACTAGCACGAGAAGTCGATATTGCATCTCGATTTGAAGCCCGGGAATGTGCTTTTGACATGGGACGAAGGGCGGTTGATGTAAGATCTCGACACTCGCTTTGAAAGCTGTTGCTCACCTGCAGCACAGACCGAGAGCAATGCTGTCCGACTTCGGGACGTCACAGGATATGTTGAATGCGCGGACACGCTCAGGCAATACCGGCACGTACGTGTCATATGTTCGATAGCTCCCTGTATGCGCTCAATTTTACCTTCCAGACTTGAATATGCCGCGCCAGAGTCACTACCTTCACCCACTACCGGTAAACTCCTCCAGGTTGACTCTAAAGCGGACATGTGGTCCCTCGGCATGATCCTGCACAAGCTGCTCTTCTTCCGTCTCCCCTACCACTATTCCTCCGACAGCGAAAACCCCAGCAGGCCCACGGATGGAAAGGACTTCGCTGACAGACTTGAGGATGAGATTTTGCGCTATCGTGGATTCAAATCCACATCGGGGCTGGTAACCACCTTCGAGTCTCGCAGACTTCCGCGTGCATATCTTTACCTGCTGGAGAACCTGCTGCACGTGAAGCCGGGGACGAGGCCGTCGTCGGAGCGCGTGCTCGGTGCTATCAAGGAGGGTGGGGTGAGTGATATCGCGCTACAATTTTATGTTAGTACAGTCGCTAACCAGAGCCCTATACATCAGCTCAAGCCCGTCAATCTGGCACGGCGTGCCGAGGCGGGGACCTCGACCATGGCACTTGCACGTCCGCACCATCGTATCAGTCCGGAGAGGATGCACAACGGCTATCCGACCACAATACAAGAACAGAGCGACTCGAACGTGGAAGAGATCGACGAAGAGGATGAGGTCTCCAGTGAAGACGAGAAGACACCGCTCCTCGGGCTTCCCGAGCCCGAGCCTATACAACCCCCGACACCAGAAGGCTGGTCGCACACCCTACGGCTCTGGGGCTGGCGCGTACCCGCACGCCTCCCGCGGGTCATCTGGGTGCGCACGCTGAAGTCCTCGATTCTCGTCGGCAAGGTGAGTGGTGCTACTTCTTTCTTACCTATCCTGCTGCGTCTGAACGTCTGCCGTTCGTTGACCATTCGTCGACTTCGGGTAGGTGCTGTCCCTTTCGCGCGTGTGCCCCGGAACCACGCCGCAACCCGTCCTTACCGGCGCAGCGCTCGCACTCGCGGTGATGGACACCTGGTTCGACGGTCTTGGGGCGACACTTTTGCTGGGGGCCGGCCATGTCGCGCTGCTGTCGTTGGCGTGCTGGACGGGCGAGTGCTGCGAGTGAGGGTTTCTGGCCGTTGTTACCCGGTGCTAGCCGGGACCACAAAGGTATCTGCTTACGACGGGTGGAGGACATGGACCTGTTCAGTTTCTACTGTCATTGCTAGCTTCGGGACCTCGTGTGATATTCTGGGTATCTCTACCATGTATTAATGCAACACGTCTACGCTAGGTTACGGTATGTGTATGCTACTATATGCCACATCGTTATGTCACGTTGGCGACATTCTACCCAAGTTCTCATTCACACTCTTACTGTGGGCCTGCCGATCAGGCTCACGTTCTGTCAAGGGGATGGTCACACTAGTGCATGGCTGCCGGTTTCGGACCTGCACCACGGGCGCCTACAACGCGCTTCCCTCTCTTCTTGACCATCACTTCAGCGTTGGTCCTTGCGTTATTGCGACACTTTCTACTCGTCTACTGCATATATCCGGTCAACGTATTTGTCCGAGGTGGTTGAGATCAGCGTGGCTCACTCGAAGCGACCACATGAGGCGTCATAATGAGTTCAAGAATGTCCCACTCGGACCCGCAGCAGCTACACCAAGTACTGGGATACTCAGGAACATCATACTGGTGAGCCCCCGACGGTCCGGATGATTTACTCTTGTGTAAGCATCGACGGAAGCCGCACCGAGGTACAGCTTCGCCAGTTATGAGCATACCGGCGGGTCCCTTGCATAATTGCGATCGGTTGCCAGGCATCGCCGCCGTTCTCGCGAACTTTATTGTCTTGCACTGCACCTCCCCGTGAAGCAGCACGGCCTATTTCCCATCGAAAATACGGTACAGAACGCACACATGCGCGGCACACAAGCCGCAAATCCGATCGCGGCGAGCAAGCGCCCGTCTCTATTGTGTTGCAGGTGGCGTGTACAGGCGAGCGTTCCTCATGACGGGCGAAGGCGCACACTCAGCTGATTGCCTCCATTCCAGATGCACCCATTAATCTGTGCTTTTGTGTGCCGCCGCTGGCGCCGGCGTCGGTTTAGGTAAACGGAGCGTGCAACTGCGGGTCTTTTGTCTATCCCCGAAGCTGTTACGGCGGCGCAGACAATATATGACCGCCGCCCGTGCACAGCGGTTGCTACCACCGCCCGCCCGACGCCCGCAACGACCCTAGCGGTCTTGTTCCGGATCCTCTTCTCCATCTGCTCTCGCTCCCGCCTCGGTCTCTGCCTCGGTCTCTCTCGCTATCCTTGTTTATCCGTGCACTGGTCCTTCCATCGACGTCCTATAAAGCCTCGGATTCAATATGTCTACGACCGCCACCATCCGCTTCCCCCCGCCGCCTCCGACGCGCAACGAGCTGACGAGCGAGCAGCGCGCGAAGCTCATCCGCACGAACAACAAGCTGGGACAGGTGCTCGGCAGCACGCCTCACGTACTCGACCTCACATATAGAGGTAAATGACCGAACCCATACCCTCCACACGCTACCGTAGCTCACATGCATGCCCTAGTCCCTTTGCAGCGTCCGCGCGAGGCAGAGCCTCCCCGTCCGAAGACCCCCACCTCGATGAAGAACCCGTTCAGGACGCACACCCGCAGCAAATCCTCCCCGAAGGTCGACATGGACGCCCTCCGCGCGATTAGCCCCGACTCCATCTCGTCGAGCAGCTCAGGGTCGTCACGCAGGTCCTCTAGCAGTGTCCGCTCTATCGCGGATAACGAGCAGTCGTGGCGCAGCCCGTACCCGGCACGGCGCCCCCCGCTCCTCAGGCTCTCTACGCCCACCAGCTCCCGGAAGCCCACGCTGGAGACCATTCCGGGCTCCCCGCCATCGGACGAGATCGCGTTCACAATATCGGACGCGCCTTCGTTCTCCATCCCGTCGGACGCAGCGGTTCGCCGCGAGAAGATGCGCCGTCTGCGGAGACGGCTAGGCGAGAACGTGCCGACGGACCTCGTCTTCCCGTCTTCCCCAGAGGAGTCCGATTCCGAGGAGGACTCACCGCTGCTCTCAACGCCCACGTCGACCGCGAGCCGCGAGTGGCTGCTCGTGCACAAGCCCCTCCCGGACGAGCCGTACGTGACCTCGACGTTCGAGCGCGCGCTGCCGGAGCTCGAGCGGCCTCTGCCGAAGGTCCCTACGGCGATGGAGTCGCTGCGCGCGCGGCACCGGCTGTTCAAGGAGCGGCCGAAGGACAAGCCATCGAAGGGTGCGCAGCGCCTCGAGAGCATCGCGGAGAACTCCAAGGATGCCGTCACTGGGGACCACATCATCTGCGTCGGCGTCACGGCTAGTGCGGGTATGCACGGCAAGGGCAAGTCGCGGCGATTTGTCCAGGGCGAGGTGTCGCTCGACCAGATCGGCGGTGCTTGGGGTGGCTTCGGCATTGGCTGGTGATTCGGAGACAAGATCGTTGCCCGCGTGGCGGAGCTGGCTCCTCGCCGGGCATGGTTCAGATCGTTGCAGGTGTGTGTGCGGTGTTGTGGTGTTCCAGTTTGTTTCTTTCCGTCGTTCGGGACCGTCTTTCGGTTGTGCTGTGTTGACGTTTGCTTTCTGCACGAGCCATTGTATCATATGAGCCAAATTAAGTGCACCATGTATCGTAGGACTCATGTATACTCACCTTCATGTATACAAGACGTGTAGCCTGTATGTTTTATGCACCGAATGAATCATGCCGTTATGCACCGCTCCGAGTGCTATAAACATCAAGCGCTTGAACCTGATCGAGGAGGCGCTGCAGGGCGCTGCAAACCCCGGCCGATGACGTGCACGCATAAGTATACTCTCCGGTCATCCGCGCTCGGAACCTCTCTTCGTTCTGCGCAGCACCCTCGGCCTTCCTCACCGCCCCTCTGGGGCCTCTCTTTCTCTATCTTGCACCACCACCACGGCAGTACACCATGTTCAAAACAGCGGCGAGGAAGATCGCGCACAACACGACCATGCCTGGTCTCCCAGGCTTGTCGGCAAAGCAGGATTTGCGGTCCTTGCAGGAGCTCATCACTTCGGAGAAGGCAATTTTGAATTCGTACGTTGATCACCGCTGCGGAGACAGATTGCGTTCTCAATATGAGTAGGTTGCAGAAGCTGAGCGCGGACTTTCAACGGGCGTCGGAGGCCTTGAAGGTGTGGGGGTTAGGAGAGGGGGAAGACCTCGCGGTACGCATCTCTTCAGTTCTCTTTGCGCGTATGCGTCTCATTCTACCCAAGGATACGCTCGGTATGTCGACAAGCCTACTCCTACATTGGTCAACGGCACTTGCTACGTTCGCCGGCCATGAGCAAAACGTGCGAGACCAAATGAAATCTGTACGATCGCGTGAGGAAGCCCTCGACGAGATGAAGCGACGCCGCAAGTCTGTGTTCAGCGATGCCGAGGCTGCGGAGCGCAAACTTAGCAAGATGAACCCCGAGAACAAGAACCTGCAGCAGCAGACGGACCTCCTAAACAGACTGAGGGACGAGATACGCGCTATGGATACGGACATCATGAACGAGGAGGCTGGGCTTGGCGACTTCAAGCGCTACAGTGCCCGGGCCTGGATGGGGCTGAAGTTTGGAGGTCTGCTCGAGTGTTGCGAAAAGGGCGCAGTACGTCCGCTTTTACATGACATACGATCGTCTGTGCCAATCTTGGCGCTTCTTGCAGATCGTCGGTGAACTAGGCAAGCTGGTCATTTCCGTAAGTCTTTCCGGCTACTAGAGCTATCTACGCGTGTTGACCAGCCAATAGGAAATATCTCTTGCACCTGCGCAACCTGGTCTGCCTCGCCCCTACTACACTGGGCATGCCCGCACCGAGTTCCTTGCAGCGGAGGCAGCGCGCTCGGTCTCTGAAGTTCCCTATTCGCCGGATCCGAACCCGCATCCCTCACAACGCACCTTGCGCTCAATGCCGGGTTCAGAGCTGCCCGCCATTCCTATGGACCGCCCAATGTCTGCAGCATCTGGGGGCGGTCAGTCAGGCTACGGACCGGGTCCCGGCGCGTACCCGGGTCTCCCTCAAGTGGAGGAGTCGGGATTCAACATTCAGCAGTTCATGGGCCCCGATCAACCCGGGACACCTCAGAACCAGCTCCCTCCTGTGAACGAGTTTGGCACCTTCGGCGGAGGGCCCATCGTTCAGACGCATTCGCTCAACCCTGCGGAGCGGGAGAAGCCCATGAGCCCCCGGGGAGGGCGCTTCGCTACATTCCCCGTGAAGGCAGGCGGCCCTCGCCCGCCTCCCGGTCACACCGGGGGCAGCAGCATGTCCATAACGAACCCCTACATCTCACCCGCGATGAGGGATGGCGACCGCGCACCGTCTATCGAGATCGACCGCAACGACGAATCCTTCGCATCCAGTGTCGCAATGGCCCTTGGTCAGTTCGGGGACAACGGCGCGTCTGGCAGCGGTCCTCCGCAAGCTGGATCGAGCCGTTTCTCACCGCCGCAAGGCTCTCTGCCGCCGCAGGACGTCAAGGGCGGCGCGGACTTCGGGCCTCAGCGGTACTCGCCTCCTCCGCCCATGTACACTCCCTCCAATGATCTGCCCTCGGGCGCGGCGCCTCCCAATCCTCCTAGCACGCACCATAACGGGCTTTCTGCTCCGGGTCAGGAGCAGCAGGCGAGCTCGCGGCCACAGTCGACAGCTGACGAGGAGGAAGGGCTGGCGTACATGTCCAATGACAACGGGTCGAACGAGTCGATCTCTGACTCCGGCGATAGGCGCGTCAGGTTTGGCGGAGTGAGCGACGTGGACCGCGAACTGGAGAAGCGTCACGCAGAGCAGGATGCTGCTGCACAGCGATCCCAGAGCCCTTCCGCGGGGCAGTATGCGAATGAGACACAAGCAGGCCGTGTCTCTCCTGAAGGTATGCTCATTCGCATCGCTTTTTCACATTGATGTTGACTCAGTACGTTTGTAAAGTGGCTCGCATGTCCAAGGAGATGCCTCCAGTGCCGGGAGGCCGTTCGCCGACCTCACCTACCGCGCCTCGTATACCCTCTCCACCACCACCTGAAGGAGACTCGCTAGACGAGGTATCACTCAACGCTGCAGCAGCGCGTGAGGTCTCGCGCGAGCTTGACGCCCTGATGATGTCCTCCCCGCCTGTATCGCCTTCGGAGAAGCCCCCCGCATCCCCGTGGGGCGCGCGTCCTCAGATACCATCCTACCCGCGACAGGCTGTATCTCCCCGGCCGTCAGTCGATCAGTCGACCTCCGGACAGGCGTCGCAAGCCAGCAGCCCGAAGCTGGAAGGGATGTACGTGCGGCAGCGCGATCGCTCCGCCTCTGGCACCGTTAGCGCCCCGGTCGCGAGGGTTCCGCCTCCTGCGCCTCCTCCCCCCGAGGCGATACCTACTCCTGCCTCACCCACTGCGAGCAATGAAGACAATGACTACATGCAGCGCTCTATTCCGAACATATCGCGCATCTCCCCCGCACCGAGCTCCAATGGCACGCCATTCCGCACCCCGCTGGAGACGCCCTTAGCGGGACCGCCCGTCGGCTCGCTCTACAACATGCCTGGCACCACTGGCTCGAACACGTCGTTCTCAGCCCCTGGCGGAATCCGTACGATCTCTGCGGCTGCGTTCCGGCGGCCCGTGCGCAACGCGAGCGGGACACTCGTCGAGGGAGGTCGACAGAGCCCAGGGCTAGCCGACACGAGCCCGCTCATGGTGAAGAAGCGGCCGCTGCCGAGCTCCCCATACCCTTCGCCGCATCCTGGTGCGAACCTCCAGGCGCCCGGGGGCATCCCTAGGAGCGTATCGGCGTCGGGGGGCCCGCAGTACCAGCAGTCGGGAGACGAGCAAGGCCAGCGGCCGCTCACGCACTACCGGCAGGATGACGATGACTTTGACTACATCTCGGCGTACACGGAGTCTGCGCCCAACGCGGGCCATGGTGACGGTCCGAGTTCTCCTGGGTATCAACAAGGCCGGTTCGCCACGAATCTCGAGGATGGAAACGTTTTGTGAGGGCCTGAACCCAGTACCAGATTGATCCGCAGGTGACGTCCATGTAGTCATTTCAGCAACACGCGAGTTCGCGGTCTATTTAACGCACATCTTGTTGTCTATGCACGCTGTCAGTGTCGCACATAATCATTCCCTTTGTATCCCTACGCTGTCTATTTCTATTCACGCGGGGCCCTTCCGTGATGTTTGTTTTCATCCCTCTCCCTCTGTATCTTCGAAACACACTTCTATATATCTCGAGATGGCGGCCAGTCATGGCCACCGTTTTGATGTTCCGCGGATGTTGCTTTTTCTGATATCTCGATGCCCCCGCTTATTCATGACGCGATCCGCTGTCTCGCGGCCGCCACAGCGATACTTCCGACCCCAGTTGCGAGCGCGCAGGAGCCCACGAAGATCTCCACTGCGCCGTATCCGGCGCGTCCGTAGCCATGGCCGAGGGTGGACGACTTGCCCGCCTCCAGGAGCACGCCAGAGACGATCGGCCCAATGACGGCCGAGACGCCCTTGAAGAGGGCGGTCCCCGCGTAGGTAATGTCTGCGTTTTCTGGCATCCGTCCGGCGCAGTCGACAGCCGCGTTCGGCCACACAGACGAGAACCCCCCGCTCTATAACACAGGTGAGCACCGGGCATATTTCTTGTTGCGAGCGGTACTGACCAGGGCGCCGAAAATAATCGCAAACGGGTAGATGAGCGCGGGGCCGCTCGCGAAGCCCCAGAGGAAGAACGCAGCGAGCGCGCTCCCGAGCGAGCTGAAAAACATGACCCACGGGTACGCGAAACAGTCGGAGAGGTGCCCGAGCACGACCTGCCCGACGACGCCTGCGGCGTTGAAGAGCGAGAGCACGATGGTCGCGGTGAGCGGCGTCGCGACCGTCTGCGTGAAGGACGCGATGTAGAGCGAGACGGGGAAATATGACAGGCCTTGGATGAGGCAGGTGAGTGACTGGGAATTAGACGTCAGTGTTGATCACGCTGCTTGGGAGGGTCAAAGCCGACGTACGAAACTGAGGAATAGGGGACTCTTGAAGGACTCCATGCGGGGAGCAAGGGGTCTCCTCTGGCCGTCGCGGTACTTGGCCACGGGCACGCGGGGGCGGATCCCAAATATCGCGATGCCGGTGCTCACGCACGTCATAATCGCCCATATGCGCAGGGTCCAGCGCAAGCCGACGTTGCTCAAGAGCGAGTTCAGCATGAATGGGAACACGAAGCCTGGTGGACACGACACGGCCGTCAGTCTCATGATTACAGAGAGGATACATAGGAGAGCGTACCACCCACACCGGTGCCTGCGAAGATAATGCCCCCTGCGAGGCCGCGGCGCTCGGAGAACCACTGCGGGAGGAGGATCATGACTGGGAGATACAAGACGCCTCCGCTCAGGCCAAGCCCTACTCCTTGCAAGAGGATGAGCTGCCAGACCTGGAGAAGAAGTGAGCGGGTAATTCTCCCGTTGGACCGACGTGTATTGACGTACCTGAGTTGCGAAGCTCGAGCCCATGAGGCACAGAAAGTAGGACAACAAGCCACACCACATCGCGGGGCGCATGTAGTCGGGATATTTCCTGAACATAATAGAGAGAAAGAGGACCTAGGTTCGCGCTCATCAGCTGCCGTACGATGCTTCGTTGTGGTGAGTAGACCATACCTCTCCGTACTGGATTCCAAGGCCGACGGTTCCGACGGCGGCTATCGCGATCTGAGAGGAATTATTGAAGGGCGGATGCGAGGTATAGTACTCTACGTGCAGAACACAAAATCATCTAGCTCCGTTCGGAGTAGGTTTTCAACGGCAAGCATACCTTGAAAGATACCATAACTATGAGAGTACGCTGATCAGCATCGAGGTCGTGTTATATCATAACGATCATGCCTACCTGAACAGGAAGCCCCACACCATCATTTCGACGACGAAGCCGCACGCACAGAAGGTCCATGCGCGTATTCCACGATCAAGAGGCGCGAGTTCGTGAATAGTCGCGCCCTCCTGTGGTTCTGTGGTATGCCGGAGCACTGAGGCAGATGAATGCGAACGAGTTAGAGACGAAGGCCGGGTGGGCGCCATATTATTTTGCATAGAGCCATTGGCACTCTTAAGGGAGGGAAGCTCGTAGTCTTGCGCATGCTCCGCGCTGACAGGGGCAGTGCTGCTTGAGTCACCGGGGAAATTTTGGCAGGGGGTCATCATGAGCTAGTGTTTGCAGACGAGGAGGCCGGTCTGTGGAGAAAATCCGAGGCTCACTGCGAAGGTCCCCGTTTTATTGTGAGATCGGATATGCATATTCGTTTGTAAAGATCATTCTATTGAGTCACGGAGCAAGCACGTAAGATCACCGTCCTCGGCCGACGTGCCTGCCGCATATACAATTTGTCGTGGCGATCTTACTCGCCTGCCTTTTTTGGACGTCTGCCGAGCGCGGTTCGCCGAAAAGGTTAATGAAGAGTCTGGACCGCTGCGGCCTCCTGACAACTCTCGCCACCGGGTCTCTCAAGCTTACCTCAAAACAGGTTCGCGTCCAACGCTAGCGGTGTGTTTTGATCACCGCAGGCTCCGTAAAAATGCAGGAAGAGCAGGTGATGAGTGACACACGTAAGTTCGGAACGCTGAGGAGCTCCTACAGTCACGGTAGGCCCGTGTATCGGGCCAGCGTCTTACAGCAGGCCCGTATGCCGGGCCAGTGTCTTACGGAAGGCCCGCATGTCGGGCCAGTGAACCAGTCAATCGATTATCGGGATGCATAATTATGGAAAGGGAAGGCTGCATGGAGGTAATGTAGTCAGGTACTCGAAGGCACATGGGACGAGAAAATTAGTCGACAGAGCATTTACGGGGGTAGGTGGCTAAATCAAGGGAATGAAGAAGTCAAACTGACCCGGGAACGATGACCGCCCGGAACCGCGCCGTCTCTCTGCTGTCGAACGCCTCCTGCGCCTTGTGCAGTGGGAACCGCTCGACCATGCACTTGATACCCTTCGCCTGCACGAAGGCGAGGCAGTCCTCCGCGTCCTTCGGCGAGCCGCATGGCCAGCCCCTGATACTCAGCCGCTTCAACAGCAGGGCCACTGCGCCCGCAGACAACATTTAGTATCCCGCCATCGCTCAACAGGACGAGGACTTACGAGGCGCGATGCGCATCGGCTCCGGCTCGACCGCGAGCACGAGCAGCGTGCCGTCCACGCACAGCCCGTCGAGGAGGCGCTCCGTCGCCGCCGCGTTTGGCGCGGTCGACATGATCACCTTCACTCCACCCAGTGCCTGCAGCGCGGCCGTCGCGTCAACCTGGGAAACGTCGACGAACTCGTCCGCGCCGAGTGAGCGCGCGAGGGCCTCCTTGGCCGCGTCGGACGAGAGCGCGACGACGCGGAAGCCCATGGCGGACGCGAACTGGATCGCGAGGTGACCGAGGCCGCTGTGAGGGGAGTCGTTTAGCTGTGATATACTGGGCCGTGGATGGGGAGGCCGGGTGCGCACCCAATGCCTTGGACTGCGACGTAGTCCGGAGGCGTCACGTTCATGTTTCGCAGCGCGTCTTGGGGCTTTTAATCAGCATACATCGAACAGTGCAATGATGGTCATGAGCACTCACTGAAGGTCGTGATCCCGGCGCAAAGGAGCGGGGCGGCCTCAGCGGGATCGATGTCTTGCGGGACCGCGACAACCGCTTCAGAACGGAGGGTCATATATTCTGCGTATCCCCCGTCCCTCATCGCACCTATTCCACATTATACTCAGACCGTGGGTGAAAAGTCCGCCATGTGAAAGGGCGTACCAGTGATATCTTGATTCTCACAGGTAAGATAGTCTCCCGCGCGGCACCTGGGGCAGATCGAGCAGTGGCCGCCGTGCCAGCCTGCGCCGACGCGCTGACCGAGCTTCCACAGCTTCTCGCGCGCGGAGACCGCGACAACGTCCCCGACCACCTCATGCCCGGGGACGCGCGGCAGTGACACTGGCATGACCTGTGAAGGGCATATTTCGTCTCTGTGCGTGATACGTGAGCATTGGCATATAAGAGACACAGAGACAAGAAAGAACGTACGTTCCACAGACGCCACAGGCGAGGACCTTGATCACGATCTCGCCCGTCTTGGGGTAGTGCCACGGGACGGTGATCTTCTGCAACTTGCCGCCAGGCTCGAGGAAGGCGTACGCAGTGTAGGTTGAAGGGAACCTCGTCTGGACGCGGACGGGCATGTCTCTCTATTTCGTGGGGAGTTTGTGTGGTAGAGATGGGAGAGAATACGGGTGTGCTCGTATGTCCCTATGGACCTCCACCGCCGCACATTTATATGCTCGCGCTGCCGGTGGGCAAGGAGGAATGCACGGTGGACTCCACAGGGGACAAAGCGTGGCGCGCAAGGCCGAGGACCACGCATAACGGTGGAGGAGAATTGTGCCGCCCGCAGGCGGCGCGAGCGTAAGCCACAAATGCCCGACCGATGTCCAGTGCTACTAGCCCCAACGGCGTCCGCCGACGTGCGATGCCGTCGCATGAGACTGCAGACCAGCAGTCTGAGTGGGGTGAGCCTCACCTACACCCCCGGCTGCGCGGGTGTCCGAAGTCTACGGTGCGTCAGCGTAACACGCTCGAATGTGGCCGAGCACTTTCGGAGACAGACGTACAGTACTGAGAGCAACCGCGGGGATCTGAGCGAAGCCGAGGAGCGGCCCTGCCTGGGAAGGGTGGTAACTATACAAACGTGAGTATCGGCACTCTGCGGGCTTTAGAGGGGAACATACTTGTAATCTGGATATGGTGCCTTTACAGCGCTCCGCTCGCGAACTGGCTCGAAGTAGTGGGGGCGTATGTTACGCCGCAGCTCCAGTATGATGCCCGCCAGGATGAGGCCGAGGACTCCTGCATTCCCCGGACATATCGACCCACCATCCTCTTACAGCTGAGTCCAGGTCCGCGGACTGGTACATGTCGGATATGTGCCTCAAACATGATGAAGTGGTGCTTGAAGACGTGCGTTCATTTTCAGTGCGCCGTAGGGCAGCCACCGCCTACAGCGATGCGCGCATTTCGAGCGCCATGTCGCGTCGCGCCCGACTTTCAGACGTGTGACGGTAGGCCGGCAACTAAGCATTTGGGAGTAGGTGTCTATAAGAAGAACTCAGTAAAAGATCATTCGCTTCCGATGCTTAACGGATGTCAGGACCGCGCACTCACTGTTCACAACGAACGTGCTCCCATCACATCCCATTCAAGCTGTCGTGCGCAGCTTGAAGAGCATACGAATGTTGGGCGCGTTGACTTTGTGATGGTGGTCAGAGGATGAGCGGTGTGAGCGGCAATTCATGCAGACCCTCGACTCCGTCACACACAATCGCGCGCCACGCCGTCGGAGGCCGAGCAGCCCTGGCGCACGATCGGCGAGCACCAAGTTCCCGGAGGATGCTGCTTCTGGAAGTAATCGCGGCGTGCGCCACAACGCCTTCGTATGTTCGCGACGCCATACAAGTGCCGCTTCACACGGGAACATGCACACGCCTCCGTCACCAGCGGAATTCTCGAACGACATGTCACTGTGCCAGCGCACACGTCCAGATAGTCAACCGTGTATTGCAACTAGCCAATTGCGCCCAAGAGAACATCACAAACGCGCAACACGTACGTCGTGTATCCGAACAACATGCAGGACCCCAGACCGCCAAAAAGAAAACGACGCAGAGCCCTTAGAAATACAACGATACGAAAACTAGTACTCACTGGCCCTTCACGCGCGCATTATCGCATTATCGCATCAACGTAACCTCCAACGTCTCGACCTGCGACCACCTCAACCTAGGCCTGCGTAAGCCGGTGGTCAAACAGCCTGTTGTCGAGCTCGATCTCGAGGCGCTCCTTGCCCTCGTCCGTGCCCCACACGTTCTGGTCCGACAGGTTCAGCGCGCCCGTGCGGAAGTCCCAGTGGCGCTCCCCGCAGCCCTTGACGTGCTTCAGCAGGCCCTGCAGGAAGTGGTCGCGCAGGGGCGCGTCCAGCGGGCGCGTCTCCGGGTCCGAGATGTCGTCCACCTGCAGCACCAGCCCCGCGAGGTCCTCGTGTCCCGCGACGAACGGCGTGATGCTGTACCCGTTCTGCGTGCGTGCGTCCCGCGGTGAGTGCCTGCCGGACAGACGTAAGGGGGAGGGGGGACGTACATCGGGGTCGACGCCGAACTCGTAGTCCGCCCACGCGTTGTGCAGGTTCTCGCGCAGGAGGAGCATGTTCTGCAGCGACGCGGACTTGTGGTGCGCCATGCCCGGCCGGGAGTGCGCGTCCGGCGGCGTGGGGCAGGGCGACGAGTCGCGCGTGTGCGGGCGCTGCTGCGATGTCAGCTGCGGACACCAAGTGCGCGGCAACAGATGCTCGCGCGCGCGAGGAGGGAAGCCTCCGTCGTCTGAGGGTTGCGTCTGAACAGCACTTCCCGGGCCTAGGCTGGGGAGGCCCGGATGTGCGAGGCACAACCACGACGGCGCGTGCGCGCGAAGCACCGGCATCCCGTGTGGAGAACGAACGCGATGCGCACCTGGTTGAGGCGCGAGCTCGAGAAGACGTGCGCAGCCTGCAGGCGCGCCCAGGACATCTCCGTGCCGGTGGACATGGACTTGCGGTCGCGGTCGCGCGCGTGCTGCAGGTTCATCTCGCCCTTGCGGACGCGCCCGGTCACGCCCTGCCGGCGGTGCGCGACGGCATCGACGAGTTTGACTTGAAGCGGGGTGTAGTCTGCCGCCCGGGGGTCAGCGTGTGCGCGCGCAAGGGAGAAAGACCGAGGAAGACCTGCCTGGGGCGAGCAGGACGTATTTCCCCGGCAGGACGACGGCGTCCGTGGGGAGGTACTGCACGGGCGCGAAACGGTCGCCGCCGACGATGATCCAAGCGTCGGTGGTGTCAAAAAGTAGCTTGAGCCAGCTGAAGAACGTCTTCCAAGAGACAGAGCCATACTGGTGGAAACCTATCGAGGAGAAACTTGAAAAGTGCTCAGGTCGGACCGGGCTATGCAGGAACGCACCTGCGAGAACACGGCCGTGGTAGTCCCCAAGCACAACATTACGCGTAGTCGAGACGCGCGCGGGCATGTTGTAACAGAGGCGGGCGGAGAGTCGGTGGGGTAAGGTAAGGGACAAGCCCGCGGGCGTAGGGGGGAAGGGTTCGATGAAGGGGGGCGGCAGCAGACTCGAACCCAGCGTTATAATAATACATGGCGCACGCTAGGAACGACTCGGGGGGGCGGCAGCTTCGGATGCGCCGACAGGTTGGCGGGCATGCCTAGAGGCGACTAGTCGCGAGCCGGTGGCAGACTCATCAGCCTAGACTCGCCGGCCAGTCCGCGCGCAAGCATCTGATCGGGCCTTCCAAGGAGGCGCGAGCTTACCCTCAAGTTTAACTTGTGGGGACGAGCGTACCATCAGCCAGGCGGAAACCCGAGCCACCGTCGTTAGAGCCGCGCGGCATCCGCGCGTCGCTGCCCACTGGCACCCCCACAGCTTCCGGAGAAACCGCAGTCGGACTCGGGTGCGCACGCACGCGCCACGTTTGCAGCCTGCGGTCTCTCAGGGCGGCGGGCGGAGCGGTGGCTACCACCACGGTGGACAACATGCCTGTGTGTAACTGAGGATTCTGAGCAGGCGTTTCGTAGGAATGAGAGTCAAAGTGGAGCCGAGTGGAGCGACTTAAGCTTATAGTGCGGGTAGGCGCCCGCCCCTGCCGCCCGTCTCGACTCGATAAGCGGACGAATCGCGGCGGAGACGATGTGATCGACGCCGCCGGGCTAGAACATTCAACATACACTCAGGGCAACAGGCTCAAACAGGGCAAACCGTTTGCTGGCGACGGCGCCGTAACATAGACCAGGGGCGCCCGAGAGCGTCCGTCGCGACGCGATCAACCTCTCGGGGGAACAGGGGTCCTTGACCAAACGATACGGAAAGCGGCGGTACTCGTAGAGCTGTTGTCCTGCATGCCGTTAGCGACGGCGGGGAGATACGAGTCGGCCGATTTACTACCGTTCCATGCGGACGGGATAAGTCAACATCCAGAACGGGCCGTCCATGATTGAAGCGACGATAAATGCTCAGCGCTCAGCACTCAAATCTTACGCTGTCAGCGGCCTCCGTGGCCGTTCGCAGCAAACACCTGCCGGAGGCCGCTGCAGCATGTACCAAGAATCCGAGCAGAACAAATGAATCTTCGTCTGCGCAAGCCAATTGCATTGGGAACCATCGTGTATGTGCCATATTACCAATTACCGGTGCGCCCGTGTATATGACACCAAAGTACAGTATTCCATGGGAGAAGGAGAAAATGAACCGGAACTCACTGAATGCCCAAGAAATCAATCCTCGCTGATCATGTTGCTCTGCTTGAACCGATGATCAAACAACCGGTTCTCCAGCTCGAGCTCCAGACGCTCCTTGCCCTCCTTGGTGCCCCAGACCTTCACGTCGGACAGGTCCAGGGCACCGCTGCGGAAGTCCCAGTGCCGCTCGCCACGCCCTTTAACATGTTTGAGCAGGCCTTGTAGGAAGTGGTCGCGGAGAGGCTGGTCAAGGGGGCGCGTGGCAGGGTCCGAAATCTCATCAGGCTGTAGAACGCGTCCGGCGAGGGTGTCGTGTCCAGATACGAAAGCCGTTATGCGGTAACCGTCCTGAGCCACTCGTGGTCAGCGGGATCATTGCAGAGCCAGGATGACCATACGTACATCGGGGTCGATGCCAAATTCATAATCTGCCCATGCGCCGTGGAGGTCTTCACGGAGCAGCAACATGTTCTGCAAGGAGGCGTGCTTGGGTGCGGACGGTGACGTACGGGGTGTTGGCGCCGTCCCTGCACGCGTAACACAAGTAAAGCAGACTTTACGTTCCAACTGTAGCATGATGAGCAACCAACCTGAGAACGAGGATATAAACTGCCCGCGCGTACGAGTGGTAGGTTTTGGGGTGGACACCCCGAAACTGCCAGACGCAGAAGTTCGAAGCTATCCGATGAGCTCGATGTGCGGACCGCACCCGAACGCGCAAGGCATGTGGCCGTGGAGCCAGACTGCTATACGCACCTCCGAAGGGTGGGGTGCCGAGAAGATGTGTGCGGCTTGTAGTTTGCACCAAGATAGCTCAGTTACGGGGGACATACTCTTCCGGTCTCTTTCGCGCGCGTGATGGAGATTGAGTTCGCCCTTCTTCACTCGGGGTATGGTGGTTTGCCGTCGCCGGGCGTTCGTGGCTACAAGATTGATACGGATGGGGGTCCGGTCTAACAAAGAAATCAGTGCGTAAGGATGGTGAAGTAAGGCAGAAGGTTTACCTGATGCAAGAAGAGTGTATCTGCCCGGCATTACGACGGCATTTGAGGGAGAGTACTGTTCCGACGCGTGCCGGTCGCCCATGACGATGATCCAAGATTCGGTGGTGTCGAGGAGCGCGGAGAGCCACCTGAAGAACGTGTTCCAGGACACCGCGCCGTATTGGTGGAAGCCTGTGCAGAGCGGGGAGAATGTCAGAAGGACAGACGTGCGCGCGAAGCTGCGACATAGGACTTTCCTGCGAGGTCATTTCCGTAGTAGTCGCCAAGGACAACGTTACGCGGTTTCGCGATGCGGGAAGACATGAACGCATGGGATGGAGGTCGGGGGGAGAGAGGTGTGCGGGCCCGCGAGCCGCGCGCGGATTTATTATAAGGTGGAGCGCAAGGTTTGCATGGCGGGGCGGGATCGAGCGCGAAGACAACGGATGTAAGCAGCACATGGGAAGCCGTCGACCCAAACGCGGACGTGATACGATCCAACGCCGTGCGTCAAACGCTCGGACGAGCCTGCGACTGCATGGCGATCACCCCAACATGTACAGCCTGCGCAGAGATCTGCGGCCGAGGGAGGTTTAGCTGCTCATGATAGAGCAGGCACGCAGTCCTGTGCGAGGCACATCGAAATTTGAGCCCGAGTCGAGGGCAGCGACCTGCGGGGAAGGGGTTCAGCCTGGGGACGCTGCTAGTCCCGGCAGACACGATGGCCAAGCTGTGCGGCGATATCGCACTTAGCGCCCAGCGTCGCGATCGGATTCGCAGACGCCAACACGCCGACTGCAGGACCCCAGGAACCACCCTGCTCCGACGAGGCCGAGTGACTGCCATCGTCGTACGTTCAAAAGGCTTGGGAGGGACATGGTCTGGACTGTACCACAACGACAAATCCGGGATAATTTACGACTTGCCAGTCGTCGTCGATCGCGCGAGCTTACACCGACGCGCGCGTCGCGTCAATCACGGGAGCCGGACACATACAACTTACGTTGTCAAGCATCCCGCAAGGATCGACCTCCCACACTTCCTGGCATGAAGCTGCATGGAAATGATGCTACCATCTGAGGACAGTTGAGCAACAAGGCGAGAGCGTAGGCTGCCTTGGGCTGCCCTGAGTACTAACATCGCAGTCGCCCAAAGGACACGTCGTGGGACCCGTGACACCGGGCCGATTCAGATCGTTCAGCGGTCAGCCACGTTCTACAGCCTCTCGAGCGCACACTGCGCACACGCACATCCTCATCGTCCTCCCTGGTGTCCTCCCCCCTCAGGCTCTGGCCACATTCTCTGCGTGAGCGAGCGTGCTTGGCGTCCACCATGTTGAACACTGCCGCCGCTTGGTCGTCCAACGTCTCCCAGCTCGAGCTACTCATCACTCGTGCATGCAATCCCGCACTCGGTGAGCCCAATTATGCGCTGCATCTCGAGGTCGCAGAGTATGTCAACCAAAAGAAGGCCAACAAGTACGTGCTCTGCATGCTCTCTTGCGCGCACGGAAGACTGATATGACTACATCTACGCAAGTCCGCGGGAAGCAGCGATGTTCATCGCGCGTCTGGTAAACCACCGCAATCCGCACGTCGCAATGCTCGCCCTCGCGCTTCTCGAAACCCTCGTACAGTCCTGCGGATACCCTTTCCAACTCCAGATCGCGACGAAGGAGTTCCTGAACGAACTCGTCCGCCGCTTCCCCGAGCGCCCACCGCCCTTCCCTGGTCCAGTTATGCAGAAGATCCTCGACCTCGTCCACAGCTGGAAGGAGGGCATCTGTGTCGAGTCGCGCTTCAAGGATGACTTCAGCAATATCAGAGACATGCACCGCCTGCTCACCTTCAAGGGCTATCGCTTCCGGGACATTCCCCGCCAGCCAGTCGCGCCAATTGCTTCGGTGAGTATGCGGCCTAAGTGTCTGCAGATACCCCACGCACGCGTCTAACAAGTGCCCTTTTTTCCTCTTTCCCAGAATTTGAAGTCGGCCGATGAGCTCGAGGCGGAAGATCGGGAAGCGCAGGAGGCGAAGCTGCAGGAGCTCATCCGGAGGGGAACACCACGCGACCTCGCGGCGGCACAGGAGCTCATGAAGACCCTCGCGGGCGCGAACCCAGACGCAAAGCCCGATTATCGGACACAGGCCCTCAATGAGCTAAACAAGCTCGAGAGCAAGGTCATCCTGTTGAACGAGATCTTGGACAATGTGGATACAGCGAGGGGAGAGCGGTTTGCGCAAGGAGACGTGTATGATGTGAGTGTGCCTGCAATCTTCACGCGCTATCGAACGGCGCTGATAAACTGGAATGCGCACATAGCAAGTAGCATCAATACTGAAAGACGCGCGGCCAAAGATCCAGAAATGGATCTCCAATGCCGAGAGCGACGACCCAGAATCCCTCAGTACGCCCCCTCCCGGCCCTCGCTACGAGTTAATGTCATGCTGACCCGTCGTCACGCAGACCTCTTCCTCCAAATTAACGACCAGATCAACACCGTCCTCAACCGCTACGAGGCGTACAAGAAGGGCGACTTCTCCGCCGCGTCGAACCCCATCCCGCCCGAGCTCAGCAACGGCGCGTCCGGTTCCGGCGGCCCGCAAGCGGTCTCCCTCATCGATTTCGACGACGCCCCCTCCCAACCCGCACATCCAACGGGCGGCCTCGACGATCTCGCGAGCTTATTCGCATCTGCCCCAGCACACACTACACCGTCGATGCCGGCGGCCGCACCAGGGCAGGGGATGTACGGCGCGCCGATAGCGGCGATGGGGCTGGGCATGAACATGAACATGATGACGAGCGCGCCAGCTACACCTGCGTACCAGTCGCCGCAGCCCGCGCCCTCACAAAGCGCGACACGCGCAGGCACCGTGTCTCCCCCCTCGGGTCTACAGTTGGGGTCTATCCGGCTGGGTACGCCCCAGCTGCAGGCGCAGAGCCCTCCGCTGCACCACACGCAGTCGACGCCTGGGTTCCACGGGCAGCCGCAGTACCAACAGCCGCAATACCACCAGCAGCCATCTCAGCAGCAACTATTCCAGCAGCAGCAGTTCCAGCAGTCGATGCAGCCGCAGCAGCAGCAACCACAACAGCCCGTGGCCCCACCAGCTGGACAGGCGCAGGGAAAGGACCCATTCGCGGATCTTGTAGGGCTATTCTGATGTATCGACTATTGCTATTTACTGTGCCGGGGGAGGAGGGACGACGCTTGTATGCTAGTTGTGCAGATAGGCATCTGGACGGATCGCTCGGTGCTCACGCAGTCAATTTCACGCAAGGCAAGATGGGTGCAGAATATTGAGACGAGAGTATATGTACATGTCGCGCACTGCTCGTTCCATTGTCCGCGCCGACTGTCGTTGGGTATACTGCCCTCCTGCGTCTATGTGTAGAACTTGCGGTTCGGGTTGAAGCCGAACAGGTCTGCCCGGATTTCCGGCAGCATCTGGGGATCCGGTGTAAGAGAGCCCGCCCCGCCGAATGACGAAGATCACTCACCCTGTCCTCCAATAGCCGTAACCGTTCATCGAGCGTGTTGTCGAGCGTGATGCGTTCAGTGCCGCTGACGAGCTTGACGCCGCCCGCACTACAAGGAGGCCATTCAGCACAATGATGTCATGGCGCATCGGCATGCCCGACTCACATGTCGTTGCTCAGCGAACCCTCCACGGTCGCCTTGACGGTGCGGCCGCTGATGTCGTTAAACTGCTTCGAGGCACTGTCCACGGCCTGCTGCACCAGCTGAACGTCCTTCTCGCGAGCGTGCACGGTGACGTCAGGCTCGAGCAGCGAGAGGAAGCCCTGCACGATGACGCCCTCGAGGAACTGCACATAACGCCCCTCGTCCTTGGCGAGCGTGTCGATGCTCGCGCGCGCGGTCGAGAAGAGGTCCTGGATGTGCTCCTCGCGCTGCTGGAGCAGCTTCAGACGGGACTTGTTCGTCAGCGTGGACTGCGCGCTGCATCGGGAGCCTAGTGAGCAGCCATACCCAAGAGACGGAGCGGGCCCACGTACATCTTCTGCGCAACCTCCGCGCCCTTGCGCTTCTTCTCGTATTGCGCATCAATCGCCTGCTGCTCCTGCTTCACGAGCTTGGCCTGTCTCCGCGCTCAGCACCTGGCCGCCCGTGCACGCTATGCCGGCGGACACGCACCTTCTCGATGGCGAACTCCTCGTCCGCCTTGACCTTGATCTCGCGCGCCTTCTCGAGGGCCTCCTGCTTGATGAACGCGACCTGCAGATTGTGCACACATGTCAGGCACCGGGGCCGCTATGGGGGAGACGCGGGCACAGACCATCTTGTTCATCTCACTGAGGACCTCATCGTCGTTAAGCGGCCGGCTTGCCATCTTGATTTGTCGTGGGGTTGGGTGAGGGTTGGCGAGAGCAGTAGTCGGAGGCAAGAGCAGCAACCGTAGGAGCTGCCGACTCGCTAGATTCGGATAGGACGGCAGGCGTTATGCATAACGTCACGAGGGGTCACATTCTACCCAACGCCCGTGTGCGGCGCTTGTTCTTTTCTGCCTCGTCCCTCTTGCTATCATGGCTCCCACCATTCGGCTTGATTCTTCACTTCCTCATGCTTGCGAATCAGCATAATATATGCTCAGATATGGATTCATATTGACGACGCTGCTTGCTGGGGACACATATTCCGCACAACTTGTGGCGGTATAGATGACCTGGACATTCTTCTTCGCGATGGAATCATGGGCCGCAGTGCAGAGGACAGGCCGAAATTGTGTAGGATGGGCTTAATGTGGGCTGCATTGGATGCATACAGCTCACTTCTACGACGGAAATGCCGCCTGGGACGACTCATGTCTTCAAGTCGAAAAAGGGCCATCGTGAACTCCCACCCAGTACGACACGCAGTGAAAGTTGGCAGACATGCTGACTTGACTTGATGTTATATATCTCATACACAGGAACTCTCCGTCGTTTCAATGACATATGTGCCGCCGCACGCCCTTGAGAGGGCACGCAGCCACCCTACTAACTGCGGTCAGTGTTCGCGGTCTTGATCGCTTCAATGTCCGTATACTAAAGTTATGCCTTGAAGCTGGATTCACTTTTCCTGTGCGTGGTTGCAGCCCACAGTCTAGCCTGTGTCCATACGAACCAGACTCCACTCGTTGCTCAAATGAGCTACAACGGTCAGCTACGGAGTGGCCGGCTTCGTGATTGATTGCTGTATGAGCTCTCGCGTGGTGCTATGCATAGCCATCTTGCAGTTCGTTGCATTGTTCCCCGCGTCGGTTGTGAGGATGCTTTGCTCGCGAATAACTCTTCCTTCATCATAGGAGCAAGTTAGTATCTCGCATACGGCTTCCAGACGTACTCGTAACTGGGATACGCCAACTACTGACACGATGAACAACAGTAGCAGATGTTGATGTTATAAGGCACAGAAATTACACCTTCTACTAGTCACGTCAACTATTCTGACTCGTCTTCGGGCACACAGAGGGTGTTCGTAGGGTTCGACGAAGGTATGTGCGTTTGATCGATGACATGCATCATCCAACTTACACATCAGTAGTCTCACAGGAAGTATCTGCACGGGTGACCGCCTGGGTACCCGGATTCTACTCTGCATTTACATCAACGTTTGTCCCTTCTCACAAGGGCATCAACATACTGATCACACGTTCAGCCTTCCTGGTCTTCCGTGCACTTCTCAGTTCTCGACAATCGGGCGCCATCAGTGCTCTCTACGCGACGTCCTGAATTCAAGACGGCAGTGATGGCGCGCCGTGGTTCAAGATGATGCTCATATCCTAATCGTGCGTGCAGCCACGGATACACCATCGGCCGATCACTAACCTCGAAGCGAACGCAGTATGCGCGTCCGTATTGGACAACAGATGGGCTGGCTTCGTGGGACGTGTTGGGCACGAATCATGATGGCAGACGTTCTACTCCCCATGGTACGGTGATCATCGAGGGCGTCCGATAGGACTGCAGCCGGTTGCCCCAGGGTCGTCGTCGGTGAGGACGTGGGAGCGGTGGCGTATGATCTGCAGGTCGGTCGCGGCGGTCGGTAGGGGGAGGTGTGTCGTATATTGCGAGCTCTTTACGGTTATTGGTCCTCGAGCCGGGGGTCCACGGTATTGCTACGCGACCACGTGCTCGAGGGCAACACTGGTTGGCGGCGCGACCTCAGCCGCGTCTATAGGCTGTGCTCCTCTCTACCACTTCCTGTCTCGCGGCATCTGCAAGCTCTCGCCCACAATATGCAGGGCTTCCTCGTCTTCTTCGACGATACTCATCTGTTGGGCGACGTCGGAATTTGCCTTGCGCCCGACTAGCGAGGTCGGTGCAGTTGGCCGTGGGCTGACGGATGCGCAGACCGAATGATTGAAGTCGCAGCTGATCGTTGGTGGCGATGTGGGATCACCATCCGTGTGCTCCTGACGACTCGCATTCCATCATCGCGAGGGCCCGGCAAATGGGCTGCGTGACGCCCCGAGAGCAATGAGGCCCCAGGCTCCAAGACAACCCAGGTCCCTGGTAGGGTGACAACCGAGCGTCCCGTTCTGCCTTTAGAGCGCGCCCGCCGCGTCCTGCCCTCCCTGGTTCCCTCCCACCTCCATCCCGTGGCCAACCTTTTTCCTTTCGCACATCGCAGGTCGATTGTACAGCTCCTTCTTCACCCTTCAATCTTCACTTTCTGTTCTTCCATCTTTCCTAAGGAGCTTACAGTCACTTCCGCAACGCAAGTCCCAAGCATCGCACGCTCACGAATCTTTCACGCCGTCATGAACGCAAAGCTCGCCGCCTCGCCCGCCCGCCCCATGGAAGCCCATGCGCACCCTGCACGTCCCTCGCTTTCCGTCCGCTGCCCGACCCCGCCGCTCGGCGCGGCCGCCATCACCGAGCTCGCGATGACCATCGCTGAAGAGATCGCCAGTCTCACCCGCTCCCCGCAACCCATCGGGGTCGACGTCCCCCTCATGCACTCCGGGCTCGACCCCAAGAGCCTCTCCAAACTCCAGTCCTGGCTCAAGTCCGCCCACGACTACGACGTGAGTGTGAGCCGCCTCCTGGAGAGCGATATGACGGCAGAAGTGCTCGCTGCCGATATCGAAGGTATGTGGTTTGTGTCTGATGTGGTCTGTTCGTCCCTCATCTTCTACAAGCATCCCCTCGCACCCGCCGCCGCAGAGCACTGCCCAAACCGCCGAGGCAAGCGGGCTCTGGCTCGTTCGCCATGTCCCGGCGCGCCCGCCGTGCCCCGAACGCGCCCATGTGCGTCGACGTGACCACCGAGCCGGAAGAGGTTCCGGTCATGTCGGCCGCCGTCAAGCAGTACCAGATCACCGCCGACATCGGAATGGCCCCCTACGACTCATGGGCGAACAAGAAGACCGGGTAAGCCCCCAAACCCGTTTCGAGCACCGCGATGTGGAGCTAACACAGCGCTCATTCAGACTCATGTACGGCCTGCTGGCGCTCGGGCTCGTAGGCTCCCCAATGTCGCCATCGTACCACGGCATCAAGTCGCCCGCGATAAAGTCTCCTCTGGCGATGGGAACGCGCCTCCGGCCGATCCCGCCGCAAGAGGACCCGCGCGCGGTCATGCCGACGCGCACGCCCCTCTTCGCGTCCTTCATGGACTCCGTGCACATGCCTGGGGTCGAACCTATTCAATCCCCGTGGGTGGCCGACAAGCAATTCGCCAGCCTCGACGGCATGTTCGCGGACATGTCGTTCCCCAGGACCCCCGAGAGCTTCTGAGCCCCGCATGGGCCACACTCGCTCGAGACAGCCCAAGAGCCCCCCGTTGTGGCGGGTAAATAGAGAGAACATGGACTAGGACTCTCTGGATACGCGGACTTTCCACGCAAAGTGACATTCATTCGTTTCGTGCTTTCACTTGCTGCATTCTTCCATTCATTCACACATACGCATCTCCCTCGCATGCACGCTCGCACCGTACACTGCACACACACATGGCATCGACTTTACAGTTCATTTTCCTCATCGGTGTTGTTCATCTTACACAAGTTTCGTTTTCGTCTTTGCTTTCGCTTCGTAGGTGCGCGCCACGCCCTTGTATCATTATGTACTGCTGCTCCCGCTCTGTGTCGTACTGTCGAGTCTATGTCCTGCTCACTATGACTATTTGATGCAAGGGTTCCTGGGGATTTGGGAACCCACCCTATAACTGCTCTTGTGTGCGCGTGTCCCCTTCAGCACCTTGCAGCAGTCGCACTCCTCCGTAAATGCACAGCGCTTTCACGGTGTACCGTCATATGAGGGCCACACTGTAAGCAGAGGCTCGTCCGGAATGTACGCTGTCCTACTCAGGCTAGTACAGGCGTCTAATGATACTGACATAGAAACCGAGCGGGTTCAGTAACACCTATCAACAAACTTTGATGATCTCGCCGTAACTTACTTACCGCTGTTCTACCACACATCTACACGTCCTTGGCTCCTCCCGTCACCGCCCCTTCGCGCGGATTCCGTCGCCGTCGATGGCCTTGCTGCTCACCCCGGCGAAATGGCTAGCTGACCTCCTCCCACGGCGCGTACGGGCCGCGGACTCGTACTACGAGCGTCTCCCTGGGACCGCCGCAGGTCCCTCGAAAGCGCGGGGCCCGCGCTCGCAGGGCGTTCTGGTCCGCGTCTGCCACATCCTATTAGTCCGGCGGCGAGCGCGGACGTTCTTCGTCGTCCTGGGCACCCTGATTGGAGCGGCGGTGGCGGTGTTCCTGTACATCCTCACTATCCCGCTCCCGCCGCTGTACTCCAGGTTCCATGCGGCGGAGCTCGATCTGCGGCAGCATGACTCCTCGCTCCCTTACCCTGAAGGCAAGCACGGGAAATTCCTGTGGGTCGCCAACCATGCGAGCAGTAAGTGTGGCACGCGTCCGGCGAAAAACCGCGCGGTGTACTGAAACTTGCCATAGAGTGCGGGTGGGGAAACGCGATGCAAGAGCTGTTCCTTAACGCCTACCTTGCATACCGGAGCGACCGAGCGTACGCCTCCGATGCTGCTCGGGTTACATTGTCGGGAACGCTCATGTTTATTCGCAGGTTTGTGTTCGACAACTATACCTGGAGCCGGGACGAGGGCGACTACTCGCTCTATAATCTGAAGCCTATACCCTCAAGGACACCCTTGACAGCTCTGATCAGAGGTGTGCGTTCACCCCTTCTCCGCCTAGGATATGCCACTTATCCGCGTAACAGGCCCTATCGTAGGGGGCGCATTCCCTAAAGGCGACCATGCCCCCAGGGCGGTCATCCCCGAGTACTTCTACGAGATATGCAAGGACCGCGAAATCATCGGAAGCTACGCGGTCAATGGCCCGCTCGCCGACGCTTCTGCAGAGACGCTCATCAAGGCGTGGACGCAGCGTATGGCGCCACATCGCTGCGTGGAGGTAGAGTTCTCTCCCCCTGAGGTATTCGACGAACAGTGAGCGCGATATTGTAGCCTACCTGGGGAATACGCAGAGAGTAACAATTTGCGCCCCAGCCTATTCGCAGACGCACACCGGCTCCTAGACGTCTGGCCGCAGTTCTCGCAATCACCCATCGTGCAACACTTCAGCTGGTCCGCGCTCGTCGAGCTCGCATTCGACACCAACCGGCACATCATCTCACCCTCCACCTCCCCGCTCGGCCCGCCGCTCTCCGCCGCCCCGCTCGCGGACGGCCTCGCGCGCTACACGCCCGCCCCCGGGCTCCTCGCGCTGCACATCCGACGCGGCGACTTCGGCGGGCACTGCTTCGACGTGCTCGCGCGCCGCTCCATAGGCTACACCGGCTTCAACTCGTTCCCGTCCCTCCCGGACCACTGGGAGCTGCCCGCGGACGCGTCCGCGCGCGAGAAGAATGCGCTGTATAGCCGGCATTGCTTCCCGGACATCGACGCGATTGTGCAGCGCGTGGAGGAGGTGCGCGCGGGGCCGCAGGGGCGGGGGCTGACGGATGTGTATATCATGACGAACGGGTCGCCGTCGTGGGTGGGGAGGCTGAAGGCGGCACTGAGGAGGAAGCACGCGTGGGCGAGCATTGCGAGCAGTAGGGACCTGATACTTACTCAGGAGCAGAAGTATGTTGCGCAGGCGGTGGATATGCTTGTCGCGCAGCAGGCGCAGGTATTCATCGGGAACGGGGTGAGTGAGCCTGCATGGCAGCTATTTCTATCCTACCGAGGACATGCGGGACATACTGACACTCTTTTCATGCAGTTCTCGACACTTTCTGGGATGGTTGTTATGCTCCGGATGGCCGGCGGCGTACCTCCAGAGGCAACTCGGCATTGGTAACACGCGCCATATGCTGGTCTACCTCTGTATCTGCTTGTGTAGAGGGGCGCTCCCTTGATTCCTTGCTCTATCGCCATATAGGAACCCCGAGGATGGAAGATATCTATCCGGTCATCTTGGTCAGCGAATTGATTACTGCGCTGCACCACGAACGCGTACATGTCGCAGTCTCGCAATGTCTAGCAGGCTATCACATTTCAAGCTTCCACGGTTGCGATTAAGTATCTTATGTTGGGTCTTTGCGGGATGCAACTGTGCTATAGTCCAACTCGTGCAATAGGTTCACAATAGGTTCTCCGAACATTTGCGCAAACTCCGAACCACACAAGGTTTAACGTTCGATGTGGGTGCCTACGATGTATTAGACGCCGGGCGCTATAGTAGTGCTTGCTTCCGCCGGCTTCCGCTCGGTGTACTCTTGAGTCCTCCAAGGCGATGAAGACGCCCTGGAGGGCTAGAACGATGCGTACTCATCCATTTCTAATCCTTCTGGGGAGCGTCGGTGGATAGAAGCGGGTTAGGAAGTCTGTAGGGGGGTCCGGTGACGAATGGTTGCGTGCTCGCAGACACTCTCAGCTGTGGGACGGCTGACTAAACCTCCTCCCTTAGCAAGAGCCCGTTCCCCTGCGAGATTCCCGGACAAGCTTACTTATCTGCGTCTTGACATCATATAAAGACCGCGGAAAGCATTCTACCACAGCATCGTACCCCGCATTCTCACCTCGCACCGACCGAGCTACCACACCCAGCACATCCAGACACACCGCCACCACTACCGCCATGACGTTCACGAACCCGGACACAGTGACCGCGACGCTCGACTACTTCACGCCCCCCGCAGACGGCTCGAAGCCATACAACTACATCACTTGGACGCCGTCGATGGGCGTCCCGCGCGCGAACTGGGAGCGCGTCCCGCACGAGGTCCAGATCGAGAACCTCCGCGGCGGGAAGGAGGGCTCCGTCTCGCTCGACACGACTGGGTTCCTGTACGGCCGAGGCGCGGCCGCGCACAAGACGTTCGAGAACGACGAGATCGTCGAAAAGGAGTATTACCCCGAGTCCATCGAGCTCGTCAAGAAGCTCACGGGCGCATCGCGCATCATCCCCTTCGACCACAGTGAGTGCTCCCGATCCGGCGCGTATCCTCCAAGCGCTTCATCCTAATGCCTACCTCTAGCAATCCGCCGCCGCCGCCCCGAAGAGACTGAGGACACCCCGCAGAAACGCCAACCCGTGCCCCTCGTACACATCGACCAGACCCCCGAGTCTGCGCGTGCGCGCGTAGAGCGCCACCTCCCCGCGGAGGACGTGCCCAAGCTGCTCGCGGGGCGCTTCCAGATCATCAACCTCTGGCGGCCGATCGGGCACCCCGCGTACGACTGGCCGCTCGCGCTGTGCGACTGGCGCAGCGTCGACCGCACGGGCGACCTCGTCGCGTCCACGCTGCGCTACCCGGACCGCGACGGGGAGACGTTTGGCGTGAAGTTCAACCCGAACCACAGGTGGAAGTACCTGCGTGGGATGACCTCAGAGGAGTTTGTGCTCATCAAGTGGTGCGTCTGTGGAGTGTTCTTTGAACGGAGGGCAGGATGCTGATTGGCGGTGACTTGCAGCTTCGACACGAAGGACGATGGCGAGACCGCGACCTTCACTCCGCACACTGCGTTCCAGGACCCGACGACGCCCAAGGACGCACCGCTGCGCGAATCCATTGAGCTCCGTCTCTTGGTGTTCTACGACTGAGAGCGCTGCGAGTTTGAAGGATTGTCACGATTATCATGCCCACCACGCTTTCCTGTAACATACCTACTGTACACCCCGCCCCCGTCGTTGTGATCGCTTTCAATTCTATGGGAGGTTAACATAATCGTATATGGTGCAGCAGTGCTTCCGTAGTACTGGTGTCCCAGACACTGAGCTTTGTGAGCTTTGACGCTCCTGGAGACGAGTAGGCCGCTCGGCTATCATCGAATGGCCTGAGAAACTACAACGGTGCCGGTTAGTCTAGTACGTCCACGCATCGTGCTCCCAACTAGAAAGCCGACTCGCTGCTCGCACCTTTTTCTCTCAGAAACTCTTGCCTACACCACCCCGCTACCAGTGGCATACCCGCCCCGGGCCGAGAGAAAATGCTCGGTATGCGCAAACCGCTGCCAGTGGTTGTAGTGGCTGCGGATCCCGGGTTGGGACCTTGCGAACACCGCCGCGGCCAGCTAGAATGCACGAAAATACAACCCGTGTCCGAGAAACACGACAGCAGTGACGACCGACGATGTCAAGGCCACTGGTGAATCTAAAGGCTTAATACCTTCACAATTGCAAGTCTGGCCCCTTGGGGGACCCGTGTTGCTCATTCCAAGACCGTACCCAAGCGCAAGTGAGTCCCGCTGCTAGACATAAAGTCTGAGTACAAGCTGAAAGAATTGTAGATGGAGGCAGGACGAGACGACGCTACTTTAATTGAAATGCGCGTGGAGACTGGATGATGGTACCTACGGGCGCCTGTTGACGATGCCGCGATCTGGACGAGGATGGGAATATGTCACCGTGCTCGACTCTACCACCATGCTCGCAAAAGTGCGCCCAGCTGTTTTGTACTTCTTCTCCCGATATTGACTTAGTCTCGGCCAGCATCTCAATCCCGACCAGCTCATCGAAGCCGCCAAGGTGAGAGCCAGTATTTACTCGTAGCTAAGTCTGATGGTGCACGAGATGTTAACAGCGTACGCAGGACAACGGCAAGGGCCATGGGATTCACATCCATAGCTCTACAAATCACCATTCTGTAAATGCGTATGGTGCGCGCTACGGCACGGAGCCAATCCCCAAGTACAGGCTACCATCCAAGGTACTTGTTATGTTAACGCAAACTATTGTGCTATTATTGACGCGGGCTCTGTAGGGAGTCGACGCAGAGACGGCGTATCAAGTGATACACGACGAGCTTGCGCTCGATGGCGCACCCGCGCTGAACCTCGCCTCCTTTGTGAACACCTGGATGCCCAAGCAGGCCAACCAGCTCATGATGGAAAATATATCGAAGAACTTCATCGACCAGGATGAATATCCTATGACCCGTGCGCGATCTCCCCTACGTAAACCCGTTCTCTGCTACATATACTGAAAACATCTGTGCAGAGGCTATACACACTCGCTGTATATCTATCCTCGCTGACCTGTGGCACGCGCCCTCAACACAACAAGCAATCGGCACCGCAACCACCGGCTCGTCCGAGGCCATCCAGCTCGGCGGGCTCGCGATGAAGCGCATCTGGCAGGAGAAGCGCAAGGCCGCGGGCAAGTCCATCCACGAGCCTGGTCCGAACATCGTCATGGGCGCGAACGCGCAGGTCGCGCTCGAGAAGTTTGCGCGCTACTTCGACGTCGAGGCGCGCCTCGTGCCTGTCTCCGAGGAGAGCCACTATAGGCTTGACCCACGCCGCGCGATGGAGTACGTCGACGAGAACACGATTGGCGTGTTCATAATTCTCGGCAGTACGTTCTCTGATCCCCGAATCGTATAATCACTCACAATCATGTGCTCTGCAGGCACGTACACGGGTCACTACGAACCAGTAAAGGAGGTCTCTGACCTGCTCGACGAATACGAAGCCCGCACGGGCCACTCCGTCCCGATCCACGTCGACGCCGCCTCCGGCGGATTCATCGCGCCCTTCGCCTCCCCCGCGCTCGAGTGGGACTTCCGCCTCCCGCGCGTCGTCTCCATCAACGCCTCCGGGCACAAGTTCGGGCTCGCGTACGTCGGCGTCGGCTGGGCGGTGTGGCGGGCGCAGGAACTCCTTCCGAAGGACCTCATCTTCGAGCTGCACTACCTCGGCTCCGTCGAGTACTCGTTCTCGCTCAACTTCTCGCGCCCGGCGCACCCTGTGATCGCACAGTACTTCAACTTTGTGCATCTGGGGCGCGCGGGGTATCGTGCTGTCGCGTTGCAGGATATGCAGAATGCGAGGCTGTTGAGCAGGGCGCTGGAGGGGAGCGGGATGTTCACAGTGTTGAGCGATATTCACCGTCCGGCGGATAAGCTTGCAGCGACGATCAAGGCAACGGTCGGCTTTGACGAGGAGGACATCGACGTGAGCCGCTCATATCAACCCCGCCGGCTTTAATTGCAGCAGCGACTGACGGCTCCCCACAGAACTACGTGCCCGGTCTTCCCGTAGTGGCGTTCAAATTCTCAGACGAGTTCAGGACGAAGTACCCGGACGTGCAGCAGAAGTGGGTGCAGGTCCTGCTCCGCGCGAAGGGCTGGATCGTGCCCAACTACGAGCTCCCCCCAGACCTGCAGGCGACGGAGATCCTGCGCGTCGTCGTGCGCGAGAACACGACCGCGACGATGGTCGACCGGCTTGTGGCTGATCTTGTGAGTGCTGTCGTCACTCGTGTGTGCGGTATTGTGTAGGGCTAATGGTGATATGATGTACAGATTGAGGTCATGGAGGGGCTCGCGAAGGCGGACTCGCCGATGCACGCGCTTGCGGTGCTGGGCGGCCGGAAGTCCGTCGAGAGCCATCATGGCCGGTTGGAGGAGGGGTCGGGCAGCAAGCCGAGTGGAACTTATGCTAGGCAGTGTTAATGGCCTCCCGGTCAGGTGGATTAGGTGTCCTGGGGAATATCAAAGGTAACACAGCGAACGGGATAGTCACGAAGTAAATGGTCATTTGTTGTCTAGATAGGTCCGCATGCATCTATACCAATGTAGAGTACATCAGTTCCATCACAATCAATTAGACGATTTTCGGGGCTCTGTATAGGACTTGCCTACGTGGACAAATCGCCAGCATGGGTGCATCGTCATCGCGACTATGTCGTGCTTCTACCTCCGAGTCGCCCGGACCTTCTCTCAGTACAGACACTGTATCCCTCGTAAAATTCCGCCTGATGCATCTATTCATATGTGCAATCTTCTCCCACCCAAACCTGGACGCCACCACTTGCTCATACAATGCTCACGCTCCAGTAGAGCATCTGCGTACGACGCAGGTCGACTGGTGCCTGTGCCCCCAACGCGGCCTCCAGCTTGGCCTCGACGACGACCCTCCTCGCGAACTCCTCGCCCTCCACTTCCGCAAACGCTTTCTTCCAAAGGCGCGGCCAGGACGACTCGGAATGACCGTAGCGCTTCCTGCTCCCCGGGACGTCAGAATCCGTCGTTATGATCGTCAAAACGACTCAGAACAACGTACCGTCCTAGATGGTCGTCGATATATCCCTCCTCCACCAGACCCGCGTGGCGGCCAAACACTACCCCACTCGGACGGCGCTTCAAGAGCGTCACGATCCGCACAGCCAGCCCATACTGCGTCTTCTCGTCAAACAGATGGAACAGCGCGCCCGTGTAGATGTGCGTGAGCGCGCCGCGCAGCTGCCCTAAATCCGAAACGGCCGCCGGGTCGGGGGGCGCGGCGATGGCGTCGGCGTCGGCGCTCAACTCAGAGGGCAGTGGGAGGTCGAAGACGTTGGAGGTGAAGAAGCGGACGGGGCAGGTGAAGGCGTCGCCGAAGAGCTCGTGTCCGAGCTGGATGTATTCGGGGCGGAGGTCGCACCCGAGGACCTGCGAGGCGGGGTAGCCGTCGCGGACGAGCTTGCGCACGTCCGTTCCCACTATCGGGCCATTGTTAACTGCGTTGAAGGCGGTGGATATCCACCAGCGAGGGCACGTACTGCAGCATCCAAGGTCCAGCAACAGACTGGTGCTGTCGCTCTTTCCTGCGGCGAGCACGGAGGGGTATACGGTGTTTTTATGCATCATTAGGTTAACAAAATGGAAGGCGCAGATGCATGGGTACGGATATTTCTCGCTGCACGTCGCGGTGGGATGCGTATAAGCTCAGCGTTGTTGAAGCTCTGATGTCCGAAGACTCACTATGCTCTATCGAGACGCAATGGTCAGAACGTTCAAGCCACATGCTGTGACAGATATTAGGGACCTACCGCTTCTGCACATCGTAGATTCGCGCTTTGAGCACCTCCTCATCTTCGGTTATCGCAGCCCGAAGGAAAGCGTGCTCTTCGTCCGAGAGACGAAGCAGGGCAGGGTCAAGCGGTGGAATGACAGAAGGCTCGACTTGTCCCTCTGGATTGACCATGGTGTTGCTCGTCGTTCAATTACAACGGTAGTCAGATAACACATCCCGATACTGTGGACCTGTCATTCAAGGCCTGTGAGAACGGTTGTCGTGATAAGTCGCGACGCAGACCCTGGCAGTTGGACGCTGAAACATTCCCTGCAGCATGAGTGACGTCACCTGATATGTTCTTTCTTGCGCAAAAAATGGCCAGACAGTCAAGCATGTATCTATATGAATGTTTGAGCGAGTGAGTGAGTGGCGCACAATGGGCGTACTATGGGACGGAGTGCAAAGACAGCGCTCTAGAAGCGCCGGCGCTCAAGCCAGTTACATCCAGCGCTTAACATGCCCACTAGGTTGCTTTCTCGCCATGATGTACGGCAAAGGAGGCTGTAGCAAACAGGTCAGTTTGTTTACATTCGAAGCGTATCGTGGAGACTGACATTTCCAAAAGGCACTATATATGTAATCCGTATGGTCGTAAACCTCCATCGCTACGCCGGACACGCTGAATCAATACGCAGTACGGATCACTACGTTTCAAAAGAGAATTCGAACTCTGGCGGCCTTTGTAGCGCACGCCTCCACTCGTCCGGGTTGTCTAATTATACATGTCCACGCTAACTCCGCACATGAATAGGGCATTTGTAGGATTCGCTATGCCCAACGCACGGCCACAAGAATAGCCATGGCAAGGTTGTTGGAAAGACTACTGCCGACGTCCGACTCTCTGGATCCGTCTCCTCTTTGGGCGCGGCCATATGCCACCCATGTCGAGATGTCTACGCGCAACCTTGCACGACAGCGCGGTTCGCCCGGGCGTGGCACGATTCTGCCGGTTGGCGCACACGCTGGAGGGACGGCGTCTCGGCATCTGGCACGAACGTGCGTGGCCATCGCAATCCCACATCAAGAGCTTGAGCAACGGGGGCCTCTATTGGCCTGTCACCCGCTTGGAGCCTTGCCGTATATAAGTGAGGGGTGATGAGAAAGGTCAGGGCGCCGATCCCACCGACGAGGATGCAGGCAATCATGCGTGTTCTAACCCTTGCGACGCTGCTCTCAGCGCAGACAGGGATTTCCCTTGGGCGTCCGTTTGGACAACATTTACCTCGCGCGGCCACGGAACCCGACCCTTCCTTCTTCGTGAACATCTCCTTGAATGGGAAGCAGTACGTTAACAAGGTGCGTAAGGCGGAGTTATGGCTCAAACGTGCGACGACACTGATCTTCTGTGGATCCAGGGTCTTGTCGCCTTTGGGTTGATACCATCGAACTTTGTGGAGTCGACAGGTGCGTAATCTCCGTTTAACACTCACCCACTGTGATCTCATAATGTACCAGGCGATACGCTGGGAGGTATCGGCAGCGCTATCGCGCTCAAAAGGGGATCGTTTGCCCAGCTATCCAACGGCTCGTTCACGGGTACGATCGTCGCTCAACCCGACAGGGGCTTTAACATGTAAAAGTCCAAGTGAAAAATCTTCCATACGCGCTTCACTGACAGTTTCTCTCACAGCGACGGGACGATCGACTATCAAGCACGGCAACACCAGATTGATTTTGTCTTGTCGCCGTATTATGACGCCGACAATCTCGATTTCGCGGACGGGCTGAAGACACTCCAACTCACATACAGGGATACTCTCCTGTATACCGAACGAGAGTCACAGAAGACGACTGGTCTGGATGCGTTGGGAGTACGCCAGGCAGAGACGCTCAGTCCCCCTGCGATCAACGACCCTCCTATGCCCATTGCCCCTTCTAACGGTCATCTCGCTGTGGATGCGGAGGGTCTCGCGCTTAACGCTGATGGGACGTACGTACCACTTCTCCTCGGTTGTGACTCGGTGCTCATGGACAGTGATTGGGCAGTTTCTGGGTCAGCGAGGAATATGGACCGTACATCTACCTGATGTCCGCTGAGGGCCAGCTTATCGAGACCATATCACCACCCGAAGCAATCCTTCCTTTCATCGACGGCGCGCTGAACTTCACGTCGGACACGGACCCGGATACCGGACGCGCTGGAAATCAGGGTCGGTTCCCCGTACAGCTGCTCGGATCGCATCCATAACTGACTATATGCACGCAGGTTTCGAGGGGCTTACGTTAAATGACTCAGGGGAGACACTTTATGCGCTTCTCCAATCCGCAACGATCCAAGACGGCGGCTCTGACAAGTCGACCTCCCGCTTTACGCGCCTATTGGCATACAACGTCTCAAACACCCTCACCATGCGCCCATCGCTGATCGGCGAATGGGTCGTACCTCTGCCCCAGAACAAGAAGGGAAACACGCTCGCCGCGAGCGAAGTCCACTTTGTGAGCGACGGCGTCTTCCTCGTCCTGTCCCGCGACGGGGACGGCCATGGCGGAGATGACGACAATTCGGCGTTCAAGTGAGCCTCACCTCCCTACTTTGCAACCATGTTACCGATGCTAGACTATCACTCAGGCAAGCTGACCTCCTCGATATATCGAGCGCAACGGATATTCACGGGACTGACTTCGACGACCCGAGCAACCCCATCGCCAAGAAGGGCAAGCTAGATAAGAGCATCACACCGGGAACATACGTTGACTTTGTCGACTTCATCGACGACACGCAACTGGCTCGTTTCGGTGTCCATAACGGTCAGTCATCACTGGCATTCTACTTGGGTGCCATCTCATACGCTCCTCAGGCAAACCGGCCGACCAGACCCTCATCGACGCGAAGTGGGAGTCCCTTGCGCTGGCACCCTGCTTGGACCCGACCTTCCCGGACGACTTCTTCCTCTTCACCGCGGTATGTCGTGTTCCCCGACTTTTCACTCAGTCAAATCACTGATAGCTGCTTGCTGTCAGGCCGACAACGACTTCATCAGCACCCAGGGCATCGCACTGGGCGTGCCATTCAACGCGGGGTTGGACAACGACAACCAGTTCATGGTGTTCCGCGTAACGCTCCCCGGCGCATCGGCCGCCAGTGTCCTACAATCCTAGCTGTCACATAAATACATAAATAGCATGCAAAGGTCATATACATATCAGCGTGGCGTGTTGTCGCTATCCGCAGACGGTGGCGTATTGTTTTTCGAGGAGGCCAAAAAGAGTGCTCTAGTCGGGATCGAACCAGAGACCTTCGACTTAAGCCGCGTCTATGGGTTCGATCCCACTTACAAGGGGCAAAAATCCTTCGAACCGGGATCGAACCAGTGACCTTGGGATGATCTCAGGGATTGGGGGTACAATCCTGGTTTCCAATTACAGTCCCACGCTCTTCCAACTGAGCTATCGAAGGCTTGACAAAGGTTGGTCAGAGATTGCTATGTGTCCACAGCACATCCTCTGAAACCATCGGCGGGCCGGACAGCCGGAGGAGGCCATGAAGCGCGACGGGCGGATGGAGCAGCGCGTTTGCAGCTTGAACACAGCCGCGAGGATGCTCTGGCGCTCGCTCGTATTCGTGTCGTGTGCAAGCTTCGTCTACTCATCCTCGTCGTCTGCGAATGAACAGCAGCTTTTCGTAACCCCCAGTGGTCCCAGCCAAGGTGTCCTCAAACGATACGCCTTCCCGCGGCTCCAGGGCTTGCGCCCAGAGGACCTACTCGAACAGGCAGAGGTTAGCGTTCTAGCCCGGGCCTCATATATTTAAGACACACTAACATTGCTATACTTTCAGGCTTCAGATGCCACCATATGGGCTGTAGGGCCATCTCATGTGGACGTTGTCTTCCAGAGTCCTGGGCAGCGATGGGACCTCCCCTACTCGGAAGTAGGCTCGCTATCGCTTAACAGCCTGGAAGACCTGCACCGCTATACTGGTCAATGGGACCTCGGGTCCCTGTCGAACTCGACGTACCACTCTGTCTACCACCCTCTATACGAGATAGAGGGCTTCGTCGAAACGGTCGCGCGCACACACCCACACCTCGTCCAGCTCGTAAACCTAGGACACTCTGCCGAAGGCAGAGAAATGACCGCGATGCGCATATCCAGGGGCGACGACGCACTACGAAAGACCTCTAGGAAAGAGAAAGTCGGGTTCGTCCTTACGGGCGCCCAGCACGCTCGCGAGGTCAGCACGCCCGACCGTGCCAGACGTCGTGCTGCACTCACCTTCACATGCTTCACACGCGTAGTGGATAGCGACATCAACGGCGCTGTACCTCACACATGCCCTGCTTGCCGATGAAGCCGAGGACTTCGGCCTGTCTTCTTGGCTGGATTACTTCGTGAGCATATACGGTATTCAAACGCTGCTGCACTATTGACCGTTGTGCTGTAGGACTTCTATATCATTCCGGTACCCAACCCGGATGGCTATGTCCACACCTGGAATCAAGACCGACTTTGGTAAGGCATGCCCACTACGCTTGTTTCGAGTATCATACTGAACAAGTCCAACTAGGTACAAAAACAGGCAGATCGTCGGCCCGGCCGAGAAGTGCGTAGGAGTCGATATGAACAGGTTCGTGCGCTCCACCCGTCACTCATAAAGCAGAAATAGACCCCTTTTGCAGGAATTGGGTACGTCTCATTAGCACGTACCGCGCATGTATCCCCCAATCTTCTCCTCAGGGCCACAAGTGGAAGTCAAAATCCCATCTACCCTCGCTCACCGGAGACGCCAACGTGACGTCGTCCAACAAGCAACGGGAGGCCGACCCCTGCTCGCCGTGGTACCCGGGACACCGCCCGTTCGAGGCCCCAGAAGTGAATAACATCGCGAATTTCATCACGACTCTACCTTCACTCAAGGCCTACGTCGACCTCCGGAGCTACGGACAAATGCGTAAGTACCCTGCCACTGCTGCTGAACCATGACACGAGACTCGGGCTGATGTCACTGGGAAGTGTCGACGCCGTATTCGTTCTCGTGCAAGAAGTACCCGAAGGACGCGGAGGACCTGCTGGAGGCCGCGCTCGGTGCTGCCCACGCGATCAAGCAAATTCATGGCACTCCGTTCACCGTAAGCCTGTCTGTAGCATATGTAACAGTCTACTTATCACCATGGCAGACCGGCAGCCTTTGCGAGCAGCTGTATAAGTGCGCTCTCTCTGATCCCTGCCTGGCGTGAGCTTGCGAGTCTAACCCGTATGTATCTTGCAGAGCGTCCGGGAACGTCGTCGACTACATGTACGCCAAGGCGGGCATTAAGTTTTCTTACTCCGTCCATCTGCGCGACACCGGCACGGTTCGCTCGTCCGTCTCTTTGCGTCTCCACTACAAAGCTCACGCCTTTCGCAGTACGGCTTTTCCCTCCCCGCGCAGTGGATCAGGCCGGTTGGCGAGGAGACGTCGAGCATGATTCATTTCCTCGCGGGCTTCATCTCTGGCCGCAACAAGAAAGGTGCGAATGCCTCTCCTCCCTTCGCGCACATATCCCGCTCACCTGAACCCAGGTCGCCAGTGTAACATCGTATGTTCAGTCTGGTCGTGTCTGTGAAGAGTCCTGCTTCCGATATCTTCCGAGCGTGCGTATGTACGAATATAACCTGCGGAGTCCACACACATACTTGGTTTGAAAGGTGCGCCACGATGAGTGCGAAGCAGGCTCGTCCAGAGATACGTCCGCAGAGAAAGAGGGGTGTTGGTATATTGAGACTGTACAACTGGCGCGATCTATGCGCGAACACAGCACGTATGGACAAGGATGGAGGCCGGGGATGGGGGATGGGAGAGGATGAGTATATGCGAGGGCTAATAATGCAACAGGTGCGGGGCGGGGGCCCGTCCGAACGTCCGTGGAAATAGTAGATGCATGCTACATAGTTAGAGAAGATAATCACAGAAAAGCAGCGGGGCGTGTCCGTGCGCGGGCGTCGTGTGCGCACAGCAGCAGCGGCCCCGCGTGTCGTCGTCGTCGTAGCGTCAGAGAGACATCATTCATGAGAACTCGCGCCCTAGCGCGCTCCGCCGCCGCTCGTCGCTGGAGTTGATCTCGGGGTCCATGCGTCCAATAACCTCCTCTGACGCGATACTGAACCCGCTCCGCACGCTCCCAGTCGACCCCATCCGTGGGCGCACGTAGTTCGGCGGGAGCCCCATTCCGTCCGGCAGTGCTGATAGCACACCTGCGCGCGGGCCTTCCAACGGACCATCGCGCCGCGCACTCCCCGTATACGCAATGGGGTCGAGCGGCGCGCGACGGGAACTCGAACTCCGCTCCGCCGTAGTCGACACCGGGCTCCTGCTGCCGCTCGACTTGCGCGGACCGAAGACCTGCAGGGACTCGAGGAAGTTCTCGTTCATCTCGCGGAGGCGTTCGTCAACGTCGCCCTCCGTCGCGAGCATCGGGAACGGCGTGGACACCGTGCGCGCACGTGTGGGGGCAAGAGGGGCAACCTCGCGGTCGCTCGACTCGGACTCCTCGCGGATGGTGTGCTCGCGCCCGTGGCGTGGGGGGCTCGGCGCGGGCGAGTCGTCGCGCCTAGAGAGTGGCTTGCGCGCGTCGATGTCCTGCACGAACGTCGAGATGTCGTCATCGTCCGTGTGTGTACTCAAGTATGACGTGCCCTGCGCGCGTGTATATTGAGTTTCGACGATCCCCAAACGTCAGAGGGATCGACTTACCGGGACCTTCTCCAGCTCCTTGATTGCGCCTCCCCTAGGACTGCTTCGCGGACTGGCCTCCCGACTAAGAGGTGTCCCGGGCGGGCGACTAAAGCTACTTGTGTACCTGCGGCCTTGCTGTCTAGGTGAGCCTTGCAGGCCCCCTGAGGCGGGGCTGGCAGGCACGCCCTCCCCTGAGGCTGGTGATCGCCCCGAACCCAGGCTCGACGGCGCGAAGGTCGGAGACGGTCGGAAGGGAGTGACAGGGGAAGATGCGAAGTTGCTCCCAGCACCTATGGGCGACGGGGGCACGCGGGATGCCGTGGGTGACTGCGCTGGACGCGACGGAAGTGACGGGCCGGCCATTGAGAGCGGAGACTGCTGCCGCAGGGACGGTGACGGCGAGTGAAGAGAAGGTGAACCGGATGAGATTGTAGACGACTTGAACGCGTTCACCGACGTGATTGGCGTGCGGCGGATCGGTACACCTCCGGCGGTCGCGCCATCCTGCTATAGGGGCGTCAGTGATCGCATACACCCGCACGATGATGTCGCGTACCGAGCTTCTACCATGCAAGCTCTCGCGTCGAACGCGAGCAGCGAGTGCGGACACATCCTCACGCGACCCTAAAGAGGCCGCACCCTGCCTGGATGAAGACGAGTCTGACACACCGGACGTGCCCATGCCCGCTCCAGATAGATTGCGTGTGACTGGGAGCGCGATGTTGCCCAGCCGCGGGCTTCCGCTTGGGCTTCCTCGAATACCTTGCGTCGAGGAAAATGATGTCGTCCGGGTATGTGTAGACGGCGGAATGACAAAACGTTCCGCGACTGATCGCGGTGGTGAACGAGGGAGTGAAGTGCGCAGGGCTAAGCTCCCGGGCGAGCCCGATATGCTGTCGCGCTGCTGGTTCTTCACCAGGGTCGGCGTGAAGTCTGGGCCCTCTGAAAGGAACCGCGAGGACAGTAGCGACTCCTTCGTGTCTAGCTGAAAGTTGGGGTGTAGCAAATATGTCGCTGAGATTCCCAGTTCGCCCATGGGGTGCGTGATAGGGGGCAGTACATGCCTCTCCCTCTTCAGTACTGATGCCACAGACGCGGGGGTGGTATCTGGTTTTCAAAGCCTCGGTTAGCGGCCATTGTTCACGCGCGCCCACCCGCTACGGGGCAAGTGGGTACAAGTGACTCACCGAAGGTCATAATTTCATCAGGCCGAATGCTTCCATCGACGCTGTCCACACGTAGACGAATACTGAAGTTCCCATTGCGGTTGCCGCCCACCCGCCTGCGCAGCCGACGCGCGAGCTTCCAGGCGGGCAGCACACGGAGCAGCGTGAATATGCTCCGGAAGAGCGGGATGCCGTGCTTGTATATGGTCGACGGCGCGACGTCCGTGCGATCGTCGCTGTAATGGGATCCGGCGCGGTTCGGGGCGAACTCGAGGTCCCAAGCCTCGAGCACGATGAAGCGCGGGGTAGGGTCGATGCGCACGCGCGACGAGTCGGGGGCGGTGTAGACGAGAACTTGGTTGGTAGCTAACTCGGGGATACATAGGAGGACTTGGAGCTGGAAGAGGGGGACGGAGGGCGAGGTCGAGATAGAGCGATAGATACGGGTGTGATCCTTGAAGAGCTCCGGGTCTGGGGTCTCCAGGTTGAACTGGAGCGCGGCGCGTGTGTCAACCCGGGTTCGCAAGGACATGTAGGGGGCACTTACCCACTTGTCAACCTTAGCGTTGGGCGGGGGCTCGATGGTGGCTCGTGCATGGTTGACGACCAGGGCGAGTTTAGAGTATAACCTATGAGCTATCTGGTCGGCTCTCTGGGTGTCATTGGACATGGCAGAGCGCGGGGGTGACAACGTGCGGGAAGCTAGCGAGACATGAGGGCGTATATGTAGGATTCTGCGTGGCGGCGGGGGATGGTAGTGGTGGAAGGAAAGGAGGACGAGTCGAGGCTGTCACCGCTCGCGCGGAAGGCGAGGGTGGGCGTCTAAAGTGTGGGGGTTCTGAGCCCCGCAGTGCCGGATCGAGTGTGCTTGCGGTTGCAGTTCCTGCCTGTTCTAGCCGCGCACCCACCTCCTCCGCATCCGCGCACACGAGTCACTGTCAGGCCGTCTGAGACAAAGAGCGGTCGCTTTCTATATATGAGTCTACATATACAGCCCGCGTGCAACGAGGCGCGTCCACATTAACAGTCCCCGCGGATCGCTACCCCGTACTCGGAATCGATGGTGTCCGTACCAGTGCTCGACACGTTGTGCCATCGACAAATGGCAGGAGGGCACGCCTTCCCTCCCCTGTGCCCTGTCCATCGTGGTGGATAGTGGATCGTACCACCGTGCCTAGGGTGACGCGGCCATCGACACTGCGAACGTGAATGCAGGCCGTTGTCCGGCCACGCGCACGCGCCTAGAACGAAACAACCTTCAGCAGTCCTTCAGCAAAACAGACTTTCGCACTAGAAGCGCCGTGCTCGACCTGCGTACCTACGCGTGCCCAGGTCACCACGCCCTCTCGTAAGTGAAGCCTGCAAGCGAGCATCGATCTGTTCTCTCAGGAATTCCGCGGCAGAAACCACCAGCCAACGCCCGCGGTCCACCCAGGGGTCGCCGTGTCTTGCAACCGGACGTTCTCGACGCGATGCCACCACTTGCGCGGCACAAAGAGCGTGTCTCCCTCGCGCAGGACGCAGCTCATAGCCCCTCCTGACTCGGAAAGAGCCTCCCTTGTGTTTACGGGCGCGGTGGACGGATCGATCAGGACGTCGAACGCATTCTCAGACGAGTCAGCGCGGAGGTGCAGATCCACGGGAGATGTGTTGCGCAGCACTGACCCGTCCGCGCGCGATAGGGACTCCGACAGGTCAGGCGGGAGCAGCACGAAGTGCTTCGCGTGTACGCTCGGGTCCGAGGACGCGTAGACGTTGTACAGATTGAAGTACGGGTCATAATGCAGCGGAGTGATCTGTGCGCGGGGCCGCGCGATAAGAAAGCGTGAGTCGAGCAGGGATCATGGGACGCGTACCGTGGAAGAAGGGCCGATAAAGAAGCTGGACTGGTACAAGTCTACAACATGGTTCTCGAGAAGCGGGTCGAGGAGAGACGGGACTTGCACAACCTCCGCCAATCCAGGAACCTATGGCATAATTCGTGAGTTGACTCTTGGCTCGCTAGGCCAACGATGCGAATGTACTTGAAGGGGGGACGAGTATACTAGCAGTTGACTGGCCCGCAAGCACAGTCGTGTATATGCGACCTTTCCCAGCCTGGATTCAGAGATTGAAATCAAACGCACCTCATCCCGCGCCCTCCACTGCGCGAGGTACAACTGCATGCGTTCACCCTCCACAGCACCTGCCCCTTGCGCCCCAGTCAACCACTCCAAATACACGCTTAACGGCGCGTCCACCCGACCGCCCGTACCCAAGCTATCCGTAGTAGCTTTGTCGTACCGTCCGACCTCGACTTCTACAAGCCGATCGCCCGCGGCTCGCAGTGTGCCTAACAGTGTTTCGGCCCGACTGCAAGCGGCGGGAAGGTTTTGTGGGCGCGTGTGGGCGCGCAAAAGCAGCGGGGCGGCGGTGGGCGAGCGTAGGTACTCGAGGAAAGCTTGCGGGGAAGAAGCGAGCGAGTCAGGAGCCTCGGGAACCGGACGCGTAGTCAAGACATGGTGGCCATCGAGAGGCAGACGATCAGACCCGCTGATGTTGGCGAAGGTGCGCGATAGCCTGACAAGCCTATGTTGCCTCAAGAAGTTGCATGAGGTAGAGATGCGAGGTTGCGGTCGCACACCCACCCGCGGGAGTGTCATGGACGTGGTCAAGGTGCATGTCGCGCGCGCTTGGCCGATCCCAACCCGCTTTCCGTACGTCCGCCAAGCGCACGAATGTCATGACAGCTTCAAAGGTATGGAATGCATTACTTTAACTATTACCGAAGGCCTTACCTATCACTGTACCAATATCAAACAGCAAGGGTATGAATATTTGCTCTACAACACGGGTGTATGCGTGCGGAAAGGATATCATCGACTGGTCATCATTATCAAGACATGAGCATGAACAGCGTCGTGCCGTGCCCGCGAGCGGAATATACACGTACACGGTCGGGGGAGAACAGCTACCACACGGGTGGGGAGTGAAATCCGGGATATCGCGAGGAGGGAAAGGGGAAAAGAGGCGGGGCGAGGGGGCGGGTCGGATTTACTTCTCCTCGTAGTGGCCCTCGGTGATGTCGTTCAACTCGTCCTCCCGGGCGTCGAGCTCGCGGTACTGGAACCAGAAGATCGTGCCCGCGATGAACGCAAGCACGCCCATGACGCCGTAGTTCCACACGAGCAGCGGGTCCGACGACAGCGCGACAAACGCCTCCCCGAGCGCGGCTGAAATCGCCTGCATAAACAGGTATGCGCCCATGACGAGCGAGCGCATGTTCTTCGGGGCCTTCGTGAACGCGTACTCGAGGCCCGTGATCGACGCGAAGATCTCCGAGAACGCGAGCAGCACGTACGAGCCCGTCTGGATCCAGACGTTCAGATCCGACGTCAGCGGCTCGCCAGCCGCATCCTTGCAGGTCGCGACGAACTTCCCACAAGGGTTGCGCTGGTAGATGTAGTGTTGGACGACCGTGGCCCAGATCATCGCCGCAGAACCAAGGAAGAAGCCGAGCGCGATGCGCTTGACGGGCGTAAAGTTGAATCCGAGGCGCCGCAAACCGGGGTAGACGAACACGTCGACGATTGGGATGAAGATGATGAGTGCGAATGGGTCCAGATTGGATAGTACGTCGTTGGGGACGCCATTCGTGACCATCGTCGCGGCCTGCGACGTCAGGTTGTTGTTCAACTGGTTGTAGGTGAGCCCTAAGAACCGACATATAGTGAGCGAAATGCACTGTAACGGATGGGGCGCCACATGCTCACAGTAGACGGGATACCACAAGAACACGCTGCAAGCCTTGAAGCCGCGCTTGACCTCATCGACCCACTGGTCGTCAAAGGTCATCCAAGTGGGGCGGGTCTCCTCGTTGAAGTTGCTGGGCTTGACATTCTCCCAGAAGTCCGCGGCGCTCAGGTTACGGAAAGTCCGTACGGGGTTCCATGACCAACGGCCCTTCGCGGCGAACCGCCATAGTCGGAGAGACTTGCCGAGAACGGAGCCCTGAGGAGGCGAGGTGATGTACATATGGCGGCCGAAGTACAACACGAAGGGGCAAAGACAGAAGACCAGCGTCGGGAGAGTAAACGAGAGCCAGAAGCCAACGTACTACAGAGTTTTGTCAGTACCCGTACAGCGCATTGGCTTTGATATAGCGACGTACCTTCTCGGAGTAAGCCATGGAGATCTGACCGACAAGCGCACCAATGTTGATGAACATATAGAAGTACATATAGATCCTGGAGGTCGTCATCAAGGGATCCACGATGACGCGCTCTCCGCTCTTCGTGTGGCCAATGAAGAGCTTGGTCCGCTTGTACTGCTCGGCGACGAGCGGCGAGATGTTAGCCTTGAAACCACCGGTGCCGACGCCCATGATGATAATCGCAATGATGAAGCATGCGAGGGAGCCGTGTGAGTGCTCGATGACGCCGGGGACCGCAGAGACGATGAGGAGGACGTGGCCGACGAGTGCGACACCGATGGCAATGCAGATGGTCTTGAACCGACCCCATCGCGTGTCGGCGATGTACGCACCGAAAAGAGGGATAACGTACACCCAGAAGGTGTTGAATGTGCCGATACCGGTAGATGTGCGCTGGCCAAGGCCAAGGGCACCCGCCTGCTTTACGTCGGCGCCTGTTTTTGAACCCGGGGGTAGCCGTTGTTGCAAGAAGTTGGTCTACAAAATGCGGGTTAGCAATCAGTGAAATACAGCGGGTGATGGATGAGGATCGAGGACGTACGAAGACGACGGTGGAACCGTAGTAGGAAAACCGCTCTGCCAACTCGCAGAACGCGATCACTTCAAACTAGCATGAGGACGACGATCGGACGTTGTGTGATCGGGGGAGACTCACAGTACGCGCTCCAGGGAATGGTGTCTGAGACGTGTCGGAGTGTGTGGCGTTCTTCTTTGGTGGGGAACTCGAGACCATCATGGATGCCGTCGGGCTCGTGCCCTTCCGAGGTGGAATCGTCGATGTCCTTCTCGTACTCGTCGCGCTTGGCCTCCGCGAGACCAGCGATGATGTCTTTATCAGCCTGCAGACCAGCCATATCGCTCAGTGAAGAGGTGGTCGGAGGGAAGAGTCGCAGGGGCGAGCAACTCTGTCTGGGACAGGAAGAGATTCGGCCTGGGGACAGACGGAGAGAGCCTCGTAGACGGCGGAGAGGTGCGAGAGCTTTTAAGAGCGCATGGCCCGGACGTCCATATGGTTCTCTCCAGTCCTTCCACCCGGACATCAGATCCACTAGCTGTGCCCAGCAATTGATGCAGGCACCACGCTGCCTGCGTTGTGTGCGAGGGACATCCCGCTTCTGTTATGCTGCGTACATGATATCGGCTTGGGCGCGGCGATTGACGGTACGCATGATCCGCACTTATCGGCGTGACATTGTACGTGCCATCGCGCATGAAGTACGGGTCATGGTGCAACAACGGTCACGGTTCACCTATATACCATCCGCGCGATAAGAAAATTTGAATCGGGCAGGAGGGATCATGACCGCGCACCGTGGAAGTCTTGATGAAAAATCCGGGTTGGTACAGGCCCATAGCGTGGTTCTCAAGGAGCGGGAGCAAGGTGAGACGCGACCTCCGCCAACCCACTCGAACGGTGAACCTGTAGGGCAACGTGTTATGTAGCTAGCTTGGTACAAGCGAATTGTGTATTCATGTTAATCACCAGTGAGCTCCCAGTCCGGACCCACAGGATGAAATGAAATGTGCCTCACCATCAACGACTCCGAATACAGAGTCAGCGGTGTGTCCACGCGTCCGGTTGTAACCAGGCTATCGGTGGTGGCAGCTTTGTCGTACCGTCCGATCTCGATCTCACCCGAAATTTGTGACAAGGGCTGCCCCGCGGCCCGTAGCGTCTGTATCCATCAACGCTCGGCCCTGACGGAACAGCAATGTGGGCGCATATGGGCGCACAAGAGTAGGCGAGCGGGGGCGACGTGGGTACGGAAGAGACCTCTGAACGTCGGGCTACGTCGGGGCGCGTTTTTGGTACCGGGAAGGCACCGAGCGGTTTGGCCTCAAGCTCCTGGCGATGGTCAATGTGTGCGAGAGCTTTCTATGGAACTTGTAACGTCTTTCTCAGTAGAACGAGGTAGAAATGCAGGTCGCGCTCACAAACCGACCTGCAAGAGCATCATGGACGGAGTCAAAGCCCATTGAGGGCAGGCGCTCCGCATCCCCGCCGCTAACCCAATAGGCGCACAAGTACTCGCGAGCCGGCGCGACGCCGTGAGTGATTGAGAGTGTTTGGGATGCATTACTGGCACATTAGCTACACTCGAAAGCCCTACCTACTAGCAATACCAAACAGCAAAGGTCATAAACATCTGCTCTACAACACGATTGTATGCATGTGGGAGGGTTATCATCGACGGGTCATCATCATCACAAGACATGAGCACGAACAGCATCGTGCCGTGCCCGCGGGCAGAATATACACGTACACGGTCCGACAGCACAAAAGCACTACTACTACGTGGGAGGAGAGATCCGGGACACCAACAGCAGAGGAGAGGAAGGGGAGGGGGAAGGAGGCGGGAAGGAGGCGGAGGTGTATGCGGATTTACTTCGCGTCGTAGTGACCCTCGGACAGGTCGTTGAGGTCGTCCTCTTGGGAGTCAAGTTCGCGGTACTGGAACCAGAAGATCGTGCCCGCGATGAACGCAAGCACGCCCATGACGCCGTAGTTCCAAACGAGGAGCGGGTCCGACGAGAGCGCGACGAACGCCTCCCCGAGCGCGGCTGAAATCGCCTGCATGAAGAGGAAGACAGCCATGACGAGCGAACGCATGTTCTTCGGTGCCTTAGTGAAAGCGTACTCGAGACCCGTGATCGACGCGAAGATCTCCGAGAATGCGAGGATAACGTATGACCCGGTCTGAATCCACACGTTCAGGTCCGACGTCAGCGGTTCGCCCGCGGCGTCCTTGCAGGTCGCGACGAAGTTCCCACATGGGTTGCGCTTGTAGATATAGTGCTGCACAACCGCGGCCCAAACCATCGCCGCGGAACCCAGGAAGAACCCGAGCGTGATACGCTTGAGGGGCGTGAAGTTGATCCCGAGGCGACGGAGACCGGGGTAGACGAAGACATCGACGATCGGGATGAAGATGATGAGTGCGAAGGGGTCCAGGTTGGAAAGTACGTCGTTCGGGATGCCGTTCGTGACCATCGTCGCGGCCTGCGACGTCAGGTTGTTGTTCAGTTGGTTGTACGTGAGCCCTGCAAGAAAAGGGATGATCAGCGACATGGGTTGAATTGAACAGAGCGCCATACTCACAGTAGATAGGATACCACATAAACACGCTGCAAGCCTTGAAGCCGCGCTTGACCTCATCGACCCACTGGTCGTCAAAGGTCATCCAGGTTGGGCGAGTCTCCTCGTTGAAGTTGCTTGGCTTGACATTCTCCCAGAAGTCCGCGGCGCTCAGGTTACGGAAAGTCCGCACGGGGTTCCATGACCAACGGCCCTTCGCCGCGAACCGCCATAGTCGGAGAGACTTGCCGAGAACGGAGCCCTGAGGAGGCGAGGTGATGTACATATGGCGACCGAAGTACAACACGAAGGGGCAGAGCCCAAAGACCAGCGTCGGAAGGGTGTACGAAAGCCAGAATCCAACGTACTGTGGGATTCTATAAATACATCTTCAAGCATTTGGCTTATGAATGAACGCACCTTCTCGGAGTAGGCCATGGAGATCTGGCCAATGAGCGCACCGACGTTGATAAACAGGTAGAAGTACATGTAGATCCGGGAGGTCGTCATCAGGGGGTCCACAATGACGCGCTCGCCGCTCTTGGTGTGGCCGATGAAGAGCTTGGTCCGCTTGTACTGCTCAGCGACAAGCGGCGATACATTTGCCTTGAAACCACCTGTACCGACGCCCATAATTATAATGGCGATGAGGAAGCATGCGAGGGAGCCGTGGGAGTGGTTGATAACACCAGGAACAGCGGAAATGATGAGGAGAACGTGACCAACAAGGGCAATAGCGACTGCAATGCAGGTGGTCTTGAACCGACCCCATCGTGTGTCGGCGATGTATGCACCGAAGAGGGGGATGATGTAGACCCAGAAGGTGTTGAATGTACCAATACCAGTGGAGGCGCGCTGGCCGAGGCCAAGGGCACCCGCCTGCTTTACGTCGGCGCCCGTCTGTGAACCAGGAGGTAGCTTTTGTTGGATGAAGTTGGTCTGCAAAACGCGTGGAAACAATCAGCCGATTGCAACGCGTAATGGATCGTATTCTAGGACGTACGAAGACGACGGTCGAGCCGTAGTAGGAAAACCGCTCCGACAGTTCGCAGAACGCAATCACTTTGAACTAGCATGAGAACGGCCATCGGACGAAAGGCAATCGGGATGGACTCACAGTACGCGCTCCAAGGGATGGTATCCGAGACGCGACGGAGGGTGTGTCGCTCGTCTTTGGTGGGGAACTCGAGGCCGTCATGGATGCCATCGAGCTCGTGCTCTTGTGAGGTGGAGTCGTCGAGGTTCTTCTTCTCGTACTCAAGCTCGTCGTGCTTGGCCTCTGCGAGACCAGCGAGGATATCCTTGTCAGCCTGCAGACCAGCCATGTTGCTCAGTGAAGAGGGTTGTGGAGGGGAAGGGTCGTGCAGGAGCGAGCAGCTCTGAAGGGACCGTAGGGAGAGACGGAGGGAGCCTTCGGAGGAGCCGGATGGGAGAGAGAGCTTTTATGAGCACATGGCCCCGAGGACCATATGGTTCTCTCCTTCCTCCCGGCCATCACTGGGGCCAGCAATTGACCCAGGCACGGCATCCTCCATCCTCCGGCTCCTCAACCGCCCCCGCACTCTCCCACTCCTCCGTCCCCGGTCGTGTGCCCGCCCGCGAACGTCATCCCCTCCGGCTCACTCAGCGTCGGGCGCCGTCAAGGCGGAGCACGTCCGGGCGCGCCCGGCGCGCTGAATGCGCCCGAACATACTCGAGACATGTGCAAAGAGTGGTTTGGGCCGTCTGCCGCGGTAAGTTTGGCGGCGCCGTTGTGGCTTGTGGCAAGTTGCGTCGGGCGCACAGAACACGCGCCCACAAAAATTGTGGACGATCGGGGCGGGTGATGCACTCACCCGCCCGATGCGCCCAGTTCCAGTCCGATCCCGCCAACATCGCAAACCCCCGCAAACCCGACTACCTCCTTCGGCGGATGGCGTGCTACCCAGCCAACAAAATAGCCGTGTTCCAGCGATAACGCCATTTGAACGCCGTTCTGCGGATAGGCAGAACTCCCTCCCGACTCTCCAGACTCCAGCGCAGCACCGTCCAACGAGCTCCCTCCAGACCCATCGACAACCGTCGATCCGTTCCAGAAGTGCCTGGTCGTGCTGCTCGCTCTGGATTCGCATTGTTGACACCAGTGTCTGCTCAACATGCGTGGCACTGGATCGATAGGTGAGCTCGACCTTGGGTCATGGATTTTTTGAACGCGACTATTGCAGCCGGAGTGCCGCTGACGTTCTGCGATCTCTCAAAACGGTCGATGCACAGTATCATACGACAGCCGCCGCTAAACTTGGAAGCTTGCGCCGGCCGGCCGCAATATTCTTCTTGCCATGTTCCAATCAATTCACCATCCGCGCGGTGCACCTCCCCCAGACGCCACCGCATCCCGCCATCTCACGCTGCCGCCAGCCTGAGGGTCAGATGCTGTCCCGCTTGGAACGCGCGCACATCCTCCGCACACATGCTTCACCCCCATTGACATGTGCGCACTCTCTTGGCCAACGCCCTCCGTGTCGACAGCGGTCTGCGTTGCCCTTGGACCCAGGTGGTCTCGCGCGGTGATGCAATACCCGCACCCGATGATGGTTCAGCCCGTTGCTGGTGGACTGTGCCGCTACAGCATGAGCGCCGTCTCCAAGTGTTCCACCTATCGTCGCGGGCCCGGGCCCGCGACGTAGCGATATCTCGCGCAGCGGATCCTATTTCGAACGTTCAATGCAAACCCTGGGACAAACTCGGGACAAACCTTCTCATGGCTCCTCTCGCGTCCCTTCTCCGTTCCTGAACCGCGCCCCTTATCTCTCTCGCTCGCTCGTTCTTCATCTCGATGGCGAAATCTACGCCGCGGTGCTGTGCTGCTTGATGGCCCGGAAGTCGTCTGACGGGACGGCCCCGCCCGCGCTATGCTGACTTTGGTTACTGAGCACGCCTCGAAGGCCACCGAGACCCAACAGACACCGCGGCGCGCCAAGCGCGTACTTATCGCGCAGGCTCCGTCCGCGGCGCGTTCTGTCATATGATAGCGACCACATACCGTGTGGGGCCGGGTTTCCTCCACCTTGATGTCCAGCGCTCATATAGTACAGCGTGTGATGGATATGCGGTGATTTCGTTTTGTGCCGCTGCTGCGTCTCCGCTCTCGCTCATGCTGTATTGCTGCCTCTAGGATTGGCCAGAGGCCGTCAAATGGACTGCAGCCACAATTCTTCTGTGGATTCCCGAACATTTCAGCGCTGCTCTCCTCCGAAGGTAGCGGACCCATATCGAGCTGACCATAGGTATCAATCCCCCTCCAACGCTATCATCCCATCATGGCCACCTGGGAGTAGGCCCTGCTCACGAGAGGTCACTGAAAGGCTTCATGCAGAACCAGGTCGTCCCTCCTGCAGTGACGTCGGAGGCGCAGGCGCCCCGATACGCCCGCAAACTACGCCACAACGCCTGTCCCTCCCCGAACCAGCAACGAAACCGATCGTTGGCGCGACTGAGGCGCTGACAGCTGCCGGTAGAGGCTATCGAAAGGCTGCTTCAACAATTCCGCGGACGTGCTGACAGTGGCGGCAGCGCGAACGTCGGACAGCACTTTAGCAGGCGCGGCGCGGCGGCCGGCACGTGGGGGCGGCATGCGGCGGCTTGGAGTTGGCTGCACCGCCGGTTTTCGGCACCGACAGGTGTGCGGAGGTATAGCGGCGAGTCGGCATGGCGTTGAGAGGCAGGCGCGGACGCGGAAGGCATCGGGCTTGCAATGCCAGTATGATCGTGGAGCACAACTCTTACGATCGGACGCTCGCATCCGCCGAGACTCCATGGTGGACTTGCCGCCTTCAAGGTACTGGGCCTTACGGTCAGCTAGAGACGTCTTGGTGAGCCGGATCCGGGTACTCCTTGCGGCCGTCCTGAATTTCAAGACGGTCCCCTGCGTCGCTGACCGTACCAAATACCAATTCCCGAGGACACCTCGTCATGACACTGACACTGTGCATCTGCGAGTCATTCAGTGAAAACCTGCATCTTCTTCAAACGGGTGCGGAATGTCGGCGGCATAACTCCGAGGCTTACGACACCACCATGGCCACTCAACCCGGTAGAACGCCCCGCTTACGAATCTGCGGCACTCGGCGACACTCCTGTCCATAGTGTGCCGTATGAGACGTAGATCCAGGCCGCCTCGGTGACTTCACGGGAACAAAAGAATCGGAGGTACGAGTCGAGCGAGCTCACCTATCGGACGCGCCCCATTTCGCGTCTGGGCCGCCAAATATGAGCAATGACGTCGAACATGACGGCCGTCCGAGAGGCCTGAACCAATAATTTCGAACTTTTCGGACGCTCAAGAGAATCTCATAGAATGTCTGATAGATATGTAGTGGCTATAAGGTAGTAAATAATGAGTCGTTCTCGCCCTCGTTGCAATAAATCATGATACTCGCAAGAGCCTCAGACGAGCGTATGCGCGCGATCATACTCCTCCCTCCATCGCTCAAATCCCTCGAGGGGCACTTCGCCGCACAGCCGCGCTACGATCGTCCGCGCCTCGTTGACCGCCTGAACACTCGCAATGAGCAAGCACGTCCCGAAACGAGCGTATTGAGATCACTCACGGAAACCACCTGCAGGACCGCGACGACCGCCGTCGCGTAGAACATGTACTCGTAGCTCGTGAGTGACTGCTTGAGCTGCGACTTGCGCGCGGCGGTGCTGGCGTTTGGTCCGGTCGCCGCAAGCCCGCCGTGATAGTGCAGGCGGTCGGCGAGGTTTTTGTATTGCGCTTGGTGGAGCGGCTCGCCCGTCCGGAGGGACTGCGAGATGAGGAAGAACATCGACATGACGTCGCTGATCTACACGTATTCCGTCAGCATCCCGCAACGTGAAGAAAGGCAGCAGACGTACAAAGTGCGGGTTGAGGACGTGCGTGTGCGGCAGCGTCGACTTCCTAAGCTCAGGGTCGAGATTCGCGAGCGCGCCTCCCATCTGCAGTGACATCAGCTCACGCGCTCAAGCGGGGAACAACCGACACATACCAGCACGAGACTCGAGAGCATGTCGCTCTCCACCTCCAGCAGCCGGTTGTACTCCTCGACCGGCCATGCACCTCGTATGTTCCCCTCCCACTTGGACATCGCAGTCCTGACCCGAAGGTCCTGGATCTGTTCGGCAAGGGCGATGAACTTCGCCCTGAGCTCCGCGGGCCAGTGATGCTTCCCATCGGAGAACGCCCCGTTGGAGGGATTCAACCACAACGAGGTGAGGTGGGAGTAGAGGTAGGAGAGCCCGGAGAGGACCGAGGCGTTGCGCAGCCGAACCGTCTTGCGCCCGGACTTGGGCGGCAGCATCATGAGGATGAAAGAGGCCGCACATCCTATGCAGGTCATCAGCAAGCGGCACTGCAAGGGGAAAACGCAGAAGATTTACCGATCATGACGAGCACCCATCGCCTCCAAGCCACTTCCCAGCCTATACCAACGTTCTGGAAAATGCCGGCCAGGTTGCCGTCAATCCAAGAGTAGCCTACCACTAGTACAAAGGTTGCCTGCGTAGATGCGGTCAGTCTGGTCTCTACGAGTCAGATTGCTCAAACCACTTACCCCGCTCATAAGGACGCCGACAAGGTATTGAGGAGGTGCGAAGATTCGACAGAAGACAAGGGGCAGGAGGAATACAGCAACGATGGCCGCCATTCCGTAAGGGTTTCCATTCCCATGACCAGCACCTGCACGAAAGTCGACCGTTAGATTTCGTTAGACTCCCTGGATGACGTAGGGCTTACCGATATACCAGCATGCCATACCCCACACGGCGCCGAATAAGGTTCCGCCCAACCGCATTACGTAGCTATCGGTCGAGTTAGTATCTCTCTCTCCGTATATCTTCAAATGCGTCTTACTTGAAGATCTGGTCCGATGCATAGATGTTCAGGGTCGTTTGTGCCATGATCAATGCCCTGTTCATTTGCTCAGTATACATCACACACAGGCTCGCTACTGGAACTTACCATACGCTCCGCTGCGAATAGGCGAAGTCTAGAAATGGTGTTCACCAGCGGCAGATACTGGAGGAAACAAATGAACTCACGGGCACTGGACCTGATGACAGACGGCAACCAGAGAGCGATGGTAATGACAACGTAACGGAATGCGAACTGCGTCATCGTCAGACCGGCAGCATCTATGGTTCCTGGATCTCAACGCACCAATGCCTCGGGAGTCTTCGCCCATCTGAACAGCGAGTGTATAATCCCCGCAAACCGCTGCAAGAAGTTCTCAGGCGCCCTGCTGTCTGGATCGAGCTCTGGTAGCACGGACTCAGCCGCCGCTTCTTCGAAGATGCGAGGGCCCACTCACTGTAATCCCTGCGCTCCTCGGCCTCGACCGCCTGTTCCGGCTGCACGTCCTCACCAACCGCGCCCTCCCCCGGACCGTTCGGCGTCCGCAGCAGCTTCACGATCGCCCTAAGCCCCTTCGGCGCCCACAGCCTCGCGCGCGTCCGCTTCACCGCCGTCTGGCTCGCCAGCTCCGCGAGCTGCACGATCCCCGTGCACACGACCGCCAAATTCGACGCGAACACGTACGACTGGTAGAGCGCCCGCAGCGGGATCCGGTTCACCGCGCCCGAGTCGTGCTTCTCGAACACGGCCTGGTACGGCTGCAGGAGCACGAAGCGGCGGTCCGCCTTGAAGTCCGCGATCGCGGCGCGGAGCGCGGTGAGCGCGGTGTCGAGCTCGGCGAGCCGCGTGCTCTGGAGGGCGTTCCCGCGCTTGTAGCGGTGTGTGTTCACGGCGACGATGAGGGCTTGGATCGAGGAGAGCGTGGCGACGCCCGCGGCGCGCAGTTCGGTGGTCGCGTCGCGGATGTTGGGGAGCACGTCGATGAGGCGCACACCGTGCTCCTCCTCGGCGGCTAGGTTGCGCTCGCGGAATTGGCGGAGGAGGAAGGTGTCGTCTACGGCGGTGCCGCTGGCGTCTGACTGAGCCTCCGATACGGATTCGGTATCTTCGTGCTTGTGATCCGCGAGCGAGAGGGGGTGGCCCATGATTTTCGCGAAGCCGTTCAGGGCACCTAGGCGCGTCGCAACAATCTGCAGCGGCTCAAGCATGTCCTTGATATCGTCGCCGTTCCACCTGCCCCAGCTGAACTCGAGGTTGAGGAATTGTTTCTGGCCCATCACTGTCCAGCATGAGTCAGCTGCAGCCCTTGCGTCCAAACCCTTCCGAAATACTTACGCTGCTGAAGCTGCATGATCATCCCAGTACGCGCCATGGCTGTCTTTGTGGCAAGGGGAGTGCCGGTGACGA